AAAAATTGTATATCCTTAGCCTAAAAAATATTATTAAATACTTTAATATTATAATTCCTTTTATTTATAAAGCCTTATTATTTTTATTATATTTAACTATTTAGGAAAAAAATCCTCCTTAATTTTACTTATATAATATATCCTATACCTATTAAAAATATATAAAGCCTATAAAATTTCTTTATAATTTAAATACTAATAATATATTTAAAAATTATTATTAAGAAAATACGCTAATAATAGTATAAAGAATTCTTTATAAACTACTAATATTACTATACTCTTATTCTATTTTAAAATTATAATTTAAATAATATTAATATTAAATATTATAAAGAGTACTTTATTTATTTATTTATAAAGGTTTTAGTTTTTTAAATTTAAAAATACTATTTAGTTAATACTAACTATAATTATAAATAGCTTTTATTTTACTATTATAAAAGTTTTTTAGCCTTTAAACGCTTTTAAAAACTATTTTAATACTTTTTTATTTAAAAAGTATATATTATAATTATTATTATAATATACTATTTAACTTATAAATATATAATTTTTTATAAGTTTTTTAATAGCTAAATTAGCTTATTATTATTTTAATATTAATTTTTAATTATTCTTTTTTTTATTTTAATAATTTTATATAAAGTATTCTTTTTTATTATAATTATAATATTTAATATTTTTTTTAAGTTTTTTTTAAATAATATTAAATTTTATTAAGCTTAAATACTACTTATTAGCTATTATTTATAGCTAATATTATTTTTTAAAACTTAGCTTATTTTACTAATAAAAAAGATATATTAAGTTTTACCCCTTTTTTTTAAATTTATACTTATAAATTTAATTATTAATTTAAATAGCTAATTCTATATATTAAATAAAATTATTTAATTAATTTAATTTAAATAGTTTATTTTTTACTTTATTTTTTAATTTATTATAAAATATAAAAATTTTTATAATATTAATATAATTAACTTTAATATAAATTTAGCAAAATTTTATAATATAAGTTATAATAAATCCCTTTTAATATAGTTTTATAAGTTCCTTTTTTACTTACTATTCCTTATTTAGGTTTTAAAAAAATAACCTAAAAGTAAGCTTATAATTTTTAAAATTATTAAAAATATTTTAAATTTTTTACTTATATTATTTAAACTTATTTTTTTTAAAAAAGTTTATAAGATAAAGTTTAAATTATATTAAAGCCTATTTTTTTAAAAAGAAAGCTATATATATAATTTATTTTTTATTAAACTAATTATTAAAGCTATAAAAGCGCTAATAAGCTTTAACTTAAATAAAATAGGCCTATAATTATTTTAAGAAACTATTATAAGGGGTTAAGTTAGTAAGCTTAATAAATTCCTTAAGTTTAATTAAGGTATTAATAATATTAGCAGTATTTTAAAGTATTTTAACTTTAACCTTAAATTTTTTTACTTTATTATTTTAGCTAGCCTATTTTTAAATATAGGTATAAAGTTTCTTAATCTCCTTAACTATTTTAAAATATTAAGCTTATAAAAGTTTAAAGTTATTATTATTTAGCTTTTATTAAAATTTTTTTTAAATATAGCTAAAAAATATATTAAAATAAAAATAATAATTATATAAATTATTACTTAAGGTTTATATAAAATATTTAAATAAAAATAGTTAAAATATAATAATTATAGCTAATTCCTAGCTAATAAACTTAATAAACAGGTTTATATTTAAGGAATATTTAAAATAATAATATTCTAAATAATATATAATAATAGTAAATTAAAAGCTTTATAGCTATTTTAGGTAAATACTTAAATTAACTATTAAAAAGCTATTTTAAGCTAATATTATTTATTAATAATAAGTATAATTTATATAATTTATCTTTTTAGCTAAAGTAATAAGAGTATTGCTTTTAACAGCTTATTTAGAGTATTGTTTACTTAAAGTAATAGGAGCATTAAATTATTTAAATTATTTAAAATAAAGCATTACTTTAGTTATTTTAATTATCCTTTCGCTCTATTATATAACCTACTTTTGTTATATAGCAAATCCTTCCAGGCCTGCCCTGCTGGCTTATAAGGTTTATCTGCGCTTTTAAGGGACTAATAGTGCTTCCCTAGTTCTATTCCTATTACGTTTGTGACACATTAGCCCTAGTATAAACTTTTAGCCCACCCAGCACTATTCCTAGTATAAACTTTTAGCTTACCTAGCGCTAATAAATTAATTGTTTAAATACCTAACTTATTTATAGCTGTTATTAAAATTAAAGTTTTTAGCTTTAAAAGGGGTTAAATAATATAAATTAAAGGTATAAGTTTAAAAATATTTAATATATTAAAAAGTAGGGTAGTTTTATAATTAATTAGCAAAATATATAGTTTTATTAGTAAAGTTTACTTAAAATTATATACTAAGTAGGCTAAATAAAAAAGCTAGGTAGGCCGTTGTAAAAAACTAAGTAAGCCACTTATGGCTGCTTTTCAAGGTGTGGCATCGTCGCTGCAGTAGATCTCCGCATCTGCCAATAATCCTGATCGGAGCATCCTACACGCCTTTAGCAGAAGTCCAAGCGAGACAGTAAAGACCCGCTCACTCCAAGTCCTGGGAAACCCAGCGCTTGTCCATGGTTGGCATTCCCTCGCTGGGCAAGCTCCGCGATGCGTCGTCACTATTCGCTTTGTCGGCCATCTCGTCAGATGCTCATGCAAAGGTGACGCGGTGGAAGTCTTGAATATCACCACAATAGTTGAGCCTTCGAAGTGGTGGTGGTGTCGGGTAGAGGCCAATGTTGGCAAATGAGTGTTTTGGGAACAGAGCTGAAAAGCAGGTGTTTAAGTGGAGCCTGCAAAGCTGGGGCTACAAGCAGCTGCGCTACAGTACGCAGAAAGAACAGCTGCCGCAATTTCACTTGACACACCCTGCGTACAAAAGATCAGAGGAAAACTGCCCTGATCGACTACCGTTCAATTCGACGGCAACACAATCTCAACTTGGAACCCTTCGCGCTACTTACTCACAACATGTCGGTCAACAACAGCGACGATCAGGAAGCCGGTCTGACGAAGAGGCAGAAGCTCGGTGACGAACAGCTCTGCTTCCGTTCCAACGACATGGAGCTTTTGAGGACGGGTAGGTTCAGCGACGCTCAGGTCACCGCTGGAAACCGAGTGTGGAAAGTTCACAAGAGCATTGTGTGCCAGAGGTCAGGTTTCATGCGTCAAGTACTCGCGGGGCCGTTCGAGCAGGGACAGGCTGCAATTGTCAGGATCGATGTCTGCACGGAGGAGCAATTGGACTTGGTTTTAGAATTCATCTACTCTGGAAGTAAGTACCGATGAAACAACAATGACTGGCCTTGGTCGGCTGGGACTAATTTGTCATTTAGGCATCGAAGCCACTGGGCACCTCTCTCTAGCCGTCTGTGTGGAGCTCATGATGCTGGGAAAACGCTTTATTGTGGAAGAACTGACCACATTTGCGATGGACACCCTCTGGGACAAGCTCACAGTCATGGTCGTGCGCAACTCGATCATGCCCGAAGGCCGAAGCACTCATCAGCTCCGAAGCACCATTGAAGCCAACCTCGAGGAGCTCAACTTCAACATCCAATTCCAGGACGCCATCAGCGCGGCATACGGATCGAGCAACATTTCCGCTCAGCTCCTTCTCGCTGACTTCGTCTGGCTCTCCCGCGGCTGGCTTCTGGGCAACTCAATCATCGAGCAGCTCAACGTCGAGTTCCCCCAATTTGGCATTCACGTCTTTACGACCTTGAACAAAGGCCCGCAGGTTTTTCCATTGCCAGGTCATGAGGGACCCCATTTTGCTGTGGGCGATCCGGCACAAACCCAATGCTCCCACTGTGGCCAACATTGGAACAGGCAAGGGGGCCAGACCAGGTGGTTGTACCACTGTACGAACCTGGAGCTTCGTCCTCGTACGATGTCTTGTAGCGACTGTGTTGCGAGAAATGGGCGCATTTTGTTCCCTGGGAGCATCCAAAGTGATGATTAGACTGCTGGCTCACATGATTGACGGGGAAAATAATGGAAGAACGCGAAGTGCACCTGGCGGCCGACCTGCGCCTAGTACCTAGATACCAGCAATTGGACGCCGGAAAGGGAGGAGATGACTGGAATAATGGCCATGTGCTTGCTGGTCTTGTAGCAGGCTTTACACAACGTGGATGATGGCAATCTGTTCTTTCACAACTCTCTTAAGTAATGGAAATACTTAATCTGATAAGTTTAAGAGCTGTATTCTTTTCTGCCTAAGCATACCGAAGCCAAGTGTGTTCCTCATTCCCAACTGTGGCCAACCATTGATGCCGCAATTTGGAACAACAGTCTTCAACCTAACCATCTTAGATTTGCCTACCGAGCCTCTCGTCATTCCTTGGGAGCCGGAGCCGCTTCCGGGTCATTCGCCAGCAAAGCCTCAACCTCTGCACCTTTCTTCCGCCTCTCCTCGAGCGAGATCTCCTGTTTCGGCGATGTGGACCAGCCAAGGCCGAGCTCCGGGTACTGCAGCGGGATTTCTCCCTCGGTCGGCAGGCCATCAAGAAATATGGGCCAAGGCGTACCCATCCAGGCATTCCGAGTCTCATGGTCTCCACGCTGATCTGATGTCAGGGGGTGCACGAGGATACTGGCCAAAACGTTAGAGTCGTCGTTGGGCAGTTGGTGATTGAACGAGGGATGCAGGGAATCTGGAGCCTGCTTTTAGACACTGACCTCAGGTTGCCGCGGTTTGCGGAAAGGTAGAAGAAGACATCGGAAAATGAAGAGTCGGGCACCCAGACTGTCCAGAAACACTCAAATTAGCTTCCAGTGTCGGAGGTGAACTAGCTTTGTGCGACACAAATCGATTCCTCTCTCCAAAGATGAGGGCATCTGTACTGACTCTCGTACGATCCAGCCGGATGAGGTCCCATGGGGTAGTGGTTGACTCTGAACAGCGGAACGGCAACGAAGGCCCCTACAATGGGATATGTGTCAGCAAGCGAGGCTCAGTTGCTCCAGTGTCGACCCCATGCCAATGACCGTAGGATGACTCCCTCGTCTATCACTCACCATCGCGACGTAGCTTCAGGACAGCATCTCGAAGGGCAAGAGCCGCGGCAGTCTCAGCCTGCGACTGGATGAGGAAGTATATGTGGAAGTGCCACTCTCGGTTTCGGCTCTCAACGACGGTTTTGAGGTCGGTCTGGGGAGGCGGCACTGCTGGGCGGGTAACCATGGTCATTGTCAGCGAGCTTGAAGGGGCGGACTGTCAGGCAGAGCTAGTAATCTTATCGTCATGAATGAAGTGTGGATAGAGTGATTGGAGTGAGGTCGAAAGTTACGGCTGTCGGAGTATGATCTAGGAGGTCGTAGATACCGCTGTCCAGTTAGAGACGGAGTTTGAGCACGCCATTTGTGGGGTTTTGCGTGCGCGACCATGGAGCTCGGCAAAGCCGACTCGGCCGGAAGCTCCGCGGGCTCGATTCTGTCAACGTCACACCTGCAACTGCAACCCTCAAGCATGGAGTTGGGCGAGAAGAGGAAGGAACCAGTAGAGAAATTCGAGGAAGGAATTGTAGACATGTTATGAAGAGACCGAACTCAAGGTGTCGCACATGACGACGCATCTGTTAACGAGAGCCACTACTTTGAAGTCTGGTAGATACTAGGCTGGAGACAGGCTTAGCGATTTCTGAGCCCAAGTGAAGATTGAAAGGTAGATTGAAATAAACACAAACAGCAGTGTCATGCTAGTGTGCTTGGTCAACATTAGTATTGAAATATTTGGTATGGAAACGGCCCTGAGCGCATTTGGCCATGTAATTGAAACCTCCTGACCACCAATCTTACTTTGGCGTGCGCTAAGCACATTTACGCCTCTCGTCCTGTTCAAAATCTTTCAAGCAGTGCTCAGCCAGGATCACATCGAAAGACTGATCAGTTAAACGATCTCTGTAAGTTTTCATGGGCATACCAATTTGCGGCGTGCAGTAAGCCCTCGTAAGAGCGAGCATTCGTGTTCATTAATCCCAGAGGAAAATATCACACAGAAGGTTAGCATAAGTGAGGTTATTCTCAAACGAAATGATCTCAAAAGAGTTTATCCTACATCCAGTTATCCTACATCCAGTTATCCTACATCCAGTTATCCTACATCCAGTTATCCTACATCCAGTTATCCTATATCTAGTTATCCGACATCTGGTTATCTTACGGCTGGTTATCCTACGGCTGGTTATCCTAAGGCCTTTTATACTATAGATGGTTATTCCATAGCTAGTCGATAATAATCGACACCATGCCACCGCTCGGAATTTCACTTTCTAACCGGGATGAACTTAAGCAGCACTAGCTTCAACTTTTAGATCTTTCTTTTGAGACTATTCAAAACAGGGACAGTTCAGTCCAGGGCCAGTGGGCTCAGCTTTTCATTGTGGCCGCCGTCCTGCTTTCACGTCTGGGTGGGGGTTTTTGAGCAGATCTGCTTTAGACCCTCGTCATAGCACTCTCTGAAAGCCTTCTCAACGGAAACATGCAAAGGAGGAAGCAGCAGAGACTTCGCGGTCTGCTAGAAACGGACGTAGTATTCATGAAATGTTCATATGGAACCGAAGATTGAGATCCAGACCTCGTATCATGTATCAGCGAAAAGTAGGTCATTGAGCACATATGGGGATAATCACCGGCACCGCATATGGATTTCATTACAAGGTAGACACAAATTGGATTCTCCTCGTCGAGCCTGACTTGTTTGGTACCAGGTTCTTGTTTAGGATTGTAAGCGGAAAATCAAATCACAGCCGTTTGAATATTCGAATACCTCAAACAGTCCGAGTAAGGCTTTGCAACTCGGTGGTCTCCCATTTGCAAGACACAAAAGTGGGCCCAAGCTCTCAACAGCTGAAGCTCTGACCCAACACCTTCCAACCTTTCTTTTCGCCAGTAGCAAAACTTCAACTTCAGTCTTCATTCTCACTCCCACCCATCATCGAGAAGAGAACGTATCTACACACCTTTGTTATCATTACAACCAAAACCGAGGTGTGCATCGAAGCACCATGGCAGCAAGCATGGCGAGCCAAAGCCGTGAGGACGCCAGCTTGAGGGCCAGCGACTTGAAGCTCTTGGAAACTGGCAACTTTGCCGACATAGAGATCATCTGCCGCGGCAGGACTTTCAAAGTCCACAAAGCTGTGGTGTGTTCAAGAAGTTTGTGGTTCGAGAAGGCCTTGACTGGACATTTTGCGGTACGTACGATGAGATTTCGATAGAATTTGACGCAGAGGACATGAACTCATACTCCTTCTTATTCGAGTAGGAGGCAGCTACTGGAAAAGTGAAAATCTACGAAGAGGAGCCTGAAGCTATTGAGGTTATGCTGAGGTACATCTACGGAGGTGGTAAGTACATTGACGACCACACCACGAAATAGCGCTAACAGCATTTCAAGCCTCAGCGGTGGATATTGTAAAAGAAACGAGTAACGAGCAAGTCTTCAAAAGCTGCGTCGACATGTACAGAGCCGCACACTTCCTCCTCTTGCACCCGCTGTTGCCCATAATCCGGCGCCGAATAGGTGGATACTGCGACCAGAGGCTGAAGCAGCTCTGCACGCGCAATAGTGGCACTGACAGCACCGGCACAAGGCGTTGGGCTGCGGACTTGGCTACTGCCATCAGAGAAACGTACAAGGCGGAGATCAAAGTCCTCAAAAAGATCTTTATGGAGTTTGTCTGGGCAGGACGATGGCAATTACTCGGCAACGGCGAGTGCGACATCTCGTTCCTCATTTACGACACACCCGGGTTCATCAAAGATATGCTTCACAACTGCGCCACCAAACAGTGGCTCGACAATCCCATCTGGGCGCCGAAGAGACCAGAGAAATCCCTAGCCGGCTGGCATTGGGAGTGCGCGCGTTGTAAGGTGCCGATTGTATCTTCTCGCCTCACTGAGGCAGCGGGACAGGTGTTCGATCCTTTCACTTTGGGTGAAGAGAACAGGGTCCGACGAGAGTGGTGCCGCAAGTGCAGCGATCTGAACATGATCCCCTGGCGACAGGCCAGATACTGACTCGAAAGGAACGCGTTGTGTGCACCTCGTTGGCAGTAGCACGGACAATGTGGTGTTTGCAACGATGTCTCTGCGCAAAACTCTATCTACTCGAGTTCGAGATGTGAGAATTCCAAGGATTGACGGGTTTGGAGTGGACGAGACTGTAAAGCTCTAAATTCAGGATGCTGGACTGTGTCTACTCGTGCTCGGCGCTGGAATGGTCGAGGAAGTTGTGTTGGGTGAACAACAGTAGTCTCAGGTATGGAGAGCAAATCAGATTTTTATTCGCTCTTCATAGTCACGAAATGGATTCTGTGGTTGTTGCAGGATTTGCTGAATCTCTCCATGTGAATATATACAGTGCAATGAAAATATTTGTAAAGTGCTGCGTGCCGCTCTAGGCTCGTTCGACGATATCTCCGCCAAGCAGGACGCTGTTGGCGTTTTAAGACTGCCAGCCCCTGTTCCGCGACAGCTCATACCACCAGTTGCGAAGCATCCACCCATCAAATTCAGTCACCTCCTGCGCCGCGCCCGCAAGCATGATGAACGACTCCACACCAGTTGGTGTCCAGTCATAAAAGTCGTCTAGACCGAATGTGTGCCCCTGTCGTGCTCATGGTTAGCTTTCAGAGTCCTGACAAGGGAATTTGTTTTGCCTTACCATCTCATGAAGAAGGATGTGAATGTTCTCAGAGCCAAGTGCCTGCAGAAGGTATTCCGACCCAATCCGCTGACCCCAATCACCGCCAGCACCGCCCCCCATGCCGTCCGTCAACCAAAGTGACTGGTCGTAGTGCCTGTCAGCACCACCGGAGCAGCCGCTGTAGTCGCCTCCTTGGTTAAAGTAGCGGCCGCACGACTCGGCGCACTGCGGGATTCCCTCAGAGTCGACGTCTGTGTAGACGTCCAGGCCCTCGGTGGATCCCTCCAGCAGACTGGTGTCTTTGACGGCCCAGCCAACCACGTTGACGCTGATGTTGGAGTAAGGGAAGTTGTCGTAGCCGTACACCTTCTCAAACCATTTCTGGTACTGCTCATTGACTGCCGTGGCGATCTGATCGCGCTGGGACTGTGTTACGGATGTGTCTGACTCCCATCGGACACAGTAGTTCAGAGCGCTATAATTGCAAAGCAAGTCAGTACACACTTTACATTAATTTTTCAAGATACACAGAAGGCGAAACATACCCATTGGTCGCTTTCAGTTGGTCCCATCCATAGTTCTTGAAGCCAAAGGGATCACCGTTGTTGTAGGTCTCCAAGGTGTGGTCCCACACTTCTTTCAGCGGAGTGGCCAGATCCGTCGGTGGATTCCATCCAGACTGCCTGCTGCTCAGACGTCGGCGAACAACCCTCCTACCGAGCTTATGGCTGGCGCTGGAAGGTGAGGATCGGCCCCAGACCGAGAAGTCACGGTCTGCATCGGCAGAGAAGATTCCCGCAGCGCAGAAGCTCTCTAGGCCGGCTAGAATAAGGAGTGGCTTGCTGAAATGCATAATGAATGTTTTAATATGAACGAGTGAAACGAAAAGTGGAAAGGAATGATGGGTTCGCTGTTGTTCATGGTGCCAATTGTTTCTTGCCAGTCGGCAATCGCATTTTATATGCAAAGCATCACAGCATCAAGCGCCGCATCTTGGGTGACGGTGTGGACATCTCTCATTGAAGGAGAAACGCGCGAGAGCCAAGTCGGAGGCAATCTATGTAAGGGGCCCGGCATGGGTCGCCTTGGTGTTTCGTTTGGCACAGTTGGATTCCGTTTCGGCGTGGCGAGCTTGGCGGAACGCACCACTGCAGGGGATTGATTGACTAGAAGCCCACACCCGCACCCCATACGGCTGTCAGTGCCGGCGCCACAGATCGCAGTATCCGCAAGAGCTCGCATACTGAAGAAAATCGTTGAACTGAAACTCGCTGAGGTCATTGAGCACTTGGCGGGATCCAATGCTCGTAAAAAAGGATCACGGCCAAGCTTCTCAATTTGTTCGGGGCATGATTATACGATAGCGACCCCTTCAGAGAGATGTAAGCGAGCTCCACAAGCTTAGACATCCTCTGTCGGGCTTTTAAGATTATGAATAAGGAGACGGTCATGGAGGAGACATAGCATGGTGAATAGGGGTGTCTTGAACCATGATGACCAGTTGACAGCTTCTCAGTATTCACCCGGAATGAATCGGTTTTCCCATTATGGGCGACAAAGGCAAGGGAATTCGTTCTCGTATTCACAAATGATTCTTTTCCTTCATTTTAAACAATTCGGCTATTATAAATATTATTTGAATATGGGAGAGCTTAGATACTGGGTCCCAAGTGTATGATTAAGTCTGCCGAGGTCAGCACTGTCCAGCGTCTGCCTGCCTCCATAACCTTCCCGTCCTGACAGCCTTACCGCCTGATCATGCCTCCACATTGAGAATAACACGCAGGTATCTCCTGAGTGGCAGCGGTGCAGTAAGGCTTGTCACCTGCAAAATGATGTGGTACCCCAGCCCAGTCGTGTCACCTGGTACCTCGACTCCCACAGTCTTGCCGATAACCACGCCCTCGAACCCAGCATCGTTGTATGAAAGTGTGCCATTGGTGCCCTCGGGTGGCGACAGGGCAGTGAGATTCAGATGAGTCAGACCGTTCGGGCTGGTCACGTACTCTGTGGGCTCAGCATAGTGGTACCACTCAAACTGCAGGTTCTCAACGGTATCAGGATGATCCGGATCATAAGATTCGCTGGCATCAAGGACAACTGTTTGCCCAGCAGCCACTGTGATGTTGAGGAGGTCTGGGCCCTGAGTGCCGTTCACGACGGGCACAGGCGGATGGCTCGCGTTCCAGAAGTCTGAAGTCACAGTCCACTGCATGCGGGCTGCAAAGTCATTTTGGAAGTGATCCCTCCAGCGGTAGACGCTGGCTTTGTTGTTCACGTAGGACACTCCGTCGACACCTACGGCCTGGTCGACGGTGTCCGAGTACTGCTTGGATCCTGGGACGACATAACCGTATCTTCCTCCCCAGCTGCCCCAGTTCGGGAACTCGGGGTGTCCGAGGCCGTTTTGGATCAGGTACAGGAAGCTGGGTGAATCTCCCTCCATGGTGTACAGGGGTAGAGGATACTGCTCCGAAAGAGCTCCACCAATCTTGATATTCTCTGCCAGCCAAGGCTTAGACACCTTAGTCACGTTGGTTCCAGCCAAATTGGCGGATATTCCCAACCATGTCGACGCGTAGTATGAGTTCCATGCGTGAACTGACACGATGTAGAATACGTCGGGGAAGTTGGCGCGAATCCAAGGCCCGCTGTCGTCCTGGTCGGAAATCGCGTACACTCTCAGGCGCGAGCGTAATGCCGCAGCATCGTCTGCAGAGTAGTTGTCCTGGATGTACTGCAATGCTTGAGCGAGTGTGTTGATGCCTCCCCATGTAGGAATCCACAACGGCTCCTCTGACTCTTCCAAGCGCTGGACCAGGAGCAAGGCACCTTCGCTCGGTGCGATGGATAGTGCCTCCTTTCCGAAGACCTGGAAGAGAGTGTTAGTGATTTCCCCTCATACGGCCGAGAAGGAGGACATACTGCGGGACCAGATGTGACCAGGCTCAGCATGGTGCTCGCATTCTGATACTGGGCCTCGGGGCTGACATGACTGTTCAGGTTATCCACGACCTCTCCGTACGCCTCGACGATCTGCTTTATCGCTTCTGGGTGCGTGATATTTTGCAACCACACCGACGTAGACGCACCTTCATGGCTGTTAGTAACTGCTAGAAGAGACAAGACTTCCAAGTAATTCTGTAACATGTTTGTTCTACCAAGCCTCCTATGAGAGGAAAGCATTATGCTTCAGAATCGCTGGGAGTAGAAGTTGCTGCTCAAATTACTTACATAATCCGCGGGTCTCGAATTCATTTGAATACAGAAGATACCGGACGAAGGACTCAGTGTCGTCAACCTCGGCCAAAATATCTGACAGGATAAAGACCCTCGGTTTTGATGCAAACGTCGGAAGTCTGCTGAGGTCAGGAGACGAATTATTTCTCGGCGCTAGGCATAAAACCCCCTCGGAGAATCCAAGAGCTAGGGCTACAACGCCCAGTATAGACCTTGACAAGCCCATGATGGTTGAAGATTCTGCGCGACGCTGACCGAGGGACCATACCCATGTAATTCAAGAACCACGGCCTCGGGTCAGCTCGCCTTTATGTACTTCCATTCGGAACGACGTGGACACGACACTCGTCACTCGTCAACCCGTACCCGATCCGACGGGCGACTGCAAGGAATAACGAGACTAAGTGCGGGCCAACCCCACCGGCCGGCTCTTACAAGGCAGATAAGATCGGTTCACCCGTTTTCTCTGGAAGTGGTGTCTTGCCATCCCAGTTCCACCATCGTTCACTCCGTTCTACACTTCAAGCCAAGTATCATCAATTTTGTCTACAAGACAGGAGATTTTAGGAGGGCTCTCCTGACTTGTCTTCCGTATCAACGTGCCAAACACGAAATCGAAATATTTAGAAAAGGGCGGACAGAACATATACGTAAAATCTCGCCAGTCCCATGACGAGGATCCCCGCAATTTTCCCCAGAGGACATCTCCGCATCGACAGCTCGTGGAGTTTTGCGGGGTGCAGGTGGGTCTCAAGTTCTAGAGTAGTCGGCCCGGCTGTACTTGTGAAGACGGGAGTGGATTGCTGCTGGACGCAGGAAAAGTCGTCATTGGCCATTATAGAATGACAGTGAATGACGAGTCATGCTTGGATCGGTCTAGTCGAGTGGCTTGATGCCCTGTTCGGGTTGTATTGGAACAATGAATTCGAGCTTCGAAAAATATATCTCTTTGCTTTCAAGACAGTTTTTTTTTTTAAAAAAAAATTGCCAGCTCGACTCCTTCTATACCGTACTTGAGGCAGCGTACAACAGTCTCACTACACCATCGACGCGTACCAGGCGAGCCAGGCTAACCATCCTTGTTCTCCTGACCCGATTCCTTGGCACTTATGTGCTGATCTTTTACAGTGCAGTGGGCCCTCACGTTGTCGACATCCACGATTTTCCTAATCTCAATAGCATTGATCGGGCCGCTCTTACTTCTTAGTGTCTCTGGGTCCACATAGAGAAGGGCAAGCCTGCATGCCCTTGACTAAGGAGCACGTGATTGGAATCAAAGTGGTGTTACTGAGGAATCTGCTCTTAGGGGCATCTAACTGGATGTGTCCTATTCGATGGATACTTGAATGCAGAACCACCATGAATCCAGCTTCTCCGAGGGATTAGCAAATTGCTCCCCGCAACCGAGGTGGTTTGCATCCTAATTGCTACTCGTCTTATTGGCATCCTCAATGACCACATGAGTGACAACATTCATGTGAATGTAGGGCCCCTCCACAACCGGCGTTGGGTTAGAGTAAACCCGTATCAAGTCGGGGTTGAAACTGTCATGCGTGCTGACATAGGACCTGCCCCACGGGCGCTGGCCTCCAAGCCTCCACCACCACCATTCCTTCCTCTCTTTTTCTTGAGTATCCCTGCCGCTGCGGTACGTTCCCGCGTAGCCTTGGCTCACAGGCCCGCTGATGACGACTGTGTGGCCGTAATTGCGTGCCGGCGTACGCATGAAGCTAAATCGGTCCAGCCCCGTGGCCTCCATGTCCTCTGGCGCGCTGAAGATGATGGTTGTCGTCCATAGAATGGAATTGAACAGGCCGTTGGCTGCCAGAATGGACCCCGCGAAGGCGAAGAAGGAGATGCCCAGGTCGTAGCCCATGATGATGGACACGCGCCCGATCACCAGCGGGGCGATGCAGACCAGGTAGATGAAGGGATACACCAGGAAGGCCGGGTGGTAGCCAGACTGCTGCGGGGCCTCGCTCTCCCGCCTGGCGGATTCTGGGGTGTGGAGGCGGCGCTGTGGCATGTGCCGGCAGCTTCGCTTTTGGCGCCAAAGTGTGAAGAAGACGATGGCGTATAGGCCGAAGGTGAGGGTAATGGAAATGATAACCCAGAAGTAGTGGGACCAAAGCCTCCAGGGGTTGTATTCGGAGCTGATCCAGCACTGCGAGTCATGGTCAGCTTTATAAGACCTTCAGCCTCGCCAGATGTGTTGAACCCACCCAAACATTGGCTCGCATGAAATATTGCTCCCCCATGCTGACCACCGGCTTACTACGCATGGCACAAAGCACTCCAGCTGTATTGATGCCATAGGTGAAGAGCCAGATGCATGTCACGACTATGTAGAGTACTCTTCTCGATGGTTTGTGTCCAAGCACTATTGTCGAAAACGTGGTGACGGAGATGGCTGAGAGAAAGAGGCTGGCGCCGAGGTTACTGACAGAACCGAACCAACCCTGGGTCCAGCACACAGTCGAAGGGGCGAAGATGCCATCTTCAGACAGCCAATGGATGCTCAGGGCGTATGCCATCGCTTCCTGCATGTCTGCTAGAAGGAGGTGGTATACTAGGATCGGGAAAGGGTTACAGTTAACAGGAATATCATCGCCCGAGCCATCGCCCGCCTGCTCCTCATCTACCGTCGAAGTCTGCGGCTGCTGGGACTCGGAGCGTAATCTGTCAAGCTCCTGCAGCTGGTCGAGGATCGTACGGCCTTCGAAGTGCTCATGCCGCTGGTCCAGCCCAAGGCTGAAGTCCGGAGACCTCGCCTGCTCCTGGTTCAGTTTCTTCTTTCGCCCTCGCTGTCGAAACTTGTGCCACCGAAAGGAAACCAGCTTGTACGTGATGAAAAGCCAGAGGCATGTCGTCGAGCAGAAAGAGAGCACGGAGAACACTGTCAGCACCGTGAGGCCTCGACGGTGGTACTCAGGGAGCGGCGTCAATGATCCACGATCGCCGGCCGTCGGGTTCATTTTCGGCTTGCTAGCTAGGCTAGACCATTTCAGCAGGTGAGGCTGTCGTTTAGAAAGATCGGTGACTCGAGGCATAATGATGTTATAGCGGTAGTTGCGGGTGTATGCAAGCGGAGAATCGGTCTTCTGTACGATGCGATTGTAAACAAGCTTTCGTCTGACTCGCCAGATTGGTGGTCTTGGTATCGCTGCACTCTAAAGCAGTTCAAGTATGTTGGCACTTGGCTTTGACTGGAATGAAGGATTGGAGTTGCTTTTTCCTCGGAGATGGCTAGAAGGGCTCAGACCGTGTGTAGTGTAGCCGGTCTGAAACATGTGGTTCTGTGAGTTCCTGATTCAATGATGCTCCTCACAAGCGTCGTCCTTCACTATTCACCTTGCACAGTTATGCGTTTGGACAAAGCTCAGGTGAGTTCCAATCACGTTGGCTGAAAAGGATCGGGCCAACAAAAGCCTCACAGATAAGGTTTTCGGAACCGTTCCCAAACGTGGGAGTCCATGTTCGCAGCTCTGCATCATGACTGCAGACTCCTCTTGCGAAGTCAAATTAAGCTTCAAGCTGCTGGACTGAATCAGTCCCTTCGTCCAGCGGCCCGGACTAGAGCCTCACCCAGCTCCACCTCCTGCCCGAGTTAGCTGGCGATGATCTGCTTAAATAGTTGGGAGTCTCGGCAGTTTGAAGTATGCTGTCAAGGCATCTGCATGCATTTCGATCAGCACTGCAGGGACTAGGCTTCACATGCATCTCCTGATCAACACGAGCGTTGCAATGCAGAATCGCCTATCACGGATCAAGATCGAACAGTGTTTGACATAAAGAGAGATAGTCATTTAGCGCTAAATTTGGGGTCACACATGGGGGACACTTTACAGTGTAAACGTGTTAGTAATCTCTTGTAAGATAAGAAAATCAGAGACCGCTCCAGAGAAATCATGCAGTCAATGGGTCATTTACTTGAAATGTCACCTACACTGAGGAAGGCCGAGGATATTGGTTGGATTTGAGAAGGCGACTGATTGCAAACATCATGCAATTATCATGCTAATGGAAGACCGAGGGCAAGGTGCGATCTACAGATGACTGAAATTGTCTCCAGCACAGCATCCCAGTGTGAAAGCCCTTCATGGGCAAACCTTCTTCGGAGTCATTCCCTGTGGTCTTTTCAAACTGTAACAGCTGGATATGATGTAACAAGGCCACATGAAAATATGTGGACCAACTGAACATGTTTGACATGGGACTTCGGAGCTTTGGAGACGTCATATTTGATCTCGTGGTCTTCTTATTGTAGTAAACATTATCAGCGCACTTCATCGGCGTAACCCGTGCTAATCATGAGATATTTCATGCAGCTCGCCCGCAGGAACGTCATCAATTACAGCCCTTCAGCGGCAGGGCTAGCGGGGATTTCCTTCAAGGTCGTTCTGTGTGAAGGCTGGATGGGCTGGTCTCAACATGAAGACTATCAAGGTGTCCATCGGTTTCGGGACAGGCGGGCTCGAAGGGGATATGACTACAATCGTTTTCCGTCAGATTGAGTATACGAGCCTGTTCCACAGGGGATTATCTTGTCAAGGATTAACTTACAGGATGGCAAGCCCACAGGAAGTCATGTTAGGAGAAGGGTGTTCGGTCCCGCTGCAAGCCATACTAGACCGCTGTGAAAGCTTCTACAGTACTGTTGTCAAGTTTATGTGGGGTTTCTGCGCTTCACCTGCCAGTTGGTCCTCCTGCTTGGTAGCCTCGCAACAAACATTCCCAATGGAGACTCAATTCTCCCACCACCCAACAAAACCAATTTGTACGCAACCGACGTGTTTACTCCTGAGGTCTCGACATACAACTCCCATGTGCAAACCTTTCGCTTTGGACATGGATTCTCTCAACCTCACTAGCAGCTATGCCTTTCAAGAGAGCGACATCCAGCTGCTGCAGACAGGAAATTTTGCCGATGGCATCGTGAAGTGTCAGGATCGCACTTGGAAGGTCCATCGCGCACTGTTGGCATCAAGGCTCAAGTTCTTCCAGGTCGCTTTCTACGGCTCATTTGCTGTGCGTATCTCCCAAGCAGCACGGTGACTGGGATCAAATTGACACTCATCATCGTAGGAGGCCATCTCTGGGGAGGTCAACTTTCCTGAAGCGGACCCCGAGTCAGTCGAAGTCATGCTCCGACATCTCTACCGTCAAGGTACATTCACACATAATCCCTTTGGAATTCTTGTTTGGCTGACAGTGATAAAAGAGGTCGACGTGAAAGATCTGAAAACTCCTGCTTTCTGCGTCCGCTGCTGGAGATTCGCCGATTACCTCAATCTGGAAAGCCTTAAGGCCGTGGCGATCGCGACACTCGGACAGCATTTCGACGCGTTGGCCTTGTTGGCCTCTAACGTCCAGGGTAATGCTTGCATCCGGCCTAAGTGGATGACGTTTCTTTTCGAAGCCTTTCGCGAGGTTTCTGTTGACGAAAGTACAAAGCCGCTTTACTGCATCTTTGCCACCTTTCTGTTGGTAACAAGATTCCAATTACTCAAACTTCCTAAGACGTTGGACTTCCTGAAGCATTGTCACGGCGTAAACAAGGAGCTTCTGAAGCTACTTGCTTGGGATTTTCGCGACGATAGGCCTGTCTGGATCCCCAGAGACATAGATATCGAGCAGCTCACGGGAATTGCAAGGCCTTTCTTTCACGGCTCGGTCTCTTGCCCAGGCCCAGATTGCATCAGAGGCGAGTCGCTGGCAGACCAGTATGAGATATTCTACAACCCCTTCCCACTCGACAGCACACCTATCGGAAAATTTGTCTGGTGCAGGAAGTGTGTACACAAAATCAATGAAGAGCGCCGATGGCCATGGCGAAGCGGTGGTGGATGGAAAGAGGGGGAGAAGATCAGTCTGGAAGCATGGAGCTGGTAATGATGAGAAATTCCACCGATGGAACAGGATGTCTTGTTCAAGACTGAATGACTAAAAGGCAAATGCAAATAAATTTCCTTGAAGGTGAGGAGAGAGAGAGAGAGAGAGAAAGAGAGACTGTGTGTGTGTGTGTGTGTGTGTGTGTGTGTGTGTGTGTGTGTGTGTGTGTGTGAGTACAAATGTGACATCACCGGTCGATTGAAGCTTTGTAGTATTCAGATAGCCTCCATGGAGAATGGTTATTTCAGAGAACGTCATTCAAGGAGCTTCATCCTAGGGCACGTTAGTTCAGAGGAGGTTTTTGCAGAACAATGGAAGGTCATGCCATCAGAGGGTATCCTATATAGGTACAGATCACAATCATACGAGGCAGTGTCCCACAAACGTCTCTCTTGAAAGAGATTTCCCCACGCATTTGCGCATGAGCCAAAACACTTACGAATATCTGAGGCCTCTAAAAGCTGCGCCTTACACCCGAGTGGCTTTCAAACGGGTCTGCTCCCTCAGTGCGCGGACCAGCCATCTTGCCGTACTTTACGGCAGCCTCGCCCGTTCGCCCCAGCGGCTTTCCAACCTCCACCATCACTTTCGACCTTTCCAACTGACAGGAAAGCCGACACTTTATCAGCAGCGAGATTCAAAAAGCCAACCTGTGACGATTCCGATTCACGATTGACATCGCATTAACCCAAGATGTCTACCCTCGAGAGCGACAGTGGCTTTGCCAACGATGACATTCACCTTCTTGAGAGCGGTAACTTCGCCGATGCAACTATCGTGTGCGGCGACCGAACTTGGAAAGTCCATAAGCTCATTTTGGGTTCCCGATGCAAGTGGTTTCAGATTGCTTTCTATGGAAAGATGTCGGTGAGTGGTTTTCATCCTTTTTTAACTGCCTTGAACGATCTCCTGGCCGCAGAAAGCTGATACAAATGCTGCAGGAGGCGTTGTCCGGGAAGATCACATTGGAAGAGCAGAACCCTGAACTTATCGACATCCTACTTCGGTTCATCTACGCCAAGGGTAATAGTCGAGATCGTGAATCTTTTGTTGGAGAACATTCCTCTGATTGCGCTAGCAGACATCAACATCGCGAAGCTGAGGGACGGAAAAGACATACCAGCACTCTGCATTCAACTTTCCCGACTTGGCGATTTCTTCCAGCTCCATGAATTGCAAAAGAAGGCAATGATAGAGATCAAGGCGCACATCAACAATACTCTTGCATTCCTCGACCCCATGGTTCGCAAATGTGGCGAAAAGCCCCCGGAGTCGCTCGCCGAGATTCTTGGAGTGGTCAAGGAGGCATACCAGGACCCGTGCAACGATGAAATCTCGGAGACATTGCGTAGATTCGTATGCAAGAATAAGCACAGGATCTTCCGATTCAAGGATGCTGTCAATCTGTTGGACGAGATTCCGGAGATGGCACAGGATCTGACAATGAGCTATATCACCGATGATATCGCTTCGAACATGCGAAAACCCATTTACCACCTAGGCCTACCCGTCTTGAAGGCTGTCTGCGATACGAAGTTCCTTTATGAAGCGAACGGCTCGGATCTGGGCCCAGGTGCAGTGGCCACGATGCCGTGTCTTCTGTATCCTGTTATAGGGAATGCTCACTCCATTTTCACACCGATCGACCCTAAGACAGAGAGGACGATCGACAGCATTAGGTGGATCACGCCTGATGTCTCTAGTGTCATCCAGATGACAAGCAATCCGGAGTCCGACACTGTATGGGTTTGCATGAAGAGAAGCCCTGGACAGATCGAAGTGTTGCATGTTCGCTTCGACAACAGTGAAGGTGCGAGAATTTACGTCGAACGCTATGACCGAGCCAATCCTGGAATCGAACAAGTGACAGGCGATCGCAATGGTCTCACCAGTTTGATGCAGGTCAAACTTACACTAGCTTCCGGGCTGCAAAGTCCGTGATAGCTTGGCCCTCACACGCGGAAGAGATGTGTCAGAACGTCGAATTATAGACCACTTACCTATGGATCTAAGTCGAGGACGGCGTTGTCGTACCGGTTGAATAACAGTAAGGAGACGACGCCGGACCTACTCTTTTCGACGACCTTCTCGCAGTTTCAGCATCTCGTCGCAGCAAGGATTGAACGCCCTCCTGGCACCGCGACATTATGGGTTTTGTGGGTAAGGAGAGGCAATAAAGCTGGCGCGGTGGCATCATAAGATATGCACAAAAGGCAGATCATCGTCACGGACAGGACATGCGTGCAGAGCATATGCAGATTTACGAAAGGAGGCTTCTAAAGCCAATATGTACAGTAGTGAGAAGCAAAATCAACCCGTGCCTTTTGCAACCCCCGTGCAAACGAACGTCAGAAGTGTACGGTTCACCGTTCGTACTCTCTCTCCTCCAAGTCTGATGAAGACACAGCCATCTAGTAAGTGGAGCCGATGGGGCCGAACTTGATGTTGGAGTAAATGACAGTGGAGTCGCTGCATTCTGTCAGTGGTTTTGCGCGACACATCACGAGTGGGTAGTTATGACTTACGCGTTCGCAGACTCAACGTCAGAGGGGACACCGCTGCTGGTGGCGCATGTGCCACGGGCAACACCGGGCTTGCTCGTGTCAGCACTGACGGGGTAGGAGGAGTCGAGCCAGAGCATGTTGGCGTAGTGCTATTTCACACGATGTCAGTTCCCATTCAACGCCACTACTTTCAATAGAAGAGGAAGAAAACTCACGTCATCCCACAGGGACATGACAAGAACCATGCCCTTGCTGAGGGCACTGTTCATGCCGGACAGGCCGCCCTTCTGGCTGAAGACGTCCTGGTCGCCGAACGCGGTCTTCTGGGCCGTGCACATGGCGGTGGAGATGGAGTTGTAGGCAGTGAGGCCGGCGACGGTGGAGTTGGGCTGCTGGATCTTGACGCCGTTCTGGATGTAGTACTGCTTGATGGCGGTGGAGCTGAACTGCGTCACGACGGTGAACTTCTTGGTCGTGTCGACCGTCTTGCTGGGGCCGTAAAAGTCCTTGTTGCCCATGCGGTAGGCGTTCCAGTCGCACCCGTCGGGGTCGCAGTCGCCCGCGTACCGCGTCGACGAGTACGTCCCGCCGCATGCATCGGCGGCACAGCTGTGCTGTGCGGAGTTGGTGCACGGGTGAGGCGTGAAGGCCGTGCTGATCGAGTTGGCCTCCCACACGTCCATCTCGGCGCAGCAAGATCCAACGTTACCGACTCCGGCGTTGGCGTCGTTCGTAGAGGGCTTCCATCCCTCAGCGTTACCCTGCGAGCCGGTATTGTCAGTAGGGAAGGGGCTATTGGGATATTGCTTTCGTACGTACCGCTCCGTTGATGAACTTCAGGTCACGTGGGCATTGGCTGTCGCAATATCCAGTACCATACTTGGCGCCGGCTGTGTTGGTGGAGTACTTGGCCATACCGCCATCGGCGTCCATAGACACGAAGTACAGCGCACCGTTGAGGCCGCACTATCCAGTCTGATCAGCTCACATCCAAATGAGAATCCGTGCCATTGGATACTTACGGGCAGCTTCGACAGATCGACGTCGAAGGAGAACTCGTTGTTGAGCAGGTTGAAAATCTTGTACTTGGTGGAGGACTCCATGAGGTACAGTCTGCTGCCAATGTTCTTGCCCGAGCTCTGGGTCACAAACTTGAGCGACAGAGCATTTCCGCTCGTGGTGGCGCCGTAGGTGCCCGAGTAGTCAGCTCCATCGAGCACACAGTTTGCGGCACAGCTCTTGTTGTCGGGGCATATCGTCGCGTTCCACGTGTTGCCCGTGTAGCAGTTGGTGTAGCCGTTCTTGTCGTGGACCCATCGCCAGTTGGAATCTGGAATCTTGTGAGCATTGGCTCCAGGTCGCACAATTGACCCATATTTCAAAACATACCGATGACAACCTCGCCACTGTTGGTAGTGCAGCTTGACGGGGAAGTGCAAGACTGCCAGGTCATCGCGGGGTGAGTCTCAGTCTTCTGCGTGCCGACGCCCTGGGCGTTGACACTAGCAGTGAGCAGACTGCTCGCGAGTGCGATTTTGCTGATCATCCTGATGACGGTGCGTATAGCCTATAGTTGCTCGAGATGCTGGGTAAGGATGAAGACTGAACAAGCTCACCAAGCAATAGCCGAGCCGTTGAACTTATATATTGTCACGTACAAGCTTCATGGTCCGGCTGGACGGGTTGGTTGCGCTCATGTTGATCAGGGAGATCTCCCAAACAGGAAATTCGGCGAAGTCGGAGACATGGCACATGGAACCTTCATTTGTTCAACACGTTCCAAGAAGGAACGATGGGCCGGCTTCCGACATCGAGCAGACTCTGTTGTCACCATGTGGGTGGGTAATGGGAAGATCCCGTACGGCAATATAATTGCAGGGGGGCTAGCAGGGTGGGCGAACGGGCTGCCTCGCCCCAGAGACCAGCGTGAAGAGGTAGGTGCGGCTGGCTAGGTGAGCATAGGGGACAAGAGAGGAGGTCAAAAAGGAACAGGACGAGTGTGAATCAGCCGTGGCATCCGGAACGGAGCGAGGACCTCAGATTCGGGTATAGTTTCAGATCCACAGTGACATCAAAGCTTGAGCTTGGTGGCAGTAATATGGGGGACCAAAGAAAGGGTAGAGGTGCGGTAAGTAATATGTGAAGCTGCAATACCATTGGGCAATTACAAGAGACGCGTGGAGGTTTGTGTAGCTATTCGGCCAGATGATCATAACTGTGATGGCAGGATCATCGACGCCGTCTCCCAACAAGGGGCTCAGATTCACTGGACTGCATATCACGTACACGAATCGGGGGGCCAGACACCCCCGTCCATCACTTCTTGCTCAGTTGGTAGGAGCTGGGATCAAGAACCTGCGCAGTAACCTGTCACACCCGGAAACCAGGCCCTGGAAAGGCATCAAAATTTTGACACCAAGCGCTACTCCGTCGTGAGCAGCTCGATGGGGCTGCTCCAAGAGATGAGGCGACCTCCGGGCCGTGGTGGCTCCGGGCCTCGTGCCATTACCTCAAGTCATCTTTCGAGGACGTTGCCCAGACATCGCTGGCGCTTGCCAAGATGGGGGGTGTTAACGCTGTTGACCTTTTCGGGACTCACAGACAACAATGATAGCATGTCTGCCTCGTGAGCAGTGGAAAGAGTCATATGTGGCGGTGTTGAGACGGAGAAATGAGATTTCCGACAGTCAGGATCGAGTCAGCCCATCGTGCTTCGGCGAGACGTCCTACTGGTCTCCATCCAGCCACATGACGGAGCACCAGGGATGTCATGCATGTACATGTACCATTGTCGAGGTTAACGCGTTTGTGAGACATGCGGTTAATCTCGGGGAAAGCAGTCAGGAGCGAATCATCTCATGGTTCCTGGACCGGCCGCTGGTACCAGGTTGGGAGTGGTGGCTACCGAGACATATATGTATTTGAATGCTTGTGTCAACTATAGATTCGTATTTGGGAGACGGTGGTGACCGTAGGTTGAATTAAGGTTGGATTGAACAGGGATCTTCGACTTGACGGTGTCTGGACCTCCCCGGACTTCTTGTCGCCGGCAGAGCACCTAACGTGGCGTCTGGGGTGCATCGCTGGGCGTGTTGTGGTTGCTGAGCAAGTGCTGTCTCCCATTGGACATAGAAGCTGTCGGTGCAGACTACAGGGCGATCGTTGCCGTCCTGTCAGGTGTCATTTGCCGGCGCTGAAGGGGGAGGCGTCACGCCGTTGGGCTTTAGGCGCGGAGTGTTATCCTCCTGTCTTCCAGGTAAGGTAAGAAGCGTTCTAGAAAGATGTGGGGAAATCACACTGTCCAGGTGCTACCTCGCGCCATAATTCTGCCGACTGAAACCTTGATCCAAAGCTTCCCCTGTTTGTTTCTTGCTCTGAAGCTTGCTTTAACGAGGCCCCACAGACGGTTGTCGGCCTCGGCCTCGGCCTAGCTCTGACTGTCAACAGCGCACGGCACTGCTGTGTTTAGGCTATTGAGCACGACCAAATTCTGTCGAACTCGAGATCAGGGCACCTTTGGATGGTATTAAGCATCATGTCTGTCACGATAACGTGTTGAGCTGACAGCTGAGTGGAGAATAAGCGGTAAGTACAAGTCCACGTCAGGAGTTGTCGGAGGAGTTCGAGCCGAATTATCACATTCTGGGTACATCGATGCAAGTGGTGCAGCTCGTCTGATCATGTTGTACCTCCTTGGCAATCCCTGGTAGCATATGCACCTGTATATAAGCTTGCTGCTTGCTGTAATATGGACGCGCACCCCATCAAGCCGGCCACGTAAGGGTGTGCTAATGAAAGGCGTGGTTAGGACGGCACAGGACGAAGCTCGCAGTGACAGGCAATACAAACGAAACATGAAACTTGCTATCGAAACGGGAGGGCGGAAGCACAGATTAGGAGACAGAGCATGAACAAGATCGAATTGGGCGTGGTCGGTGCTGAGAACCCCTGCTGAGCAGACATCGAAGCAAGATAAATTGCCTGAGGACGGGGGAGAGATTTCCGGTTGACTTCGAGGTGACCCCGCTTACCCAACGTTACCTGGGACAAAACGCATGGCCAGCCACACACACAGCCAAACGAGGCATTAATCACAGCTCAAAATTAGGTCACCTGTGGGACGGTAAGCTCAGCATGTATTTCATGTTCAGTTTGGCCTGCCTAATGCGCTGCTTGAAAGGCAGACAATACTCGTGTACTTGCTGTTGAGTTCAAGCTCGAGCCAGTGCAAACATTGAACTAACTCGCTCAGATCAACGAGATCAGCAAGGTATTAAATGAGATCTGGCTCTGCACGTGGAAACGAATTGCGCCAAGTCGATGACTGCCTTACAGTAATCATTCTATAAGGGAGTGTGGGTGGGGTCATTACCATTACCTGGTTCATATATGCCCCTCACTGATCACGTGCATTGGATGTTCACTCACGACCATGGCTGCTCATGCACTTGAGTGCTAGTCCTCTCGAAGGAAAAAAAAAACCTTTGATGATTTATGTTTAAAGTGAAACAATAATAACGTTCGATCGTTGCACTACTTCCGGTAGCGAACCAGGGGAAACTTATATACTCGGTGACGAAAATATGTGAGAAATTGAAATTCCTTCAGAAATGTAGGGGTGGGGGCCGAAACTCCGTGAGAGACAAACGGGACGAGGGGGAGACATCAGTATAAGGAAACTGAAAAGAGACAGACTACGCATGGACCAGCCCAAGACCTGCTGGCGGCTTCAATGCAGAAAATTCGCTCAAGACTTACTTTTCCCGTCGCTTAGCGGCCCGCTCCTCCACCTCGATGTCATCAACATCACGAGATCTTTTCCGAGAACCAGATCCCACTGGCCCCGTCGTCATCGGCCCCGGGTCTCGACAATACGAGGGCTTCCGAAAGGCAAAGGATAGCTGGGGCCACGCTCTCTCGAGCCCATCCCGAAAAAGGATGTCCTCGTTGCCCTCATTCAGCTGGCTCGCGTAAACCTCCATGAGGCCATCGTGCAGCATCTCATAGGTCTGAAATACAGAGTGGCATCTGTCTGGGCCATCCTCCTTGTCACCCATGGTTAAGATTTCAGGGTCATTGATCCCAGTCAATTGGACCTCGTCCCAGGATATGTGGCCTCTAGGCACATTGACCATTATGACGAGTTCCCATGACGAAGGAAAACATTCGAAGACTTCATTAAGCAAAAATTGTCGTCTCTGAGTGTTCTCGTTCTCGTTCAATTCTTCGTGTTGCTCCCACCGCCTTCCCGCCCAGCGGACGGCCTCTTCGAAGACATGAAGGCTCATCATAATGAAATTAATTTCGTCCTCATCTGTAGGCCCACGCAGGAGTGCGGGATACTGACGAGTTGCCATGAACTGCTCGAGATTGTCTGGAAGCCAAAATAGATCCCAGGCAAGAGAGACACCAAGTCCAAACAGCGCGTTGCAATAGAGTGGTGGGTCGATCACGTTCAGGGTATCGAGGAAACGAGTCCCAATGTACCTACCGGCGCTACTTATTCCCATGATCTTGTGGGCCACTACGGAAGGGTTCTCCTCGTGAAGTTGCTGACGGTTCTCAGCTGTGATCTGCCAGCAGATCAAGTGGAAGTCAGGATGAAAGCTTGAGCGCGCCTCGACATCCAGAAGTACAACACGAGGCTTCAGAGTGGCAAGAACAACCTCCTCGAAGACCATCAGCTGCAGTTCGGAAGGCAAGAGCTGAAACCATGAGAACCTATCGAGCGATCTCGCTTGCATTCGATGCTCTTGAGACTCTTGAGGCTGTGACATGACGTGGTCAATGAGTGGGTTATTTTCTCGAGACTACCGTCAAAAGAGAGGTGAGTGATAGTACAATATACAAGGATATTGTGCAGCTATGGTAATTAGACACGAGACTTATAGTCTGGCATGATTCCACTCTTGGAACAATACTATTTATCAGACAATGCTTTCCTTTTGCGTTGGTTCAAAGGCAGTCTCTTTTACGTTGTGTGCGAGCGATTCAACGCACATCGAGCCGCTCACGCGAACAAGAGCAATGTCAAAAAAAGACACGAGCCAAGCTCTTCACGGGTAAGAAAGACAAAGACCAATCTTCACAGTCGGCTTTCTGGAAGTTCAGAACAATGCATGGAGTCAGTATGGAGGTTTGCACAAGATTTGCCAAGTGTATCCAGCTGCACAACCTAGGCATAGTACGGATGCATGGCATGTGGGAATTGAGGTACGAGTCAGTCGAGTGCCCATCAGACTTTCATTTTATCCCGTTTTAGACGTGTACTCGATTGCTTGCGCTATGAAGTCGAGCGCGAGACCAAAAAGGCCACAATGTCCGGAAAACCCTGCCGCGCTTAACCAGTCTCGTCGCATCCTTCGCGCCCAACGTTGCACAAAGCCCTGCCGCAGCCCGTAGCTCTCCTCACTTCCACCAACCCAATCGTCAGGAACAAAGATCTTCACATCCGCCATTGTTGAACATCCGCTTCCCCGAACCACACCCTCTGCCGTGCCTTTACCACCTCAACAGCCCTCACTTTATCCGCTCTCCCTCCCCTCAATCCTCCAATCATGGGCGTCATCGGAGCAACGGCCACAGCCGCCGTGGCCGGCCTGCACGGCTACATCCTCGTGCTGCAAATGTTCCTCTGGGACAAGAAGCCCGGCATGCGCGCGTTCCGGCTGACGCCCCAGTACGCCGCGCAGACTAAGGTCCTCGCCTCCAACCAGGGCCTCTACAACGGCTTCCTCGCCGCCGGTCTGGCCTGGGGGCTGGCCCACCCGGTGTCCGAGTTCGCGACGCAAATCCGGCTGTTCTTCCTCGGCTGCGTCGGCGTCGCGGGTGTCTACGGCGCTCTGACGGCCAACAAGAAGATCCTGTTCATCCAGGGCGTCCCTGCTGCTGTGGCTGCTGGTCTGGTTCTCTCGGGGCTGTGATCTCGGATGGGAGGCGTTTGGCGAGCCAGGGGTGGGCGAGGAGGTCTTTCGCGGGTGTGCGGTCTTCGGGCTTGTATTTGATGACGGATCTGATGAGGCTGACGGCGGGTTCGAGTTCTTCGCCAGGCAGGGTCCAGTATTCGTGCTGTTTAGTGTCCGCCTTGCTATCCTGGCCGGATTCCGTCTCGTCACGACCCTCGCTGGCTGGGAGAGCCCGCACGAGGGTAGGTTTAGCAAGAAATAAGAAAATCACGTCTTCTGTCCCCTTGACGTCAAGTCTACGCTTTTTCACTTTTTGCAGCTCTCCTGGTCTCCAACCCAAAGGCTCTGACTCATGCAGCTCCTCGTATTTTCTCTTCATCTCGCCACGCCTGTACCCTATCCACTGAGCACGGTATGGCTGTGGCAACGGTCCCAGAGCGTCTTCCCATCTGCGCAGCGGGCTCCATCGTACATCCGTCTTGCTTTCCTTGAATGGGTTCCTGGGTCCGAGGATGTGCGTCAGGGAGCAGCCGAGAGCCCATAGATCCGAAGATTGGCTTGGATTGGAGCCGAAGAACTGTTCAGGTGCCATAAGAGACTCGTCTATGATTTGGTAATTCGGAGGATTCGAGGTCTTGAACAATGCGCCGAAGTCGATAATTGCGATGTCTTTTTTCAAGTATTTCCAGTCGACCTTGGTCCATTTCATAGGCTCGTAGATGTGTTTCGGCGCGTATGGTCCAGGGCCCTCTTGTCCTTCGGCGTATAGGCATTCATAGCTGAATTGCTTAAATAAAGGCTTGGCGTCCTCCAGTTTCAGGTCATTGATATTTGTCTGGAGCAAAATATTGCCAGGGTGGAGGTCGCCGTGGGCCAGACCCTTGCTGTGAAGGAAGGCCAAGCCACTGGCGACTTGGGAACATATATCTTTTAGGAGGTCAACGTTCCCTAGAAACTTGGCAATTTGTACGTTCGGCCCCAGTACAGGCATTACTATACATAGATGTCGCCCATTGGGTCCTTCTTGCCAGAAGTGCTCTAGGGGGACTGCAAGGTGGTTCTCGTACGCGTCCTCCACGCTGACTTGATCACCGCCATCCGAGAGGAAGTGGAGGAGCTTGATCTCTTTCTCGTAGTCCTCCTTAATTGTCTCTGCACGCATCACTTTGACAGCTCGGAGCCTTTCCATTTTGGTGTCCCAACACATCCATACTGTCCCGAACGAGCCGTACCCGAGCTTTCTTAGGACCTTGAAACGATCTGATTCGCCAAGGGAATCCTCGATGAGGACAGGATGGAACCCTCCCGGGCGGTAGTCCTCCAGGTTCTCATGATACCTGATGGCTCGCAATGGGGAGTAATTGATTGAAGAAGATTCGCTCTTGTCAGCGGGAGGTTTAGTTGATGGCAGCGAGGCTGTTGGACATGAAGGCGCGTTGTTATTATTGCATGAAGTCTCCATTGTGATGCTCCAGGGGTGTGTAGCTTCGAAGGATCTGCTGATGAGAGAGTAAGACAAAGAGAGAGAAAGAGAGAGAGAGATGGGAATGCAGAGTAAAACATTAATTGGTGCACGATTTCCCTGCGATCGATTTACTTCAAGGTGTGGTCAGGGCTGACTGAAAGTGAATTCGGGTTTAAATGCCTCGAGACAGGACGAATTTCAATGGATTTGTTTAGTGTGGCATTCACTTATTTTCAAGCAATTGTTGTATGTTTCTGTTAGTGTCTATTAATGGACACAATTTCATCTGAAATCAGTCTTCCAGTGACCAATCAGACTGCCAACTCCAAATTTTGCGGATTTTCTTCAATTCTACTACGCCTAGGCAGATAGTGAAGAGTCCAGTCCATACGGGTGCACGCATAATAAGTCAGTCACTAATCAGTCTGGCTACCATCCGAAGTCGAATCACTTCTGTCAGGTTCACCACATCGCACAAGAGGAAGCTCAAAAAAAGGTGTGTCTGGCAAATATTTATTTTTTATACCAGGGCTCCAGGAATTAATATTATACTATAGCGCCGAGCTTTTCCCAAAATGTAAACTTTTAATGTTTTTACCTAGTCACACTACGAGTCCTCCTAAAGAAAATGCTCGACCTTCTTCGAGTAGACTGGATGTAACCCTTGATTGACTGGGCAACCGACTTTCTCCGTTGGCTCAAGGACAGTCGTTGCGAAATTGACACCCTCGCCAACCGCTTCTGCGGCGGCGCCTCGCTTACTGGGCAAGATGCGTGCCTCCTGCCCATAAGACCCTGCGAGCGCTTCGATCCGCGCGCGGTTTCTATGCTGCTCAGTCTTCGTAGTTTCTCTTCCCTGATATTTGTGAACTTCAGCTGGCGCTGGTTGACGAGGTCCATCATCTGCGTTGGCGACGTGGTCGGCTGGCCCGGCAGAGGCGAGGACAAACTCCTAATTGGGTAGCGTCTCAAACTGACTGGCGGGCGTGATGACCTATTGATATTCATGCCTTGTGGGTGAGAGGTCAGGCCTCTAACCCTGTTCATAGGTAATCTTCGCTGTCTTCCAAGTGTCTCAGCCTCTGACTCTGGGATTCCCGGGAGTTCCACAGCCAGCTTTGGACGAGTTTTCGACTTGGGCGAGGATGAGTTTGGAGACGTTGCCTCGGTGGCCTTCCGGTCTTTGTCAAGCTGAGCTGTCTTCAGACGAAGTGGGCCGACTCTGAGGGCATCGGATGCAGAGGGTTTGTTGCTTGAGATCTTGGCGCTGGCCGATTGTTGTAGACTGTCGCCGACGTTTGACTTTGTGTTCTCTGAATGCGACGTCGCCGGTTTATCCGCGCCTGGGTTCTCATCTACCTCCTCTTTCAGAGATTCGAGCTGGCTATCCTCAACTTCCTTGACGTCTTGATGGTGAGTCAGGATCTTCTCTTTGGTCGACCTTGATCTCGATTCGTCACCTCCTGTCTCAGGAGGAGAGAGATCCATGGAGTCTATTTCTCGTAACCTAGGTGATCCATTGCCGGCTGCTTTCTCCTCGGCGCTTGATGCCGAGTCAACCTTGGTGAGATCCTTTGGTGTATCGCTTCCTTTCAGGAGGGCATCGAGGGGCGGCGACCAGAGGCTCATGTTGTTCAAATTCATCTTGAGTTCGGCGATGTCATCGTGTTCCCCATCATGTTCCCAGTCATAGTCCGGATTCACCGATCGCCTTCTACCTTCCAATGTGGCTGTCGATGTTCCTGAACCTTCAGAGGCTGCATAGCCTGCCTCAGCTATCTGCCGCTCCGCGATGTCATATGTGGTGCTCTCAGACCCAGTCGATGTCGAAGACCTTCTTCGAGGTGCGGTAGATGACGACGATTTTCGTCGGGGAAAATGCTCCCATGGTCGTCTTGCGAAATTCATCGTCACAGTCATTGATCTCCTTCTGCGACTGGCTTGTGTCGTAACAGTGCCGTTCCTCTTCGTCTCAAAATAGGAGACCATATCCTGCACCTTGCTCATCACGCCGGAAGCTGATTGAATCATCTTGACCAGGGGAGGGCCGGTATTGGTGGCCAGAGAAGTCTTTGTTCGAGCTCAAAGAACCAACGATGCAAGCTTTCTCGTGAGATAATTGCTGGAAAGGCGGTTTACCGAAGGTTTCTTTGTCCACTTCTCCGGATCGGCCATGAGGACTTGCTAGTAATAAGTCCAGTATGGTGCTCAGACCGAGCCAAACAGCTGCGGAAAAGGGGCCAAGTCGGAGCAGTGACATGCGATTCTAGAGCCGCCACCGGTGATATTTCCAATATTAGCCCCTGCATGTTAGTCCCTGAAGCAGGACTCAGCGTAGGGCTACGAGATCTACCCGCTGATCTGGACAAAATCCGGCCGCGACGCTACTCCCGAGTATCCCAAAGGAGGCTAGAAACACGGGACGTTGCCAAGAGTCCTGCTACCATCCTACTGTTGGACACTCAAATGCAAATGTCTGCGGCCTGCCATGATAACGTTTATTACAATGGTCCGCCCATCAAACAACACAAAATGGTCAGACAAACCAACAGTATATCGAGCATGCACCTCTTCATTGAAGACAGGGTGCATGCATGAGTTTCGGTACTTGGAAGACGGCAAGGCCCGACAGCCCTACGGTGGTTTCTAGCGCTGCTTAGTCTACCCCTTTCTGATATAGTCTGGCGTGGTTCTTTTTCTAGAAACGCTCAGACACTTTAAGGTGATTCAGCTTGCCGCCGAAGCGACGCTCGAGCACACGACGCAGAATTTTCTGCAGCTTTGAAGCCCCAAACAAGTCTGAGATCCTGTCATTGATGAGCAACGTTTTCGAGAACGGAGGTATGACTGGAATGTGAGAAATGCTTTTCCACAGACGATGATTTTGCAAGTTGTGGCCGAGTTCCTCTACAAGTTGCACATCGAGTTCCTCAAGCTTGGACCATGATGCCGAGCCCGAGATTCTTGGAGCGCCAATCAGAGAGTCCAGCTCGTCACTGGCGCTCGTATACTTCTCAGCACGAACCGGTGATCAGCCGCACATCCGAAGCTCCCGCGTCTTTTGTGAACAAAGAAAACCTCGCCTCGCCTCCGCCTCGAGCTTGGCACTCCACCACACGAGGCACCTTTCCCCCTCGTAAACGCAGTCTAAGATCGTCGGCGGATGGTGATACGAGTGGCGAAAGGAGTCCAACGGAGTCAAAGTAAGTGCACAGGACTGGTGCTTAGTGACTTTGCTAATAAAATCCTGCAGGCGGAAGCATCTGCTTCCCGCTTCCCCAGACACTGAGGCCCGCCGGCAACGAGCCCTGCCGAAAGTCCGAATGTGCCGTGCCGTCTTCACTCTGCTCAACGTACAGGATGATGGGTTTGGCCGGCTATCGTCAGCAACGATAGCCGTGGCAAGTCCATGGCCGTGATTTAGGACCTAAATTCCAATCCGGTGAGCAGGGACTCCGAAGAAACATAGGCGAAACAAAGGCGCCTTTTAACTTGAACATACTGTTATAATGGTGGCGCTTGAAGAGCTGGACCGGATATGAGACTGGCCGCTGAGGCAAATCTTGCCCTGATGAAGAAATTGGATCATCAGTTGGCAACATGTCCCTGGTCCTTGGTGCCTCTCTGGAGCTGGACTAACATTCGACAAGTCGCAAAAGAAAAGAGCGACTGTGCAAATGACAAAGTCAGGCCTTGCCTTGTCAGGTACGCAGAGGCTTGAGAATTGCTTAATCTCCGCGGGCTTGAAGAGCCGAAAGGCCCAGAATGAAGACAGTTGAGGACATAAATGATCACAGAAGCTGAATGGGTAATTGATTGACAAAAACAGCTTTATGAGATTCGTGGATTGTGTGACAAACGTTTTCCATTGATGTGTTGGATTCAAGAGATTCAACATTCTCATGACTGCTTGAGAGCTAGCCAGCATCAAAAGAGAGTACTATGCAATATGACTAGTACTTAGCAATAAATGGCTATAGCTCTCAGACACATCTATCCATAGACATCAGATGACACCTGGCACTTCATTCATCTGATAGTGTCAAGCAACAACAGCCAAGCTGTCAGATGAGTCTAAGAGCCTCCAGGGTGGTATCAGCAGAAGCACAGTCAGGAGTCTGAACAGACTCAAGTCCCAAAACTTAACTTGATCTGCAGGAGTCTCTTGATCCTTTGCATGTGAAAAGTCTGATCACAGGCCTGGCCAGTCCATTGGAAGTCAGCAGACGTCGAGACAAGCAAGTCCGTGTCAGAATCCAGGGGCCGCTGGTCTGGGTAGCTTGTGCCTGAGCTCGCTGTCGCTGCCCCTGAGCGTCTCGAGCGGCTGGCTCCGTTTTGAGGTACCGTTTCCTGAGCGAGCTTGCTCCGTTTCTGAACGCCGTTTTGCCTGGGAGGTCCCGCTGAGAATTCTTTGGTGCACAGATTTGGCCGTCTGCCATGTGCTTTGAAGTTGCTAGAGCACATGAGTGGCACGTGAAGCAATCTGCTGACCTCAATTTGAGGTGTGTTCAATACCTATTTCATGTGATTGTTATGAGTTTACCTGGAGAGCCACTAAGAATCTTGATAACAATCCCCGTGTCCATCAGCACTGTCGAACTTCAGTGAAGGATCACACGTTCACATATACCTGACCACTACTATACGACGTCTTGGGTAAATTTATCAAAAAATGAGATCTCGAGGGCTTTTTGAAAATGTACCCGTCATTCTTATGATTGTATTTTCGATTTGTTACTCAAGAAACCCGCCCTTTTCCCCCTTCCCTGTCTCATGCTTTTGAGTTTCCAATGAACATATATACCGAAGCATTTCAACGTGGCTATATACCCACGACCTAGGTAGATGGGAAAATAAGTATGTGGTCACTCTGACAGCTTGCTAGTGACCAGGCAGAAATCCGTCAAGTTCCATCAATCAGGCTTGCAGGATTGGTCCCTTTTCCCCCAACGTGCCTCTTTCTGCCCGACACCATCACAGACTGAATGATTTGGACCACGTATGAAAAGGGCAATTGAGTATGAACTCGGAAAACCCATTTTCAAGCTTTACAAAAATCCAAATCGGCCCTCTTGGGTCGCTTCCACGTCCTTCCACCCTCCCAAATACTTGAACCGCACCACCCATTCACCCACATCTGCCCACCGCGAGGAAGAGACATCTGGAGCCTTTCAGGGCCGACACGCCCAGATCTCGAAGTCTGACAACCACCGTATGGTGAACAACGTAAAGTCCCTCACGGGTATAAAATCCGTTATGAGCCTGCTAAGGCGGATCTGATTGCCGCGGGTGCTGTCGACGCTAAAAACGGCGTACACGCCGTGCGTGGTCCCCTGAGCTGCCTTTTTGATCCAATTTCTCTTAAACTCTTGGTAACAGTTTTCTTCGAAGCCCCAGCCCGTGACGATCCCTTCTTTCATCAAGCGGGTCATGTCGGCCCTCATTTCCGGGTATTTGAGTCCCGCCTCTTTGAGGCAGTACCAGAATCTCCTGATAAACCAGGGGAGTTTCTCGTCTGGGTTAGGTTCACTCTTCCTCCATGGGCACTTTGGATCATCATTGCCCGGTGAATCCGTGGGATCGGGCTGCGGCGGAAGCACGGGTGTTTCTGTGGGCGGATCGTCAGGCTTGGGCGGAACTACAGGTGGGTCTTCAGGATCGGTTTCGGGGGGATCAGTCGGCGGGCTTGCTTCAGAATCCGTTGTTGTACTTTTGGGAGTATTTGTCTTGGAGCTCGTGGGACGACTCGTCGTTGAGCTTTTGGTGAGAGTTGTTTTTGAACTTGTTGGAGGACTTGTCGTTGAGCTTGATCGAGTTGTTGTTGTGGAGCTTATCGGTGCATCTTCCGGATCGTCATCGTCATCTTCATCTTCATCTTCATCTTCATCTTCATCGTCATCGTCATCTACAGGATCTCCTGGTACATCGATAATACGATCGTAATCATCGTCAGGATCGTCAGGATCGATAAATGACGGGGGGTCATCCAATGTGGCGTCAACCGCCGACACGGCGGCTCTGGTCTCTTTTCGGGCCGGTCCAGTGCCATGGGAGCTACCGTGTCGCTCAATCAGCGACGAGGCGACGCCTGTGGCAGCAATAGCTGTCAAGAGAATGGCGATAATTCTCATTTTGTGGGTGTGTGCACAAGCCCCAATCAATCACGTCTTTGGGCTGCTGGAACTGGAACGCCCGAGAGGAAAGGATTTTGGATCAATTCCTTTTGCTATGCGCCTTCTTATACACAGGGCAGCCGGCACCTTGCCGTATGCTCGAGGTGCCTCGCTAACAGTGCATCCATCGATGTCTAGCCGACATTTCGTTGCATGCGCTATTCAACACCGCTCTTGACTAAGAGGCCCTTGGCAGGCCCAAATCAACAACATGATTTCAATTTTGAATCATGGACAAAGTCAAAGTGTCTTTCTAGAGGGTGCTACCGTCGTGAATTGGCCAGCAAGGCGGCAGGGGTGTGCCCTGCCCGTTGTTTCTGACGGTGGATCAGTCCGTTGGTTGAAGTGCACCATCAGTCATCAATGAGAGTCGCGTCCTGAATATCGGTCATATAATCCATATCTTGGAGCTTCGTGCCATCGAGGAGGACACACACATGCATTGACACCTCTGTGGTCTTTGGCCACGATGTCCGGGTGCCTGCCTTCGATCACATGGCTGTGTACGAGATGTTTCTTGCAGCATAGATTGATCGAAGGCTTCAAAGTCAAGAAGCCTTTAGATATGAGTCAATGAAATATGGTCCACTTGGCCATGGTATTCGGACCATTGAGCTCGCCTGGAAGCAGGAGTACAGATGAGAGCTAGAGGTATATACATACGCGGAAGCTATCCTGCAGGGTTTCTCTTAGCCTTCCCTATCATCTTGTTTTCTTTCTTCACATTGAGATTTTATATACCGAACATCGCACCATCCCGGGCCACCAATTCGCCCACCCCACCATCTTAGCTGGCAAAACTACTCAACACCTACACAAATGTCGGCGCCGAGGGCTGAACGCCCGCTGGGACCCATTGGCAGAATTGTAAGTATATAGATGCTGACTAGCTCTGGAGGACCTGGATTTGATTCTCCTTCTGCGAATGACTTTTTACTGGCCGCTGCTTTTGTGTGTCACGTTCAAAGCTAACCCAAGAAAAGTCATCCCTTCCCGCGGTAGCCCAGGAAATGGAACAAATTTCCACACTGGGTAAGATTCCCCTCATTGCCGAGGTGGCTTGGGCGGAGCTCACCCGAGTCACAACCCCGGCAAGATGACCCAGTCGCACTGCCATCGAGAACATTTGCCGGGAGAGATCAACAACAGCGACGAGGAGACGGAGACGGTTGTGTTGACCGCAAATTAGTGAGAGAGAAGAATGGATTTCTTCCCAATATCTACCTTCACATTCCAATGGATGCTTGACAAGATGTATTCAACCATTGATTTGCTACACGTGCTGTCGCTTTGCACCATAGTCGTAGGCGGGGCGACGAATGCGCCAACAGCACAGGTCAAGAATGGCACCTACACTGGCCGGTATTCCGCGGAATACAACCAAGACTTCTTCCTCGGAATGCCATATGCGCAGCCTCCAATCGGCGACCTACGGTTTCGACAAGCGCAATCTCTGAACGACACTTGGGAGGGCACCCGCGAAGCCTGGACCTACTCGCCATTATGCGTCGGCTACGGTGTAAGTTAACTAGGTGTACTAGTATTATAGTCGGTATCCCAGATGACTGATGATTGCGGTCCTAGCTCGACCAAACATTCTACAATCAATCCGAAGACTGTCTTACACTCAACGTAGTACGACCTTCAGGCTACACTGAACAACCTCTCCCAGTCGGGCTTTGGATTCATGGAGGTGGCTACACCAATGGCGGCGGTGGAGACCAGCGCTACAACCTCTCCTTCATCGTTGACCAATCTATCAAGATAGGGAAGCCATTCATCGGGGTCTCTATCAACTACCGCCTGCACGCATGGGGTACGTAACGGCGGGGTATCAATTTTTTTGCGCAATAAATCAGAAAGTCTTACTAACTCCAGGGTCGTGATAGGCTTCTTGAATTCCAATGATCTAGCGAGTGAAGGGCTGACCAACACCGGCCTCCGCGACCAGCGCCTCGCAATGCACTGGGTGCAAGAGAACATTGCAGCTTTCGGAGGCGACAACACCAAAGTCACCATGTTTGGAGAATCGGCGGGTGCTGCAAGTGTGGGTCTGCATTTGACAGCATACGCCGGGAGAAACGACAGCCTCTTCCGGGCGGCGATATTGCAGTCCGGGAATCCTATTTTCTACGGAGCGCAGAATGGACCTGACTTTTACCAATCCCAATTCGACGAGATTGTTGCCAACACGGGGTGCAACTTCACATCGGACCCGATACAGTGTATGCGGCAGGTTCCCTTCGAACAGCTCAACGCCACCCTGGGCGCGTTGTACTTGGCGCACGGGAACCTCAGCCCGGTCATTGACGGCGATATTGTTCAGACCTACGGCAGCGTACATCTCCGGCGCGGGGAGTTCCTACGTGTACCAATCATCGTCGGCGCGAACAGCGATGAAGGAGCCTCTCTCGGGCCGCAGGGTATCAACAACACGGCAGACTTCAAGGTCACTCTCGCGAGCCTCCCAGTACCGTTTCAAGACCAGATCCTGCAGGCCTACCCCGATGACCTCTCCGTCAACGTGGTCGCCAGTCTCGGCCAGCAGCGCCCCGGCCCGCCATATGGGGCGCAGTTCCGCCGGAGCGCCTCGTATTGGGGCGACGCCTTCTTCGTAGCTCCGCGCCGGCAGACGGCTGCGACCTGGGCTGCCTACGGACTGCCCGCGTACTCGTATCGCTTCAACGCGATCCCACACGGCGTTCCGCCCGAGGTCGGCGCGGGTCACTTCAAGGAGATTGGCTACATGTTCCGCAACTACAACGGTACAGGGTACAGGCCTGATATCTTGCCCTTCGAGGGGATGCCGGAGGGCCATTTTGCGCTGGCGACGTTGATGTCGGGCAGTTGGGCTAGTTTTATCAGTGATCTTGATCCGAATGCCTGGGAAGGCAGGCCAGGGAATGTTAGTGCGTGGTTGGAATACTCCGTGGATAACCCGAACAATTTTGTTTTCGATGCCAATGTTACTAGTCATACAGAAGTAGACGATTTCCGAGAGGAGGGCATTGAACTGATCAATAGAAATGCGCTGGATGTATATAGTCGATAGCGTTAGGAAAGTCGAAGCAACATTTGGTGTCAAGTCTTCTGCCACAAACTCCCGGGTTTCTATTTGGCAATAGCAACACGTAGTTTCAGCAATACCATGTAGCGTGATTTGGCGTCAGGGCGTCGATAAAATTTAGGTTTGATGTTGAACCTATAGTATCAGCGAGCACATGGAGTAAGGTTTTCTATTTCACCAGTTATGCATGTATCGGTATTCTGATACGTTGACAAGCATAAATATGAGTTCAGCGTGGATAGTCTTCAGAATATCGAATGACTCCCATTATTTACGTATCAAGTTTATCATTCAAGATCACGTCCAAGCTAGTTATTGGCTCAACTTCGATGTGAACTTCTAAGGTTGACCAGCAAAAACCATGGCCACAGACATGAAAGTCCTCACGGAGCTCCTGACTGTTGTGATGGTTCGATACGACAGCCAATTGTTTCAATTTGAATACCAGTTTATTGATTTCAAAGGTTATTCTTAAGGACCATGTGCGAGGTCAGTACGTGTGTAATGATTTGCCTTCGTTGCTACGCCCCAGATGACAATAAAACATGGTGATATTTTACCGTCCACTGAAGGTAGATCCCGTCTTTCAAGAACTCTGAAACGTGGGGGACATATACTGATTGATGTTTAGAGAAAAAGTGCTTGACCGGCGAGAACGTTTATTAACATGGTTTGTACCAAAAGATCAACGTGGGTCTTGCGAATGAACATGACGGATGCCATCCGTATGTGGCGCAGCTATTCACCAGCAAGCCCCGATACCGGCGTCTCTGTCTGTGGCACGCCAATGGTCAAAGTCCTCTAACTACCTCATGAGCCCGAACTTGTCTCATTTAATTCCTGCAAACCTTCTCATCGCAAAACAAAAGTTGATATTTTCTATTCATTTTATATTATACTTAGCCAAATCTGAATCTCACCGCACATTCAGCAATCAAAGCTAGCCCATTCTTATCTTTGCACCCATCTTGCGAAGTCCTGAGAGAAGATGGCCGCTGCGCAAGAAAAGGCCATATATACTCATGGCCACCATGCCAGCGTAGTAAACAGCCACGCAAGGCGCACCGCACAGGATAGTGCCGCCTTCCTCCTTCCACGCCTGAAACCACATTACACCATCCTAGATATTGGCTGCGGCCCAGGCACGATCACCGCGGACCTCGCCGAGCTCGTGCCAGAGGGTAAAGTGGTCGGAGTTGATGCCGTCGAGGCAGTGCTAGAGCGAGCGCGGGAACACGTGGCAGGTCGTAGCAATATCACGAACTGCACCTTTGAGGTCGCGGATGCCAATGCCCTCCCCTACCCGGACGATTCCTTCGATGTCGTGTTCTGCCACCAGGTCCTGCAGCATGTCCAGGACCCTGTGGGGATCCTCAGGGAGATGAAGCGTGTTGCCAAGCCTGGCGGTATCGTTGCTGCCCGGGAGGCTGACTACAAGAGCTTTGCGTGGTTCCCTGAGCCGGAGGGCTTGGATGAGTGGTTGGATGCTTATCGGAAGACGGCCAGGCTTTGTGGAGGACAGCCTGACGCTGGGCGTTATGTCCGACAGGTCAGGAACCCTCTAGGAGACTTTGTGGAACAAATGCTGACTCAATGCTGTTGCAGTGGGCGAAGCAGGCTGGATGCGAGACAGACGAAGAGCACATGTGGAGTGGATTTAGCTCTTGGTATTACACCGGGGAGGCAGCTAAGGCTTTTGGTGAGAGCTGGACGGACCGTGCCTTGAAATCGGATTTCGCCAAGGAGTTCTTGAGGCATGGGCTTGGCTCACAAGAAGATTTGGATAGGATCAGTGCCACCTGGAAACAGTGGGCATCCGAGGAGGATAACTTCATCGTGATACCAAACGGTGAAATTCTGTACAGGGTCCCTGCCTAGGCAGGGTCGACGTCCGGGATAAATTCATGGGCGCGGAGACACTATTCAATTCGCTGTCGGCGCCAATGACAGATTCACTGCCCGCTGAAATGCTTCCTCTCCAGCTGTGTATATCATGAAACCCTGTCGACTTGATACACTTCCGCCCAGGCTCGATCGGGCTATAGTTGTGCAAGGCGGGTTGGTCATGGTAATTTAGACTTTGCTGCTAGTCTTCCTCGGCGGAAGAGCACCATCATACTTACAAGGCCGGGCTCAGGTTCTCTAGCTGAGAAAACTCAGACAGCAATTGCACAGCAGTACCAATCCATCAATGATGCAGTCTCTCAGTGCGACACGCGATACAGATGGCACCACTTGGCTGACCTATGGCCTGGCGGCAAAGTCACGCTGCTCGAGCAGCTTTAGTCCAAGGCCGGAGCCTGGTACGGTGCCGGGATGAAGGAAGTATTGGTCACATTCGCCGTCATGATCACTCAGCTCCAGTGGCTAAAGCATTTACTGCATTGTCTTCTCACTGGAGGCGGCGCAAGACTGCAGGAAGAGTTGAAGAATACCGGCCATCAGAACTGGGACCCTCTGCACCGACCGGACTGGCTACTAATGGAATTAGACAACCTTTTCATCAGGCTTGAGCATGTTGAGTTAGCCAATGCGATCATATCACCCGAGATAGGTGCAAACTCTGTCTTACAGATGAACATGGACCAAGGTCGGTGTTCCATCTTATGTACCTGCCGCTGTTGCTGACGACTGAGTAGGCAAGACCTGATGCATAGTTCCAATGGCCATTGCCACCCTCGCCGATACTGCATAGATTGTCCGTCTGATTGTACCTAAGGCGCTCCTTTCCCAGACTGCCTAAGTGGTGCAATCCAGGATCAGCGGTCTCGTCGGACGAGAAGTTCGTCATATCCCTTTCTCGCGCCGGACTTCATCGACGGTCGAGATGCTACGCTTGTACATGGACCTGCATAAGGAAAATTGTGAAGACCCAGGCGTCATGTTAACAACTAGTAACCACATACTGTCCTTCAAGCTGAGTGGCCTTCAGCGCCTTGTCGACTTCAAGACACTTGAGGCCAAGACGCTGGCCAGGAAAACAAGCTTGCGTCTAGTAGGTTTGATGCACAATGTCCAGGAAAAAAGTCAAATTCCTGATCATGGCCGCTGTAGGGGCTTTTCATCAAGATCAAACAAAGACATCAATTTTACCCGAGTCTAAGACGTCAATTTTGTCTCCGGACTTTTGTCGAGTCAGGGTTAAGCCTAGCTTATTTCCGCGCAACAATTTGCTCAACCGCTGGGAAATTGCCGCCAGTCCCGTTTCAAAGGCGCTGCTACGATCCAAAATGACCGCAGGAATGCTTCGATGCGTCTAGACTGATAAGTTACATGGGGTGTGTCCCGAGATCCGACATTAGCACAGGGACTAGATCCTCGCCGCATTGAAGGAAGAGATTGGGAACATGGTGTAGTGTTCACTGCTTCCAAGCAACTCGAATGTTGAACATTCGAATTTTTTTATTTGCCCAGTCTGTGTCATAGCTTTTTCAGATGGGTTCTGAACATTCCCTTGAAACAAACATGCAGATCTGCACTGGGGTCAATAGAGCCATCGAAACATCGGCAGAAGTCGATCAAGTGTCAAATTGAACAAGATTCCCCGCCGGGTGGGTCAGAATCCCCAGGATCGCTTTGCAACGGTCGTGTGGGTCCGGCCCAACTACAAGGACAACCTCACTGCTTCCTCCTGAGCTCAAGTAAATATCCGGAGCCCGGCTGACCCGACCCCTGACACAGTTCACTCACCGTTGCCTCATCCGGCTGCTATGATGTGCCAACGGCCCACCCTTCAACCTGGTCAGGCAATCAACTTATTGCAGTGGAACCGTTGCACCGGGCCAGTGGGACACACCCACCTCTCCTAATCGTAAGTGTCCGTCTCGGCGAAGCTTACATTCTCTCTCGAGTCTTGGCATTTAAGTAGAAGGCATCCCGCCGAGATGTTTGAACGTGTTTCTTGTTCGTCTTCATCGCAACAGCAGGCATTCTGATATTGTTTACTTCTGGACTGTGTCCAATCTTCCACTCTCTTTTCTGTCTTTTCCTGACCTGTGGTCATTCACAATCCTTACAAACAACGTCTGCATACTTCAGCAGACATCCACTCGCTAAAAATGCCTTGCGTGAAGAAGTCCACCCTGAGCAGTGCCTTGACTGCGGCCACGGCAGCAGTGTCGTCCATTTACTCAGGCTCTTCTGTCCCTGCTTCTACTTCAGTTGCTGTTCAGACGTCTGTTCCGGTGGTTGCGTCTTCCGTTGTGGCCAGCAGCACTGTGGCCAGCAGTGTCGCTGCCCAGGCTACAGGGTCCGTAGGCTCTTCCACTGCGGCCATTGCCACCAACCAGACCACTTACGCTGGAGTTAACATCGCCGGGTTCGATTTTGGTTGCGGCACTGATGGAACTTGCACTGTGGTATGTTCCCCTGTCCAGACTTTGTCTAAAGGTGACTTGGAAATGCAAAAAGACATTGGCTGACGATATCACTACGATTCATAGGATGGCATTACCGTACCTAGCACTGGTGCCGCGCAGATGCAGCACTTCTACAAAAATGATAACATGAACATCTTCCGCATGTCCGTCGGGTGGCAGTATCTTACAAATAATGTGCAAGGCGGAGACCTCGACTCTACCAACTTCGGAAAGTATGATGAGTTGATGCAAAGCTGCTTGGACAGCGGCGCCAAGGTAAGAGATTCCATACTAGTATTGCTACCGAAAACCTGGAACATTTGGTCCAGTTGTTTTCCGTCGGCCATTTGATAAACCCATCCATTGAAGTCCTTGGGAAGACGTTGGCTAATCAAGTTCGTGTCAGTGCATCCTCGACATCCACAACTATGCGCGCTGGAACGGGCAGATCATCGGGCAAGGCGGTCCAACGAACGACCGTAAGTCTTCCCATATTATTCGCAAGAGGAGGAATTAAGTTATACTTCCATTCAAAAGACTGAGCTCATTCTCCGGAACCACGACGTTGATTGCTAATTCCTGCCCGCGAGTAGAGTTCGCTGCTCTCTGGAGCTCTCTCGCCACGAAATACGCAAAGAACACCAATGTTATCTTCGGCATCATGAACGAGCCCCACGACGTCACTACCTCAACCTGGGCTGATACTGTCCAGGCCGCGGTCACTGCCATCCGCAAGGTCGCCCCTGACCACTGGCTCCTCATTCCTGGCAGCACCTACTCGTCCGCTGCAGCCCTGCCCACAGAGGCTGGCCCGGACCTGCTCAAGGTCACCAACCCAGACGGCAGCACTGATAACATCTACTTCGACGTACACAAGTACCTGGATGTGCGTATTTTCCCGTATCCCTTCGTCGGGAATGCCCTCAAATGCTGACACTACAACACAGAGCGACAACTCAGGCACACACACCGAGTGCACAACCAACAACATTGACGACGCCTTCACACCCCTTGCCAAGTGGCTTCGGGATAACAAGCGCCAGGCCATGCTCACCGAGACCGGAGGCGGCAACACAGAGTCTTGCGAGAAGTACGTGTGCGAGCAGTTCAGCTACCTCAACGAGAACGCCGATGTCTTCCTTGGCTATGTTGGCTGGGCCGCTGGTGGTTTCGACAGCACCTACGAGCTTACCCTTACGCCTACGGGAACTAGCGCGGACTCCATGACGGACACTTCTCTGATGAGCAAGTGCTTCGCTCGGTAAATATGAGTGAGAGAGTGGTTCGTGCATCGAAAGAGGTGCTACAACGGAACAAGCATACGCCGACTAGACATTGGGGTTGGATATCTTTGTACTATATATTTCACTTCATTCGTGTCTGTAGATTGGACCTTTGTCGGTTGTGACACTGTCAAATCATTTCTCTAGTATTCTAGAGTTCTGAAACGCGGGACCTCACAGTGATCAGTGAACATACGAGAAACCAGGCAAAGAAAGTCAATTAAAGATCTTGTTGCTTGTTCCATTCATTCATAATCATAGCTTTCTGTTCCTTCTCATCAATCAAGGAGAGAACAGTGCACTCCGAATGGGCCCGTGCCGTGTTCCTGGCTGCTGGGGTGCTTAAGGAAAGTCTAGTCACAATTTTGACCCGAGCGCAGGATGCTACCCCGCCAACTTCTATGAAATCGATGTCTCGGGCATAGATAGAGCGACCGATTCAAAGAAAATGAATTGTGACCCCCTTGCAATTTCGCGGAACGTAAACTTGCACGTGCTCTGTTTCCTCTTCCCTATCGTTCTTCATTCCATGGAAAAGCACAGTCAACGTGCGCTTTCTGTTGTCTCTGACTCTGTCGTCATTCATTTCCTCTGCTCTGGCTCCAGAAGTATTTGCTTTGTGGTGATGGCCCCCATTGTCGACGAAGTCGTCATCCGTGGCCTCTGTTTTTACTTTCTTAACGTGGTCCTGATTCTCAAGCCCCTCGGTCAGGTCGAAAGTTTGCCGTCGCTTCTTTTTATCGTCTTTTGTTGCTACCGCCAGAGACGTTTCAATGCTAGGAGATTCCATTCCCTGTTTGAGTGAAGAATCCATGACCTCAATGTCAGGTGCGTAGGTAATTGACATGTCGCTGTTCCCGCAAAGATCCGCTCGAGTGTCTTGATCCGTGCCGACACTGGCGGGGAGCGCGTCAACCTGCTCTCTGTAATCTCGGAGCAAGGACTCAGCAGGATCTGTAGCCTGGCCTTGATATTCGCGGATGAACGATCGCAGCCATGGGTATTTCAATGTTCTGTCTGTCCGTCGTTGGCCGGCTTTGAATTCGAAATACTTCGGTACGTTGAAATCTTTCTCCCAAGCATGGAAAGCTATGAACTCATGAATGTGCCTGTTCAGAAAGGCTCGTATCTTGCTGGTGTCGCTGCACAATTCACCCAAATCTTCAGCCTTCCTGATAAATTGCCTGACACCCGAGACGGAGCCAGGTGAGTCGTTCCACTTCCTGGCCTCGACGTACTCAATCGCCATCTCGGTGATGTCCGGTTTCCACCCACCCTGTATTATGCGGTCTTTGGCCAGTCTTCGACGATTTTCGAGGGTCAATCCAGTCAGACGAGTCTGTCGTTTCGGGCGTTCGGTTGCCATGCTGCGCTTACTTGTTTTGTCGTACCGATTGTTATCCATCGAAAGAATGGATGCATGGTTTCCGACGTTTGGCCAGCTTTTCGCTATGATACCATGACCGTGCTGTCCTGATGCACGATCGTCGTTCGTTGAGATTTGGAAAGGGCCGTCGAATCTCTTGCCCTTTCGCAAACTATCAAGGAAATCGAACGGTCCATCATGGCCATTGGGTAGGTCCATTTCTGTATTGACTCTGTTGATCAACTGGTGATGTTTGTTTGGAAATTGCGTTTTTGTTTGTTGGTCTTTCATAATGATCTGAGGGCACGGTGACGTGTGCATGGCAGCAGAATGTCATGCAGAGCCGAACCATCAGTCGTATTGGATGTAGGTGCGGAACAAGAGATCAGAAGCATAAAACTTGTCTCTGCTCTGTCCATTTACGCCAATGTAAGGTTGAAGTATGGGAACGAGAGTGAGCTGTTTTGACAAGAAAGATGACCCGGAGGGGCCGGAGGGGGGAGGTGAGTATGGAGGAACACATTCCAGTCGATAAACTGCAGCCGGGATTAAGGGTTTCCATACGGAAGGAGTGAGCAAAGCCCACCATGGAGGTGACCGTGAAAGTGCCCAAGAAAGGCATTTAATCCTAAAACTTTTACGACGGTGTCTTACAGGTGGAGCGTGCCCTCTATAGCTAACTAATCTATGCCTTGATACAGACGCAACGTGGTGCGTGAAACAGATGCCCACGGCGCTTCCTCAAGAAGTACGCATACAAGCCGCCTGCTGTATAGACAGCGCCGACGCTGATCACCACCGGCCATTGGAACTGGTCTGGCCTAGAAAAGATGATTGTCGTCACGTAAGACAGAATTTCGAAAAGATTTTGAAAGGACGCTTCGACAGCCGAGAAAGTCCCGCGATGGTCGTCCTCGACTTCCTATTTTTGATCAAGTCAGTCAACCTGCCTGCGGGAGGTTGTATATGAGGCGGTAATAAACTTACATCCTGTATGATATTTTGCGCGCAGAGATCAAAGCCCCAAAGTCCAATCCGACTAAGCGCGACACCCACTGCAAGCCCTGTGGCCGAGAAGATGCTGTTCGTGCCCTTGCCCTCAAAATCCGAGAAGTACCATCCCAAGACCCCGGCAAGACATGTCATTTGCCACGCAAGACTCCAGATTCCCGCCCGGACAACACCAACCTTCTTCATTAACCACGGCGCAGCCCACGTCGCGCTGATCTCGAAAATGCTACTGCCAACCCGGGCGATACCGACGTACAAGGGCGTGTACCCGACTGAAACGAGATAGGTGATCATCTGCCCAGAGAACGATAGGACGGTGAAGTATAGCAGGGAGAGAGCAAAGGAGGCGAGGAATGCTGGGTGACTGAAGTAGAACGGGAGTGAATCCGTGGGAAGAATGCCGTTGATGGTTTTGCGCAAGATTGGCCTGACAGACCGTTGATATCTGCTGCCATGAGCTGATACGTTTTGATCCACAGCCGACGATTCCTGACGATTTGAAGAGGCAGCTGTATCGGAAGCTCGTTGGAGGCCAGAGACGCGTCTATAGACCTGCTCAATGGCCACGTACTCGACAATAACCGAGGCCAGGTTCATGCCGAGTGTCGTCCATATGGCAATCTCTGTGGAGGCAATTGCAACCAGAGAGACTGTCAAAGGCCCCATCAGCTTGCAGAAAAGATCGATCCGTCGCATGCGAGCGTTCATTGCTGTGAATTTGTCAGTGGGACGCCTACTCCTTCTGATAACTGATACTCGTTGGGATGACTCACTTCGACGCGCGATCTCGTTGTTCTCAGTAATAACAACGACCTATACAAAAATTGTAAGCTAGGTTACTACCAGAATACCTACGAGTGAGGAGGACCACTTACCCAGTCTCTCTCTACTGAGATCAGGTTCATAGTGGCACAAAGTTTTTCTACCACGCTCAGGAACACGATCACAGCGAACACGCCATTGTTCTTCCTGATGCTTAACTGCTCTCCCTTCAATAAAAGCACCAAGAGCAGAGCACAACTCGCCGCGACGGGAATCCTCTGACCAATGATGCTTGACCGGATGAGATTGAGGCGGTTTCCTTTGTTGATCCAGGTTCCCACCGGTTGAGCAAAGATGATGTACCCCGCGTTCCGGACGAGGGAGTAGATGGAGACGGGTAGAAGGGTCCCAGGGTAAATGGCAGTCAAGAAGAGGGCGGCGCCGAACTCGAAGACGCGAGAGTTCCAGGTGGACAGGAAATGCGAGACGTACAGCCTCAGCGCCAAGGACCTGGGAACACTCCTGGGGATTGCAGCCGGATCCTCATCGTCGCCTTCGTGCAAGAGGTGATGGCCAGGCGTATCATTGACTGCCGCGACGTTGCTGTTCATAGGCGCCGCAGTTGCATATTGCGAGCCTCCGGAGCTAGACGTAGTTTTAACGGTACCTGCCGCGTCCGGTTTCCCGGCGGCGTGCTCAGATGCAGCGGATGTCTCGACTCTCGTGATGTCGAGATCCTCTTGACTGTCCTCAACCTGTTCTCGAGCCATGCTGCAGAATGATTCACTGTTGAACAGCAGGAGAGAAGAATTGGTGTCCCGCCGTCACGAACACGACGCGACTTTTTTTTTTGATGATGGCGGAAAAGTCGCAAGGCCGCCGATAGTCGGTGAATGGAGCTCCGGATGAGGTGATTCGGCAATTGACAAGCCGGGCCCTCGCTCTCGGCTTCGTTCCGTGTTCCGCGCCTGGGCCTCGTCATTTGTTGCACTCTTGCGGTTGCGCACCGGCTAGAGCTTCCGCATCCAGTCCACAAGGCTTGATTAGCACGATCTGATAACTCTAATCTCCCTCGTACGAATCTAAACCTAGAGCTCAATGAAGCCCCCAAGTTTAGATACGCGGATACAACCATTGCATTCCAATCGCCGGGCGAGCGTAACCATCAAAAAGAACCTCACCTGAGCTGTGTCAACTTTCGTTGATCCTCTAGACAGCCCAATCGTATGACATCGGTGCGGGCTGTGTGCTGAAGGCTCATACAGATAGTCGGGTAACATTGCTCGGGGGATGATGACCACTTGACTGACACATCTGACAACATATACAAAGACGAATAGATCTTAACTCGAAACAAGCTCATTTTGACATGTGCATGCTAGCATCCCATTCGGCCTCGCAGTGCCGTTGGAGATCCTGGACAAGAGCCGCAGCGGATGCTCGGCATCGGCACTCCTCAAATATGCTGAATCTATTTATCGTATCATTCCCTAGCTGCTGGAGGAGCCAGTCACGCAGCCAATTGTGTTCCAGCGTCCGGTTGAGACAAGGTTCTCAATGGAGCCTGGGATCCTGCCCCGCAGCTTTTGCTGTCACCTCACTGCTGATAGTTCGGCCGTCTTACCTCCGGAGATTGGAGTCCGGGGCCGATATTCCTGAGGTAAAACCCGAGAACATACATACGCCGCTGGATCGATTTACCGGTCAGCACAGCACATTAGCCAGTTTTGAGATGCTTCTTTCGGATACAGGAGGCAGAGATGCCCCAAAAGATAGGTGATATCTCCGCACAATGCAGCTTCTCGCATTTAGCACACCGAGAAGGCCGATAATTCGTCAATGTAGTCTTTCGTCATGGTCCCAACAATAAGATATATAAAATGGAGTCTCCTACATTGTCAGCCACGTTGCATAGGCACATTCTTTATTACACAACAATACTTGAGCCTGTAATTATCACTTGTTGACCCCAATCGAACAACTTGACAATACCTGTATCAGTCAGAATATGGCGCGGTTGAAAGTGCTCATTTGCGGTGGCGGCGTAGCCGGAAACGCTCTGGCGTTCTGGCTCAACAAACTCGATCACGATGTCACGATCGTAGAGTGGTACCCAGACTTGCGAGTAACCGGGCTACAGATTGACCTGCGCGGATACGGCATTGAGGTTCTGAAACGAATGGGCCTCGACGACGAGTTTCGCGCCCATGCCGCAAAAGAGGAAGGCCTAAAGGTGATGTCGAGCTCTGGGAAGCAGTGGGCATACTTCCCGGCGAACAAGAGCGGCAAGGGCAAGCAGACCTTCACATCGGACTACGAGATCATGCGGGGTGACCTTACCAGGATCTTCCACAATGCTTCAAAGGCCAAGATCTTGTTCGGAACTTCTGTCAAGAGCTTTGAGGAGAAAGGCGACTCAGTCGAGGTCGTGTTCTCCGATGGCAAGGCTGACCGATTTGATCTGTACGTATGACTCTTCTTAAGCTGATCTTCCATCCCTTGACACGAATGATACATCTGAACTGATAAATCGCAGCCTGGTCGGCGCAGATGGGCAGTGGTCACGCACTCGCAACATGATGATCGAACGGGACACTCCAGATCCGATGCATTTCCTTCGCCACAATGTCTATATCGGCTACTACACCATGCCAAAGGAGATCGAGCCAGGCGAAACATACGACGCCACGATCTTCCCAGCGACCAGGGGCAGGCTTATCATAATGCGGAGGAGCAACCCCCATCAGATCCAGGTATACCTACAATTGATGTACACGGCAGCCACAGAGCGATTGAGACAAGCCCATAGGGGCGGGGTCGACGGCGAGAAGGCTGCCATGGCTGAGATTTTCCAGGGTGCTGGATGGCGGACAGAAGAATTTCTCAAAGGATTGGAGAAGTCAGATGATTTCTACCTCGAGCGCCTCGGCGTCGTCAAACTCGATTCTTGGTCCAGGGGACACGTCACACTCGTTGGAGATGCCGCGCACTGTCCCTCTGCAGTGACGGGGATGGGCACGACGTCGGCTATTGTTGGGACCTACATACTGGCGGGAGAAATCGACAAGCACTGTGGAAGGCTTGGAACCAACGATGGCCTCGCCGTCGCGCTCAAGGAGTATGATCAGAAGCACCGGCCTTTCGTGAATCATGTTCAAGAGGGTGTTGTGGAAGGATCCAGGTTCTATGACATCTTTCCCACATCGTGGTGGGGGATTGCTGTTCTAAACTTCTTGCTTTGGGTGATAACAGTTTTGAGATTGGATGTCATTGGGCAATGGGCTTTTCGGGAGGCCGACGAAAGTCAATGGCAGCTCCCCGAATACGAAGAGATGCTAAGTAAGGTCAAATAGCGGAAGCTCCTGTTTCTTCTACGAAGTCAGGACTTGGTGCACCGATACTCTCAACTCATACCACGCAAGCTATCTATGGACATTTCGGTCTCCCAATTGACGGGTCTGTCGCACGACTGCTGTCTGAACACCTCAAAATTTCCTTTATAGGCTAAAAATGCCAGGTATAGCTTGTGATTTGTCACTGTAAGGCTTTCAATGTTCACAATCGTTGTGTGCATTCATTGTTTGACTAGTCTGGTAGCCTGGAGATGTTTCCTTTTCTCGCCCTCAGCTCATCGATTTCCCCTATCAATCTTTTTGATGTGACTATTCAGATCTGTCATGATATTAAAAATGGGATGCGTCAAAGTGATTGACATGAGCACCTACCGCATGCTGCAGAACTCATTTGTGTCTTACTGGACACATACGCTACCTTTAGTGTAGCAAGCATAACCACTGCAGCAGTCTGCGTCTGAAGCGCAGTAATCGAATTCACCACCACATTGCTAGATGTCATATGTTAGTCAAGAAGCCAGCCGCAAACTGACCAAGAGTCTCTAGGAACTGCACTCACGGCCGCGCGCTCCTCTACATGGTTGACCTCTGAGCTCGGCAGAGCCATGGCAGAGCCAAGAAGAGCAATGGTAATGGTTGTCAGGGAGAAACGCATTTTGAATAGAAGTTTTGGAATTTTGGCCTTCAATAAATAGGTTCGGATGTCTTTGTTGATGAATCTTGAGTCTGAATACCATAGGAAGTTGGATGAAATGTAGGCTCTTATATACCTTCTGTCACACTCCTTTCACTGCATCTACCTCGGACTTCTCTCTCGGCTTCTTTTGCGAGTGGTACCTGAAGACTCCACGGGTCTGTGTTTATTCAGCGTTTGCACATCATGAGCGGCCGCATTTCAGTCGTAGTCGTGAAGTCCGAACAAGACTCTCTCAAAGCTTATTCGATGTTAGTCGCTCGCTGCGGTTGAACAGGATTGTCACCCTCGCACCTCCAGTCAAAGTGACATCGCCCCTAGGCAACACCCTCATTTTATGAGGCGATAATTGCTTCGCTGCAGCCGGTAAGCTGACAAGTGGAACACATGAGTGAATAATGTCGCCGCTGTCTTCGCAGGCTGCGGTGTTGAGCCGTGGACGCACTGCCGTAATGGGGCAGCACAAAATCCTTCAGTGACGTGGGCAATAAGTTCGTGGGGCCGCAAGTAATGTTCCTCCTGGATTTCCACCCGGCAGTCGGTGGACAATGAGCTAGAAGGATTCGGGATGCCTCCCAGTTCGGAAGTGAATACTACGTCCGACAACCGTATTGACCTGCAGATACATTGTACGATGCCTTTTAGAAACAGTGGTATTGATGACGATGTCTTCCTTGGGAAGAGATCTACATAGAATCTTTCCTTTCGTGTCTGGATGATGAGCTGGTCTGTGCTGGCGAACCAAATCCTTCGAGTGATGTCTGTACCTTGGTATGTTTTCTCAGCTTCCGGATTGACGATCATTTGTCACAGCGGTCGCAGTCGTAAGACATGGATGGAGATCATCGTCCAGCTGGTGAAAATCAAAATCCACCAGGCCCAGATCGCCTCTTCATTCGCTGGATCGGACTTCTGTCCGAGCCTTCTCCCTTTACCCTCACTTGATCATTCATAGGCTTGTGTAGGCTAAATTCGCGAATCATCAAGTTTTGTGTTCGGCTCACAATTTCGATTTTTGAGCGAGGTCAACATCCGCATGGCCTTCTAATCCGTGTTAACCTTCATTTAAATACGAGGCAGCGCATGCTAGCTCTTTCCATCCCCGTCCTCCAAGTGCCACAGTGTCTCAGTGTAATCCTGTAACACTCGTTGTATGACAGAGTGTGTCCAGGCCCGAGTTCAATGTTTATAAATGGATCTCACAGAGCCTTCACGAAATCCAGTCCACCTCACGAGTTCGATTCGGCCTCCAGATGGAGCTCTCTTGAGGTGTCGGATTTTCGCGGCAGAGAGTCTCCCCTGTGACCAGTATAGTCTAATTACTGCATCCAAATTGACGGCCTTAGCTTGGAGGTTTCCTTCAACTACTATCCCAAGAAATAACAGTTATTTGCTGTTGTAATTAAAGGGGACGGTGCAAACACAGCCTTTGTGGGTGCCAGCCTGGTTTCCGAGTCAACACGAGGGATTGTAAAGAACTGCTTGATACTTCATGCCAATTGACTTCCGGTGGTTCGAAGAGGGTTCGTCTTGAATCTTTTTGTCCTGATTTTGCTTCCTGTAGTATTGGCGAGAGGAATCGGCGAAAACGTGACTACAGTGGCGTCTTGGCAACCATGTGACTAGTGTGGTGTTACAGGGTCTCACGCATCACCTCGGTATGTCTTTTAGGCACTGCTATAGGAGTCAGATTCCTGATAAGTGCAGAGGAAAAAGCAACGGACCATGCGATGCCATAGATACCCATAGCTTGGGGCTAATACCCGAACCGGCGCTTTTGGTTTATAGATCGTTCAAGAGCTCCTCGGCAATGACGCATAGGAACTTCGCAGGGTCTAGGCTAAGACCGGAATCCCTCGACAGGCTCTAGTTGATATTGACGTCAAGCACTCCAGCTCCGTGCCACGCATTAGTGTAGAACGCTAAGTAGCTCCCAGCCCCCCTCGCGAGAACGTTTCGCATAGTTAACAAGGCATTTATTACAGGCCCCGCATTTCATTACCTCTTCTTGTCTAGTATCAGCTGTTCAACAAGAACCCAATATCATGACCAATTCAGAGGGCAAGGGCAAGGGTGTCGCCGATGATCATGACAAAGATGAAGACGAATTCGTGCCTGAAGATGCAGAAGCTGGGGGTGACGATGACGCCCAGGAGCCAGATCCGGAGGACATAAAGGAGGCCCTCGAAGACAACGAAGTCACCAATGAAGAGCCCGTGGAAGAAGATGAGGATCAAGAGGCCGAGGTCGAAGAGGTCTACGACTCCGGCGGAGACTACAATGAGGACGTGGAGAGCGAGGTTTCTGTCGAGGATGACGACGACGCTGACCAGGAAGAGCCACGGAGAAGTAAGCGTGAAAACGTGGACGACTCTCAATCTGGGCCCAATAAGAAGCAGAAGGAATCGGCAGATGAAGACAGCACAGCCAAGACAACAAAATCCAACGGCGCCGCGTCAGCGGGCAAGGTCGGCTCGAAGCACGATGATCCGCGGGATCCCGAAACGCAAGGCTCAGCAGACAGGCTGCCAGAAGTGGGCCAGCAGGTAGAATGGAAAGCACTGCCAGGTTTCGTGGACGGTGAAGTTGTTGAGATCCTGCGCGAGGACAAGGATGTGGATGGAAAGAATGTCAAGGCGAGTGAGGACGACCCACGCCTTGTGTTGAAGAGCAACAAGTCTGGCAAGATCTGCGTTCACAAGCCCGAGGCTTTGTACTTCAAGTGAACCAGATCGCAGTGTAATGAGCGTTGAGAAAATTCCCTACGAAATTTTCTCAAAACTCCATGCCCAATTCTGTATTATACATCACAGGCCTCAATGCGTAAACTTCGAAATGAGACGCCCTGAATGTCAAAGAACTACACCAGCTCCGAGTTGTTAGACAAATATCAAGTGCCACCAAGGATTGGCGATTTCTTCTTGTACTCCTTTGGCACCTCAAATTGGCTTCAGAAGGACCAATCTGCAGTTTGCGGAGATTGACCTTGTCAGCTAAATTCCCCACACGTACTCACGGCCACTTGCAGAGCTCTCCCTCTGGGAATAGGCAGCCGGGCCCCCTGACTCCCATTACGTTCAGACACAAAGACTTCCAACGCATCACGGTCTCGCTGTTTCGGATCGTTGTCTTGCTCGCTAGAAGACGCATAACCACCAGGTATCCATCAATCCTGGCATTGTGCATGACATCCGTCCTGGCCTGGACTCTGGACCTAATGCCCATTTGCCTTGTTTTGATATGCGATGTATCGGCCCCTAAATCCAAGACAGGGACCAGAACAAGGCTGCATCGTTGTTCGAGATGCCTCAGGTTCCGGTCCACTTTGGCAAATGAGTAGCAAGCGAGCTGGTACATATAGAGCCCAATGACCTCTCAGAATCAGCACTGAAAGCAATTGAACTTTCATGTTAAGTCATTATCATCCGCCATCTCACACGCGACCTCCAAGCATCGCAACACCTACATCAGGAACATGAAGCTCTCAGCCGCCATCTTTCTTGCCTTTTCTGCCAGTTTGGTTCAGGCGACTACGCATTCCGACTTAAGACGGTGCCTCCGATCATGCACGACAAACTTACTTTCGACAGTCTATGGCTGCCCTTCCAATAGAAAGGCCGGCCACCCGAATATCAACCATTATCTTGATGAATTCATCCAATGCAGACGTAAATGCGAGGAGCTACCTCGAACCAAATCTCAGGGCAGCCATTGGAGAAGCCTTCTTGGAATCAATCCACCATAAGAAAAAACCGTGTTGCAAGGGAATAATTTGTGGTCTGGGGATAACGGGACTGATACCGGGTGAGAATGTCTCATTTGATACGAAAGAAGATCAACAGCCTTCCTTTAGACGTTGTCCTTCCCTCTATTGTCCCTTCAGCTCTACACAGTCGTTCAGTTTGTGAGCAATCATGGTCGTTGCTCAAGGGTAGCTACAGGTGGTCTTGGCTTTGCTACCTCTGTGGTAGAGCTCCTTCGTAGCGAATTGACTCGGAAGGAAACGGCCCTGGGATAAGTATGAGGAAATCTCTCTAAATGATGGAAAATGAACCACAAAATCCTTGTTAACATGACATTACCTTGTTTGAGATGACATAGCGCCCCGGCCATGTCCTACGCCCATGGTGAAATCTTGGGCTGGTACTCAAATGGAGACCTTGTGATGATATCCATCGCCACCCCCCGCTTCTCCGCACATCACGTCAAGACCTCTCTGGGTCTAATGTTGCACCCCATATTAGCCGCTCTTTGATCGTGAGGGGAAGCTTGATTGCAGCAGACACAAGACAACAAAGACGGAGCCAAGACACTTGAGCTTGTCCTAAATATTCTCTGCTTCAATGGCCGAGAAAGTTGTCGAACAAGCTTACCTAGCCAAGCCTCCGGGCGAGTGCTGCATCACAGGGAACCTGCACGATGGCGAGCCGCGTGGAGCGCTTGAGACTGTCGAGGAGATAGAAACTTATGTGGTCTACCCACGTGAAGGGAAGTCGAATGGCAACATAGTTCTTTACTTTCCCGACGTCTGGGGCCTGTTCAAGAATGGCCTTCTCGTCATGGATGGCTTCGCAAATGCCGGGTATCTGACCATCGGGCTGGATTATTTCAGCGGCGATCCAGTCTGGAAGCACCGCAAGGATCGACACGACACGACCACCGATCCGAGTTTCGACTACGAGGCCTGGAAACAAAAGCATCAGAAGTTCGCTGCTGAGGCCGTGCCAAGATGGGTGGATGCAGTCAAGGCCAAATACGGGACGTCTGGGACGAGATACGCATGCGTCGGGTATGGACACTTGGGTTTGCATCGTCTCTGAAATGGGATATTGACTGATCATTTCCGACATTAAACAGATATTGCTTTGGCGCGCCTTACGTCTGTGACCAACTTTCTGATAATGGAATCTGCATCGCCGGAGCCTTTGCCCATCCAGCCTTTCTCAAGGAGGACCACTTTAGAAATCTGAAGGGTGAGAATGTTTTGAACTCGTATTTCTGCGACCTGACTGACGGCTTGCACAAAGGACCACTGTTTCTTTCATGTGCAGAAACCGATCATACATTTGATGCTAATTCTCGGCGACGAGCGGTCGACATTCTGATCGAAGACAAGAGACAATATCACGTGCAGCTTTTCTCAGGAGTTGAGCATGGCTTCGCCTTGCGGGGAAACCAAAATGACCCATATGAGCGTATGTCAACTCGAAAGCAATCTCCGGTATCATACTGTTGTCGTTGCTCTTCTGACTAATGATGCTGCAGGTTGGGTAAAGGAACAGAGTCTTCGGGGCATCGTGGATTGGTTTGACTATTGGCTCGCTCTTGAGTCGTTTTCCAAGAAATAGGGACTCTGACTCTATGAGGCTTATTATGAAGATTTTGACGATAGGTCGAATAAATCTTGGCGTTATAGTGTCTTCGACTTGTTTTTGGGATGGAAACAGTGCGAATATTTCAAGAGAGCATGTTGGGGTTCTCCTATAAACATAGCTGTGGACTTCCATCGACTGTATCAGTGTGATCGCTGCTGCTTGTGCAGCTATGTTAGTGTCATCTAACGTACAAATACGCGCGGGGTGACATGTGGATGATTCTAAGATCGACAGTGTGCTGCACGAAAGTTTTGGTGCACCTCGCCCCCCAAGGGAAGAGACTTTGGATCAGTTTGTAGCGGTCCCGTCATGCCACCAGCGGAGAGTTGGAGGCATACCGACACATTGTCGCTGGGTTTGCATATACGTACATCGGCCGAGGTGAGGGGAAACCATCCGACGTCGGTGCATGTTTCATTTTAAATCCTTGAACTTGATTATTCTGTGGACATAGCAGTCTAGAGATTCTTTCAGAGCATTACTGCATTAGTTATCATTAGTTCAAGGCTGTCATTCACTTCCGACCTCTCTCAACAATGACTCCCCCAAGAGCGTTCGATTTCGCTGGGGATGTAGCCATGGTGTCTGGAGCTGGTTCACGAATGCCAGGTGAGACCCTGAAAGCCTGACTGAGCGTGCAATGTTCTATTTCATCCAGATATGAATCCATCCATGGCCAGGGACTGATCATCTTTCTTCAAGGCGAAATTGGCAATGGTCGAGCAACCGCAGTCCTGCTTGCCCGTCACGGGGCTAAAGTAGCCCTTCTTGATAACAACCCGGAGTGGGCACAAGAGACAAAACGGATGATCGACCGGGAAGGCGGGATCTCTGAGGTCATTCAGACGGATGTCACAGACGAAGAGTCGTGCAAAATCGCGGTGGAAAAGACTGTCCAGTTATTCGGGGCTGTCCACATACTCGTGAACATAGGTAAGTCTCCTAGTGTTTCGTGGCGCACTCGCAATACCGATTGCAGAAGAAGTTTGTGATAACGTACTGACTACCTGTCTACTTGGCTCAGTCGGAGTTGGTGGCGTCCTAGGTGACGCCACAAAGCTCGATCTACCCGGTTGGGACCGTGACTTCCGTATCAATGTGGCCAGCATGGTACTCATGTGTCGACACGCCATCCCTGAGATGCGGAAGTCTGGTCGTGGCGCCATAGTAAACATGTCTTCCGTGAGTGGGATCATGGGAGGCAACCCAAGCCTGCTTTATGCCACGAGCAAGGGTGCCATTATCCAAATGACGAGAGCCATGGCAGTTCATCACGGGAAAGAGGGCATCCGAGTGAATTGTGTAGCCCCTGGAATGGTGTATACACCCATGGTAAGGAGTCGTGGCGGTGGGATGTCTGATGAGATGAGACAGGCGAGGATTGATCAGAACCTCCTTGGGACGGAGGGCACCGCGTGGGATGTTGGGTATGGTGAGTTGGATATCTGCCCAAAGTTACTTGGACATGTCTGCTGAGATACCTATTTACAGCGACGCTATTCCTGTGCAGCAAAGAAGCGCGGTGGATCACCGGACTGACCATGCCCGTGGACGCTGGGGTAAGCTTGTCGAAGCCTCTATTGGAGCAGCACGTATTAATGCAGCGAAGACAACCGCCGGCCGTCCTGATCGCCCAGCCTTGGAAGAGGACACACTTGTCAAGCAACAGCCTCATGGGTCGGGTCAAAAGTCGAGGCTGTAAACGAAAAGAGATTCGACTCTCAGAAGCTGATTTGATAATGCAACTGGTAGTCGCCTCGAAAGTTTGTTTGAATTTGATCATGGGCACAGAGCTCGAGATTGAAACGAATCACTCTGGCAGTGTCTAGTCAAAAGTATGAGGCAGTAAATTGACTTCGTAAAACTAAACCCCCGGAGGACGACTCGTTGCAACATCCAACTCACGAGAGATAGGGAACATTGTCTCGTATCCGTACACGATGTAATTCAGTAAGCCGTTCCACACGTATGCCCCATCATCGGCGTCCTCAACAGTCTCCTCACCAGCGAATGAGATCATATCCTTCATCATATCCGCTCGGTGGCCATTTTGTAGCCGCACATATTCTCCGTTCAGCTCTTTCTTCATGGCGTTCAATTGATTTCGCCACCAGTTCCCACGCAGTCTTCGTCGTTGCCATCTCTCACAGAGCCTCATCCGCAGCTCGTATAATCGCCATGACCATTTGATCAAGCCCGTGGCTCCTTCCATCTCTTCTGCCCGTTCTCGACGTTTATTCTCGTTGTCACGTTCCGCCTGGCGTATTTCCTCCATTAATCCTGCCTCAAAGCCCATATACCTTTGCTGTAGTGGCTGGGCAATCTCGATGTCACGGGTGACTGACCAGGCATGGCGCTGCCGGGTGATGTAACTTCGGAGGTCGGCGTATAGTTCTCCGTCCTCATTCCGCTCGGATCTCTCGTAGCTAGGTGTTGATGTCCCCATCACTGAGCCAGCGGTCGAGACGTTGCTTTGTCTGCCGGCTAGACGGTGTTGATGTTGTCGTTCCATAACTTCCGTGAATAAAGGCCCACCAGTATGAGTGGTATTGTTGTTATTGTGAGTCGTTATTGCAAGCAGGTTCAAGCTGGTTGATTCCATCTCATAGCTCTTTTCAAGAAATTGTGTATGTCGCCGTCCTTCAGCTAAGCGAGCTCAATGATACCACAGAGGATTCTGTAATAGCTAGGTGTGGAACAAGATATAAGACATTTGAAATGGCCTAGCTTCATCGAATGATTTGAATGAAATCAGAATCAAGGCCGTGGAGAATATTTAGAGACATTGGGTAGCAGCTTACCACACCACTGAATTCTTTTCAATTGATTTTCCAGCAATTTTCATCCACCAAAATCCATACCTGTCCAAAATCATCTGTGCCCTGTGAGCCCATGTGGACAGCCATCATTCACCATGCGAATAAAACATAAGCTAAGATGATTTATTCGGAAGGTTAATTGGCCGCTGGTTGCGAGCAGGACGAATCCACCACGGTCGGTTGTTTTCTGCTAGCTCCAAGATGCGTGTTTCCTCTGAGAGATTCTCCAATCGTTGAGCCACACCGTCTGCTCGTTGTTGGAATTGATCAAGTTGCTGTGAGATCTTGTTCAATTTTGGCTCGAGCTCTTCAGCCCAGACAAATGGGGGCTTAAAGATGGGGTGGTTAGGAGGTAAATCCCACGGTTTGAGACACATTTTGTTGGATGACTTAGGGGTCTAGAGTCTTGATACCTGGGGGTGACTGTATCGGCCTATCAATCTCTATGTTTTTCTGAAGGATGCCGGGAGCTTGAAAAGAAAAAGAGACTGTGCAAGGTCTGGGTTGCTCATTCAAATATTTTACCGATAACACGTAGCTCATTCGCCCGAACCTCGGTTGTCTAGAAGGTCAGATGGTCACCTATTTTCGTTTCCAAGCCAAAGTGAACCGGCTTGAGATAATCACCTGCGCTATTTGACAAAGTAACGCACTACTGAATGGGCTTCCTAGAGTAGTGCCCAAATTAAAAGTTTATTTGGCTGAGCAGGCCACAAACTTTCTCTTGCCTGGCAGACGTGGATCCTGGTGCTTTATTTTCTCAATGATGGCCTGATGCAATCCGTTTCAAAACGCACTCGCCACACACCTGGGGAATCCAATATTTCGGGCACTGCACGCACGACTTATGAATTATACTGTCAACATTCCACACTATGGGACAGCAAACCATTCGTTGCGCGTTTTTACGGCGCATTTTCAAATTTCAAAGGAGCAAGCGACGCCAAGCAGTCTCGGTTCCGCGTTCTCACGAGGACCAGAATGACGTGCCAGGTTCCAGATTGATCGAATCTCCAGGGGAGGAACAATATCAACCCAACTCGAAACTCATGAGCATCCCGCTGGACTTGCTGCGCATGGTTTTCTACTACTTAGAGACCGAGGACTGTATAGCCTTCTCTCTCGCCTGCGAAGGTCTCTACGACAGTCTTTTCTTTCAGGCCCGGCAGCGCTTCGCGTCTGCCAGTCCAGACCAGAAGCGTAGGGTACAGACAATGCTGGAAAAGGACCTCAAATATATCGATATCTACTGCCCCTTCTGCGAGATATTCCACACTTGGAATGACAAGAGATATCGCGAGATCAATTGTGTGGAAAAAGACGAAATTCAGTCAACCACATTCGCGGCTACTCAACTTGACACTCGCCTTTCGCAGCTGAGTTACCTCGATGCGCGAATGATCGTGAACGCGGTCATATTCAATAAATCATATTCACTAGGCGCTTTGGGCTTGCTACGACGTCATTTTATATTTGGGACGCCTCGATGCCTCTGGAGTCAGAGCTGGTGGCCAAAGGTCATCGATGGAGAGCTAATTCTCAGTATCGCCTCCAAACACATGAAAGATTCAACGGGGGTAAACGAAGATGATTTCGCTTTCAGAGTGTGTAAGCACGTGATAATCTACGGAAAATTCCCGCACTTATGGGTTGATTCGCGTGAGCTCAATAGGCTTGTCCTTTGCCCCAGCGCCAGGCACGCCACGGGCACATGCAAGACTTGCAGTGCAGATTGGCACTTGAAGGTTGAGTGGATCGAAGACGAGGAAAGCTCGCACCATAAAGGGTGGTGGATTGGGATTGAAGCATGGCCGATTGGGCGATCTTCGATCGCCTTTTGAATCGAGGTGGAAGCTTGCCGCGGGCGAGGGCATAAGCCCCGACAGCAGCTGGATTGAGGGACATTCAATGCACATCACTGATCACGAGGGCTGGGGAAGCAAGCTCGAAGGACTCAGTGAGGAGGGCGATTGGACAGCACATGGAAGTGTCTCAAAAACGTGGGAGGATAACATAGATCGTCTGTTTTGATACATCTTCGGTATTGTGCGTGCGAAATTATCACAATGGGTGCATGCTGCACTCAGCGAGCACCAATCATCCAGGTATCCCTGCCCTCTTGATTGTTTAAGGTCGTCTCAGCGCCTAGTGGACCAGGTGTAATAACGGAAGCGAGATTTGGATACGCGCCTCATCGTCTACCACATTCGGCCATCCCAGCCATCCATCGCAGATCCAGCGCCCATCATGTCGAGGGAGAAGCCACCGTCTCCTTCGAACATGTTGAAGTTGCTCAGGTCACCCATGCCAATATCTTCGGGCAAATTCAACAGATCCAGCAGAGAATCTCCAGAGGTCGTAGGGAACGAACCCGGCTCACCAGAATGAACGCCAGCAGAGGTATCCACTACGTGAGCAGAAGAGGCAGTGGACAGAGGAGTCGGGGAAGCCGATCCGGCTTGCAAAAGACTTCCACTTCCTGCATCTCGTGAATTTTGTGATCCATTCCATCCCTCGGAAATGCCACTTCCCGTCACAACACGCCCTCCTGAAGGTTTTTGCAGCCCTTGCCTCTCCCGAACGTATCGCGCCTTGGCTAAAAGCCTCCGAATGGGCTTCCAAATAGTACCCTTTGGCTCGTTGACACGCAGGATCCCAGAGTCGTATACAGCCATGACCGCACTCCAGGCGCGGTCGCATTCTGCCGACGGGGGGCGGCAGCATATCTCGGCCAGGACATAGCCGATAGCGTGCCACTGGACAAATGTGCTCGTATACCACGACCACTTGATAAGATTGGGGTGAGTCAAGATGCTTGTTGAGAGCTCTAGAACCTCGATGGACATGCTGAAGAGTTTCTCCCGGGTCTCTGGCTCAAGAGGTATCCTGGGCTCTTGACTCGAGGGAGTCGAGCCGCTGTTGCTTGGCGTACCCTCCGGCGTTGGACTCTTCTCTGCTCTCGCATTGTTGCTGGTGGGACCTGGCTGTGGGCGATAGACCAGGAGCCAGAACCGCGCAAATATCAGCTTCATGACCATGGAGGACATCAGGAGGACAGGCTCCGATGGATCACAATGGCGCAGGTACTTGTTGGTGATTCTCTCCACAAAGTCTTGCACGATTTGTTTTCGCCCTTCCACAGAAAAGCCAGAAGAGCCAATATCACCACCCCCTCGCCAAGGGCCCCTTTGAAGGCCGGGGCCAATCAGCTTGGTGCTCGAAGCCGTGTTGATAGCCTCGCATCTGACCATGCAGAAGGTCATGTCCGTCCACCCATCTCGTTCGACAGGGGGATCTGTCATGTCAGGATGGAGATCACTGTCATTGACATGGAGAGGGAGCTTTGTGTCAGAGAAGAATTTATGAAGATTTGCTTCGTGTTCCTGGTATTTCGATGAGTGGCCGTCGAGGACACAGATATACCACCACAGTCGCCGGCGAAGCTCGGTCTCGAATGGTTTGAGCCCAAAGACTGTGCCGTCGCGGTGGAGACCCATGCTCTGCGCAACGTAGAAGACCAAGGCTGTCAGCGACCACGTGGTGCGCGAGTCGTCTTGGTTCCGCAGGGCTGATAGGAACAGAACGGCTGCTTGAAGGAGAACCATGCTGTGTGTGTTAAGCAGATTGGCCCTGGCAAGCGCTTGCTCAGCAGAAAACCGATATTTCTCTGTGGCAGTATCCCTTGACACCCCCAGAAGAGCAAGGCACTGCTCGTTTGATAGGCTGATCGTTGTTGAGTAATAAATTGCGAACAAGAGTGCTTCGGTGTTTTTGTCTAACGAGTCGAGTGCAGCGATGCTGTCCCAATATGTCCTTGACAGTGACGGCAAATGAAAGAGGCGAATCATTGGCGACACATTTTCCGTGAAGACTGCAAACAGGTTCACAGCCTGTGATAGAGAAGGGTGGTACGATAGCAAGGAGTACGCAATCGCACGGAAACCGAACAGGGCCGCATTGGACCCCGATTGACCGTGGTCTGGTGCTTGAGTGGGCTGCATATCAAACCCTTCATCGTCACTCTCATCCTCTTCAGCTTCTTGCACCATGTCACGAATTCCGTCAACCTGGAGCTCCCATCAGTCAATTTGCAACGACAACGGTCTCTAAGGTCATACTTCATTTGCCAAGTTTGCCCAGAGCACGTTACCAACATAGTAGCTCATGGAGTCATTGACTACCAGACGGCCGAACTGGACATCGAGTGAAGAGGCATCCTCGCCAGGGCCCTTGGAGATCTCACTTTGCGGCTTGTGTAGTGATTCCTTGTCGTCGTCGCCTGATCTGGAGGAGGGCTGTGTCCTCTGGAGGGAGTCAGCTCCCCTGTCAGCACCACCTGCCAATACTGCCTCGGAGTCAACCGGATTTTCTGATGCCAGACGCTTGATAATGTGCTCAAGGCGGCTGAGTTTGTCCATGAGCTGCGCATTCTCGGCCCGGCGTGACCGCTTGGGAGCTCTCCCCGGACCCGATGGGTACAGGCATTCTTGGCCTGACCGAGTACAGTGCGAGCAAGGTTGCTGACGGTCACATTTCACCTTGCGCTGGCGGCACAACTCGCAGCTGCGGATGTGCGGGAAGGGTGTTGCAGCAGGGGGCAGTCGAGAGGTATCCGCCATGGCAGGCGAGTTGTGACCGGGCCGGGGTCCGTCCAGTATGGCGGTCAGGTGGTGAGCCCAGTAAATTACGCGACCGATGCTCTCCAGATGCCCGGTCAATTGAAACCTTGATAGAGATGGAGGGGGTGTGTACTCGAAACCAAGCTTGTTGGTGCTATGAGTGGGCTCTCCAGGAATGAAACCGTCTCTTTGGTGCTGAGAAGTCGGAGCGGCGAGCCCCACAAGTGGCGCTCCTTCGCTCGGATAAGCTTATGCGAGTCCGATGCCGACGAGCCGTCTGCCACTAGACTTCGTGTCACGTCGCCTAGCACTTTCGACGACCACCAGTAGGGTTGAGGCAGGCCCTCCGACCGTCATTGCTTTTGTTTAGCCCAACATGTGTCCATCAACGAGAGACCAGCGTGGATGTCCGACTCAAGTCTCTTCTGACACAACCTGCCAGCGTCAGGAGACAGTGTCTTCACTTTCTCATCGACTCGCACTTCGAAGAACGACACATGGCATGACGCCGAAAAAAGAATTGTTTCTGAAGAGAAAAGGGGCGCAGACAGCCAATAATGAACTATGAACAGTTCATAAGGAAGCAGACACGATGGCTCGAATAACAGCAGCTGGTTATGTACAAGAACGACAGCTTGTCGTGAGTGACGGTCATCGCTAGACGTCGAGGGTGGAGCCCGGCAGGTTCCGTGCACCCTCTCAAGCAGAGCGCTCTTTGGCTGTCTGGCCGGCCCGAAGCGAGACACCCCCTGACTGGTAGCTCTCGGCATCATTTGGCGCCTTGGCTTGGTGCTGTCAGCCATGTCCAATATCAATGGTCTTTGCAAACCTTCACAAGGCTTGAAAGGCAGTGATGAAGATATCCTCCCATTTCTTTTATCTAACATAATTTTCTCCTGAAGCGTGAACAGGATGTTGAGTCCTCGCACTCCCAAAGGCTGTCTCACGAACACACTGTGATATGACTGATCACTGATATCCGAGATGTCCGCCCATTCTGTTCAACCCAGGACTGTGTTGATATTGCCGATATCTGCTGCCATGAAAGAGGGCATAGGTAGGCTTCTGAAACTCCAGGCACCCCTGAGGAAATTCTCAGCAGTCTTTCCACGGACAATGACTTATCACTGCATCCCAAATATGACCAGCCCTTCCCTAATTGTGACCATTGTTGTTGGGCGTAATGGGTGACTGTCTGCAAGGTGACGAGGTATTGGCACTGCTGATTCCCGGTCTTGCCTGTCGGCTGGGTCCACAAGTCCCGAGACGCCGCAGAACTTCGTCAAACGATGTCAGAACCCGCTTCGATCCCTTTTCCTCCTGCAGGAATTCTGTGCCAGTGGATCAATTTTCGGCAGAATTCCGACTTGCCTGCGAATTGCCTTACTAGCCATTGTGCCCATTCTGCACCACTTCGGTTCGAACTCACGACCATTGTTTCCCTGAAAGGTAGACATCGCGAGTTTCCTTCAAGTTCCGGGGCTGAGGGTCCAGGCCCCCTCTATAAAAACCTCCACTGCTGACACCTTCCTGCCAACTTTTCTTCCTTCCCTACATCTTTCCCAACATCCTTCTTTCCGTTTCCCTCCACCCAAATCTCAACATTGACCCTCCATCATCGACTTCTTCACCAGTCGACACACGCTCACAGTGGCGTCCGTCCCCAACGCCCATCTCCATCCCCATCCTCGCTGCCTTCGATAAGGGCTGACGCATAGACGCGACGCCCAAAGCCAGGCGGAAGAGACCTGACGGTCATCAAATGGTACGAAGCCCTCCCGTTGACAGAGGTCAACGTTTGCGTCTTCACCATCCCACACCCCTGACCACCGATGAGACCACCTTCGTCGTTCTGGGAGTCGCCCTGGGTGTGGCAGAGTGCCACAAGGATCGACAAGGTGCAGCAAGCCACGCACTCTTCATCCTGTAGTCGCCTGGCTACTGTAAGACTTTCCAGCCTCGTTGAGATTCGCTTCACTCTAACCTCGTTGGCAGGAAGGTCGTCCTGAGTGTGGCCAAGTGCTACAAGGATAGGCAGGGAGTTTGGGGCCACGCGCTCGTGGTGGTGTCATTGCCCGATCGCCGTAAGTACTCCCAGTCTCGTCGAGGTGTCTAGTCTGCTGACCTCGCCGACGATAAGGGCACCCTGGTCGTGGCAGACAGACACAAGCATGGGCAGGGCGCCGCGAGTCCTTCTGTTGTTCCCTGTGGAACAAGGCAACTTGTCTCAGGATCGTCCGCATTCCGCTTCTTGCTCTAAAGTCGCCCAGTCTGCGCTTCAGAGGAAGCGCAACAAATTCTGAACGTCCCAGTCGACGGCGATAACGACAGAGCTGGTCGTCAATATCAATCAGATCAGAGGTCAGTGTTTCCATGCCAGGCACTCTTTGCACAGTTGGCCGTGCGCTTCTCTTGTGTTTGTGCACTCTGATCAACGACAAGGATCATGGCAGAACATCTTGAGCTGCCGACTATACCAGAAGGAAAAGACGCTGACATGGCCTTCTGTGATATAGGATCAACTGCTCCGCGCAGCAGTCCAGCTCTTCGCGACTGGTCCTCTGGATCAGGAGAAGAGCATCAACGGTATCTGGAAGGCCGTAAAGGAGCACATCCAGAAGAATGGTGGAACCACGTCCGCAGGCGTGACCACCCTCAAGAAGCGATGGCTGGCAATCCGCAACCAGCCTGCAGGAGTCTCAGCCGCGGCGGGTTCCTCAGCCGCGCCATCAGCCTCGCGGACTCGCGGTGGCGCTGCCCGCACTGGCAGCATTCACGCCACGGGAAGTCTGACCCGGTCCCTTCCGGTCCTGAGTCAAAGGACGTCAACTGGAACAGCTACTTGTCAGTCTTCCAAACTCCGTTTGAAGAGCTGCTGCTGGGTGCTCTTGAGCAGTGACCGGTTCAGCCTCCACTGTCTGCAACACCCCGAAACTATCCACTTTCCAGGAATGCTTTTGGATAAGGTAAGTTATGGCCAGACACCAGCCTTCTTAATGGCCAATGTCACAGAGACTGACCGTTGGTGATGTACTGCTTTCTAGTTCTCACACCTCATTTCCATGACGAATTCTGCCTGTTGACGCAGTCGACGAGAGATGTAATGGCATCATGGCATGCCAACGGTCCACCAAGTGGACATCACACCCCGATTCGCGTGCGGCTGAGATCCTTTTTCTGCTGAATCTCGCACAGCTGCTCGATGATGGCTACTATGTTGATGTTGATCATGGCATCCCGCAGGCCCAGCTCGATGGCCAGGACGAGAGATGAACTGGGCGATACGAAGAAAGAGGTCAAGCAAGAGATTGAGAAAATCGTCAACCATAGCAAGCACTGCGTACTCAGCCGCAGCCTGCATGTCCGAAGCAAAGGCTTCGATGGTCCGCAGAGGACCGGCAGCCAGTTGAGAGGATGCCGTCCGATGAACTGGAGGCTTTCCGAGCGCCGCCACAGGGCATCTCACCGACGAGAACGAAGCTTATCGAGACGCGTACGGTATCTCCTATAACAGAGGTTATAAATTCAGCGCATATCTCGGCAGAGATCTTTGACGAGGAGAATTGCGCCGTATAGATCACTGGTCTGTTCCTCGTACAGGGACCTCGTGGCGGGCATTGCTCTGCACCGCCCAGGAAAGGTGTATGGCAGCTCAGCAAGCTGGTCATAACTGACAAGAGAGACGAAAAGCCTCCACAGCTGGCATTCCCTCACTAGGCGGCTTCTGAGCTTTATCTCGCCTTTCGAGCGCGGTCCCGGCCATATCCTTAGCCGCAACTCCTCGATCACGCATGTCGTCTAGCATGGGTGAATATCGCCTGACTTGGTCCACTGGATGGCAGCTTCGTCATGGTTGTCATGTTGAAAGCCGGCGTTTTCAAGTCCATCCTGAACGCGAAGGGAAGCACCTTGGAGTGGTTTCTGCATCTCACGACGAAGACCAAACGCACATCGTGCGGAGGAGAGCTTCTGAAATCCTACACAAATAAAGCAGAATTCATGCAAGAATGCTCGAAGTCGATAACTTGCACAAGTCCAACTGATTCCTCATTACTGGCCGTCCGGTGCTCTTCATGCAAACCGTGCCGACGTAAGGGCACGTCTCCACAGTGTGTCTGTCGTCCGTCAAGGCCATAGGGCCGCTCAGCCTCGGATGAGGCTTTCGAATATGACCGGCTATGACTCCGTCAAACCAGAAGCCGGGTCGCGTGTCGAAATAGCTTCTGCATGGGCCCCGGTGTGTACCATGCTCTCAGCTGGCAGCATGTTGGCTATGGCCGAGGGAATAAGGGGGGCATCAGGAAGCATATCTGCGCTCATCGCGCTGGCGGTTGTACCTGCGATTCTTTTTCTTCGTCAGCTCAAACGACTTCGGGTTAATTTATTTAATACCTACGTTGATTCAACCTCAGATCAGATACAGAGGTATCTGAGGACTCAGTCCGTCTTGGGTGCGCGCCTATCGGTCGACGATGAGAGTTGCAGACGAAGCTCCTCGGCAACTGATGCGAGTGGGCACCATAAAAGGTCCGACCTTCCATATCGTGGTGGATAAATTTGCTGGTACCTAGGTCCTCGCCCCTCCGTGTCGGGTGCGAGATCGAAGACTCTCATCCCCGTCAAGCACTGACCGGAGCTAGCCCCGATTTTCGCATCTCTTTCGCATCAGATCAAAACTGCGCTGCCTAACACGACTTTTGTTGTTTGTGCATCTTTTCAACAGACAGATCGCCGTCTGCTTTTCGCCACTTTGTCCAACTTACTTTTCACAAACACCTTGCACGACACGGTGACAAGCTCATCCTACCTTCCTTCACTTGAACCTATTTGGTTGAAGACATTCCTCGCATCACATTCAAGATGCCGACCGACAAGGAGACGAAGAACGACTCCAACAATCCCTTCCTCACCTACCCGGCTAAATCTCTCAACGTGGCCATGAGTCCTAACGAGGCTATCGCTTCCAACGAGACCAGCACCTCCGACCACACCAGCGCCTTCGGCGAGGCCAGTATCTCCGAGCAGCCACAGGGCAGCTCTGAGGAGCAGAACATGGCTATCGCGGTGGTCAAAGCCCAGAGGGGCCGTGAGATGTACGGCGTCGAAGGCCTTCGCACAGTAAGCACCCCGAGCTTGACCTCCTGATCTGTAGCTAGCGGACTGTAGCTACCGGGCTCTTTCGTGCAGAACATTGCTGACTTTCGCACGGCAGGGTCGGTTCATGCTTCACCGTCTGGCCCCCGAGATCAAAAACCAGATCTACGCGCTGGTCCTGGCGGATGGTGTCCCAGGCGAGCCTGCTGCGATCGAGAAAGAGCCTGAATTCACTCGAACTCTAAAGATGCCCCCCATCACCATGGTCGACCGCTTGGTCCGTGACGAGACCTTGAGAATGTGGTGCAGCGGCCGAAAGTTCTCTGTCCAGGTGCCCCAGAACCAGGATGTCATTGAAAAGTTGGAAGCCGAGCAGGAGATGGTCATGAACCTCCATCGGATGAATGAATCGGGATACTCCACGCAGGACATGAGAGACAACGCCCAGATTGTCTCTGATGACTTTGCTGAGTATCTCAAGAAAGCGCCCGACCGCAATCTTTGCCCGTTCCGTTTCATTGGAAACCTCACCGTCACCTACAACGGGCGCGTCAGAGTCAACATCCAAGAAATGGAAACCAATTGGGAGCCCCGTTCCCTGATTGTCGGCTTCCGTTGTTATGACGAAGCTGCCTTCGAGACTGTCTACAACCACCGTGACTACTTGAAGCAACCCGACGAGAGAAAGCACCTCGATCCCGACGGAACACTCAACTTCGTCAATTTCGCGGCCGTCCGCAAGCAGTTTGTCGCCATTCTCATCAATACGGAGCTGTGGTTCAGTATGATCCCTTACACGGACGCGCTTCTGCACCCCATGATCCAGCCCGTCATCAAAGCCCTGTGCATGTTTGTTACAGGCCAGGAAAAGCGCCCTCACTGGATCGAGGTCATCGTCGAGGACTACAAGTACCCTTCCACAGGACGTGGCCTGCCTTGGCCCTACTACGACTCGGACGAGCGCGAGCATGAGTCGGAGCCTGATGATGGATTCGACATTTATCCCGACGGTCGTTTCCTGAGTAGCTCCGAGGGCAGCGAGGGCAGCGGCGACGGAGAGCAGGAGGATGAGGACGATGAGGACGAGGAGGATCAGGAGGACGAGGATCATGAGGACGAGGAGCAGGAGAATGAGGATCAGTATGATGAGGAGCGTTTTCCATATCGCAACATCTCGGACCGCGAGAATGACTCAGAGGACGGCAACACTCGCAACTACGGCTACGGCTTTGATGCTGTTCATGGCAGCGTTGAGGATGGCAAGAACTCCGTTGATGGTCACAACAACTCGGAGGATGACGACGATCCGGAGCACACCAAGGCCTCGGAGGAGGTTCACAACAACTGTGAGGCTGACATCGACTCTAAGGTCCAGACTGAGGGAGTTTGATTTGCTCATGCAGTCACCGTCATCTGATCAGTGGCCTGGGGAGCGTTCAAGGTGAAGGATCTCATGCTCAACAAACAAGAGCACAGGAATGTTTACGATCAAGAAAAAGAAGAAAAAAAGGGGGTGGAGGAGGGGGAAAATTAGGTGTGGCCCTTGGATTGTGCCTTGAGCGCACTAGGTCTAAGAGGGGTAAATTCATTCAGTTTCCAGCCTGTGGCGGCTGAGATGTGGATTCTGGAGTTATGGACACTTGTTCTGGATGCGACCCAGATACCATTTTGATTTTCTTGCAGGGATCCATCCTGGATTCATTCGTGCGAGGGGCACACATTATTTGCTTCCTACCTCCAAACAGGGTGCAGGGCCAAAGTTTAGGTAGTACCATCGCAGCTTTCTATGCCCTGGTAGCCACGGGCCATAATCAAAAGTCTGATTGAAATCTGCGCCTTCCCTTGAGTTGTGACTTGACTTGACTTGCGGCTTGAGAATGCTCGTGGGGATACAGAAGTGAAAGCTTTTCATCCATTCACTCTCAATGTCTCCGTTGTATTCACTGAGGGGCAGTCGCAGTGGATGTTTAGGCAGATCGCGAGGCCTGTTGCACTTGCCTCAACACTTACCTGCTGCCTCTGTTTGCAAGTCCAATCCAACCTTCAAGTCCACATCATTGTGTCCATTGACACCAGCCCATTCAAGTGGGGAAATCATAACGATAGTGCGACTACCAAAGGGCACGCCTCAATCATGATGGACAGCTCAGTCGCCATCCAACGCTCTACTGCTGAAGGAGACAAGGTTTGACCTCCTATTCTGCTTCACTTCAACAAATCTAGGTCCTCAACTTGCGACCACTAACACGCTTGCAGAGCCCAGAGAAATGTTTCCCTTTCCTCCTTCTCCCTGCCGAGATGCGCAACAAGATTTACCGATACTCCCTTGTCCAATCAAAGCTCAGCGGAAGCATCTGTGGCTTCGTCCAGCCTCCCCTCACCCGTACGAACAAGCAAATACGCTCGGAGGCTTTGCCGATCTATTATGGAGAGAACGCGTTCTACCTGCGTATCCCATACCCTTCTCCCAACAGCAGACAGCACTGGGCCGACTTTATCAGGATGTTCAGGGTGTTCAGCGCTGGAGGACCAGAGGGCCGTGGGAGCGGCAGCCTGCGATTTGTCCGTCAGCTACAGTGTGAAGTTATAAACAATTTTGATTTCGGAGAGCGATATTGGCTCCTAGAAGTCTCTTTCGGGGAACTAGGTTCATGTGACCAAGACGATCACACAGTCGAGAAATTTGGAGACGAGTACTATTTCAAAGACAAGGAAGGCACCGCCTGGCACCATTGGGACTCAGTCTACGAACTCGTTGGGACTATGCTGCACGAGCAGGGGCGCCCATGGTCTACTATGGAACACGAATCTGTCCATTGCTTTATCAGCACCATCATTATGGTTGCAAGAGAGTGTCCGGGTATCTCGAAGGGCGTTATCATGATGGCGGAAGGAGACCCAGAGCCAGACTTGGGAGATTTGGGATGGTGAGCGTGAGGAGGTGGCTGTCAGCATGAATTCTTAAGGTTGGTCTACAATCATCTTGCAACGGTTGCCTGGCTGGCCAGCTGGTTACCTCCAACTTGAACGCTCAAGGCATCCAGATAAAGGCACAACGAATGAGTCCAAAGTCAATTTGCTGAAATTTGCGAAACGGTGTCTGTTGGGAAGGGATAGCTACCAACTACTCGGATCCGTAGCTTTAATCAACAAATAAACTCATCCAAGTTGCCAGAGCGGTGCCCGGGCGGGGATCTGAGCTGCTGGTTCCGTGGAGGGAAAAAAGTTCATTACAAATTCCTTCAAGACGAATATGACTGTCCTTAGCAAGACACGGAAAACGGTGTTTCAATCTGCACAGCGTTTGTTCATGGGAACAAATCCATTGATAGCATACAAGCCACATCGTGACCTTTTGACTGTATTTTCCCTGTCCTCTAGTCTAAAATCTGTCGCGTCCGTCATCATACATGGATCTGATGACTTGCATAATAGGCTTCTGATACCAGTCTTCTGGGGTGTGATCAGCGCCGATTGTGTCCTCAACCAACATCTCCACCGCGGATAAGACTTGTTCGTCTGAATCTGTGGCTGCCTTGATAGTCCACTGGTATCTGGTGCAGTCGAATGGCTTGTTCTCTCTGTCGCCGGACTCGAATTTCATCGTTATTCGACTGAGTCCGCTAAGGGCAAAAATAGAACAGTATTCAGCTGGTTGAACAAAAGGAAAGTGTTCAACTGCAGAGATAGCAATATGGTGTTCGACTGTGTGGATTTGAATGATCAAATTCTGGATGCTCTGCAGGGGTTCCCGATCGGCGGAGGAAGTTCCACGCCGTCCAAAGTACTCCATCATTCCGATAAAGCGGTTGAAATGAGAGGTGTCTCGATCGCTGCGGTGTACTTTCTCGCCACACAACAGAATATAGAATAGATTCTCGGCGTAATAAATGGGAAGGGCCTCGGTGAAGATTTGTTTGCTTGTCAGTGTCAGGGCCGGCGGGGCGAGGCTGCGGATCAAGCGTTTGTGGCTGGGGACGTCGGGGCCAGAATCGCGGATGAGGACAAGTCGATAGATCTTGTTCCTGATCTCAGCTGGCAAATCGGACCAGCCAAAAGTCTTCTGACATGCAATTAGCTTTTCATGCAATCTACATCGCTCTGATCATTCGAGGAACACAAACTAGTTTCTGTTGGCCAACCTCCATACCAGTGCAGGTCTGACTGCCCTGATTCTGCTGTGGGAGTCATGTCAGCTCTGTACCTTCGGGAGGCAAACTGCGACTTCTTGCAAACTCACCTTGCTTTGTTCACTCGCCATCTTGAGTCGCCCTGAAACAGACTGGTGGGAGAATGTGGGCTTCTTAGGGATCAGACACTTAATCCAAGGTATGCAAACCGTGATGACAACCTGGCTGCCCAGAAAGAGTTCGTTGTGGTGGAGCGAGAAGCAACAGAGATGGAAAGTGCTGCGAAGCAGGTAAATATACTTCCGAATTCCGAAATTATCACTGATACCAGCCAGGCAGCGGATTAGTGGTCCATGATATCTGCACCTTTTCTAACAACACATCCACAGGCGGCTTTGTCCACCTCCGTCATGAAACACCCTCCAAACATTTTCAGTGTCCTGGCAGCGCTGTCTAAGTCAGCAGTGGCAACTCCATGCACATTGAATCGGTCTTGGGAGGCCGTATGTTTGAGTTCAGGCAAGGAGCACCATGGTTTGTGTGAAGTTACTCTGCCTCATCAAACAAAGGTCAGGGCCTTTTGAAAGTTTTCTGCGATTTCTTGTTCAAACGGACTCCAGAGACCTATCAAGTCAAGGGTAGACGGCAACATAGAGAACGACAGCCCATATATTGTTTATGTAAACGAATGTAGTGTCAGTAGAGAACGACAGCCAAGTCTAACCGCCCCCTCCCCCTTTCCAGTCTAACCACCTTCTCCTCGTACATCCGTAAGCCACCAAGCCCAAAGGCCATGAAATAGTTCATTAACAGCCTCACTTATCCGAAGTCGACGTGAATGACCCTGTTAATTGAAGCCGACGCAGATAATACTATTGCAGGTGCAGAATTGAGGGCATGAAAAGGGCTGTTGAATACAATACTGCCCAGTCGCAAAGCACGGTATGACTTGTCGTTGGTCCAAGGGACTTTCTTCACGCGGGCTCATGTCCGGCGGGAGATCAGACCGCCTGGATCCCCGCTGCATGCCCGATATTTTCTCCGTGGGCAGCACGTCTTCTGGCGGGCTTAGTAGCTGCTCCTCCGGAACCGTGGCGCTGTCGACATTAGCGAAGATGGCTTTCTTCGCATCGAACTCGGCCTGGGACACATGTCCCTCGATGGCGGAGATGTATGTCTGGATCTGCTCTTTGCTGAGGCGTGCTGCATCAACAATCGTGCCGTTGGCTAGGTAGGCCCGGTATACGCCGTCGTTGTCAACGTTCCAGAAGCCACGAGTTGCTTCGGGGAAGCTGAGGATAGGAAAGTTGGCTAAGGGGTTGCCATCTCCCTTTTGCTATGAACTTGTTAGCTTGAATACAGTCCAACCGCGCTATCATGACATACCACAGCTCTAGTCTTTGGGATGCTAGTAGCAGCTGCAAGGCCGAACATAGTGGTCAACAGGATGGCGAAATTCATTGTTGTCTGGTGGGAGAGAAGAGAACAGAACTAGGAGTGGTCTTTGCAATACTTTCGAAGTTGTGCTGTTCGTTGATGGTAAATGGTTTGACAAGATCACCAGGAGTCTCGAGGCCTTAAGTACTTCCATACATCGTCTACAAACTCTCGTATTATCTCAAAAGGGCGATACGAAGTCCTGCAGATCATTTCCAGATGCTAATCATATTATTTGGAAGCCAGTTCCACAGCAACCATTCGTGTTGACCTGTGGATGCTGACAAGCATAACCATGGTACTGGGGCAGCTATTTTGGTTGATTGTGAGCAATGTCACGGTTGAACGGATGTCGGATGTCTCTTTTATGAGTTCTGATTCAGAGATGGGCCAGATTGTAACCTTAGAAGGGTTTAGCTCCATTATGGGCCTTTTTATCTGTTGACTCGGCTTGAAGTTCAAAGCCCCAGCTCACATAATATTTCGTCAAGGCCAAGCCTCGTGTTCGGACTATTGTGATCCTATCCAATATTGAGAAACAACGTAATCAGCTGGCATAACTGTTCCACTTCTACCCATCACAACAATGAGCAAGTGCTTATGGATGGATTGTGGTGAGATGCGTTTTCGTTAAGGATCGTCAAAGAACGATTGATCACAAAACCGTCAGCTACGGCTTCACAAACGGGCAGCGGAAGCTCCTGATGTTGGTCAAGTGATTCATCTTCTAGGGAAATCCTCGTTCCATAGATGGGGAGAAAAAGCGGAAAACTCTCCATGTTTGTTAGATGCGAATGTTTCCCGGAAATCTAAGTCTCCAGCCGTAGCAAACACATCGTATCAAGACTATGCCTTCACTCTTTACAAAATCACAAGACCAGGTAGGAGCTTCTCTTTGATTGGTCTCGCTCCGCAACTTCTAACTCCTTCATAGAACCCTGATATATCAGTCCACCTTCTCGAGGATACCGAAAACGGAGTTGGCGTTACGGACAAGATTTATGTAGGGCACGATGCTCTCCGGGTTTCTCGTAACTTGGATCTTCGCCAGGATAGGTTACTATCAACCAGGTCTATGTGCCGATGTTTCCTCTACACAGTGATAGCAGTCCTAGCCTGCTTGGGGCTTGTTCAAATTTCTTCTTGGGTCTTGCAACTGGTCAAGGCTCGAGCCGAACTACGACATGCACCGTGTTGGTGTGGTGTTTCTGATAACGACGCGATCGCAATGGGTTGTCGGTACGATCACATTGCTGTGGATTGGCTCCAGCCTGACTGTATCGACGATGATCTTGTTCAGGAATTCGACAGATCCGGATCACGGCCGGATGGGACTTGGCCGTACTTCGAAGCAGAGTACGACGATTCGACTTCTCATTACTCATTTATTCCTCTTGAATCTTCAGACATTGATATGTTTGCACGAGAGGGGAAGGAGTACTTCACCACTAGGGAATGGCAGTAAGTAATTTCAGAATCAGTATCCTCTTCCAGACAATGCTCTAGCTTGGAGAGCACATTGTTCTAGAAAGGCATCCTCAAAGTGGCGCATCAAACTTATACAGCTGCCAAGAAGGAAGCTGAATTTGAAACCTCAGTGTATCCCATTGCTTGTTTACATGGAAGAAGCAGTTCCGAGCATTATCCAATGGCAGATCCATCGAACCATGGAACAATAACGAAGAACATATCAAGCATTGTTCTGACTACATTCTCGAGGCTATGAGATCTGGTTCTCGCCTAGACGACGTTGAGACACTGATTCTTGGAGTGGATCGTCATAAGCACGAATAGATGGTCAAAGTGTGTCTAAGCAAAGAGAGAACAAATAGCCTGCACCATGAATTATTACGTAACGTGTCAAAGGGGATGTATATGTTGGTTGGATAAGACTATTGGCACATTCAGGCAAGGTATCATCTATAGAAATAGACGCCAGTGAGGAACGTTCACCGGGGTAAATTTTAGATATAAGACTTTATTTTTTAGCGTAATACCAATGGCCCTACCAAGCCGAATTCGAAAACAAGATAAACCCAAGCCAAGGACACACTAAACGAGCCAGATCCGATCTAAACCTTAGAGATGGACGCTATACACTTTAGATCGTGTCATCGTCCGGAGTCTTCGCCGTACGATGAATAAAACCCAAGACACATCTACTCTTCAAGAGAACAAGGGTTTTGATTACTTCGTGCTATGCGAGAATGCAAAATATTTATATGAATTTACAACAAGCGTCAAGGGCATATCACGGAACAGGATCGCTTGGGTTCTACAAGGTCATATTAAGTATTGGCGCAGCATTGCGTTCCTGACTTTCCCGATTTCTCAGCTCCGTTTATGGTGGCAGTGCTTATGTTTCAACACCTTGGTACAGGGGCGCCTGCAGTTCACTCAGCCAACAACCTCCACATCATGGAAGCTGGCCACATTCGGCATAAGCCGGATAGGAACGAAATGCAGCGAATCAATGTCGATCAGGAGAATGCCGGCCAAGACGAGGTCGAGACAGCTACCAGTCCTACAAGCGAGGTATGGCTGACTGATCACCACGAATTGTTGTGCTGTCAGTCATGTGATAGGGCAAATACTCACACTATATCGTCATGTGTAGAGGTTCTTCCGCTTCCTCGACCTACCCCCCGAGATCCGCAACATTGTTTATTCATACAGCACCGTCTACAGAGCGGAGGCAGATCACCTTCGCGTCAGCAAATGCCTGCCCAACCTACGGCAACCTCCAATTACTCGAGTCAACAGGCAAATACGCAATGAATGCTTGGCCATCTTCTACGAGATGCACCATTTCTCTTTGAACTTGAACGTGCGTTTTGAGAAATTGGCCGGAGGCGGATACAAAATCATACCAGCAGCCGAGGGTCAGGCCTCTTTGCAGTCTTTCCATGAGATGATTCAAGCCTTCGCCCCGAGTCCCAAGAACACATTGCAAATGAGCAACTTGCGTTTTCTCCCGAGCCTCACTGTCCAAATCAATGTCATCAGACATGATATAGGTCTTGGATGCCTTGGCTTCCATATGAGCTCTACAGACGAAACAACCATCGCTTCGCTGGCAGTTCGGGGTCTGGACTGGAACTGTCACGGGTCTGTCAAAGGGGCCTAGATTAGGGCAACCGAGAAGAGCGTGCTACGTAACGAAGGAGAGGAGTTCTTGGAGTGGGGCGAAATGTGTTGGCGCCATAACAGAGACTTGCTCAATGAGATGACAGATCTCCTGTGCTTGGTCGCTAGGCACTGCCCGCAGCTGACACGGAGTGTCTCCATCATCTACAAGGAAACCGGCTTATTTGGATCTTACGGCACAGTGTGTGACTTGGTTGAGGAGGCAATATTAGAAAAGCTAATAGATGAGAGGCAAGAGAATTGATTCAATGACCACGCAAGGGGCATGCGCAATGGAATCAATGGGGAGACAGGTTGATTAATCCTGCTCTTGCTCCTTGGCGAAGTCCTAGTTAAAATGATTAAGGCTCAGCTCTCACTAGCACTGTCAGCCATAGCCTTCTCCGCCATGAGCACAATCCAATCCACGACCTCCCCAAATGCCGTGATGTTAGGGGCGTGGCCAGCCTGGACCCTCATGACATCGACCTTATTCCCACTCTCGCGCTCGATCAGCTCTATCATATCAGTCTGGCTTTCAGGCGGGATGAGGATATCCTTCTCGCAGAACAGGTAAGAAGCAGCAACGTCTTTGTAGCCAGCGTACGTCAGTGGGTTGGTGAAGCTAGTGGAGGAATGGTACGCCAGGCTGCTAGCCAGGCGCTGGCCTTCCTCCGGCAGCTCCTCCCCTATTGTGAGGCTGGCGGCCTGGATGGGGTCCGTGCAAAATATCCAGCCGTGTTCCTACACGCACGATTAGCTAAATATCCGGCGTGCTGGAATGCACCGGGGAGAAACTTGCATCCATATCCATCTCGACACTCAATCCCTCGGCTCGCGGTCGGTTGGTAAGTACCTCATTAGCCGCGGCCCCTAGCGGCGCCACCAAAGAAGACATATAAACCAGCCTCACGACGCCGCCAGGCTTCCCTTCTTTCTGCCTTGCAGCTTTAACTAGGCCACGCACACTCTCGGTGGCGGGCACGCCACCGTATGACTGCGAGACAACGATGACGTCCCTGCCGGCGTCGGCAAGGGCCTCGATCTCCTTGGCGATGTGCGCGGCGTCCTCGTACATGGTGGGCGGTTCCCTGACGGGCCCGGCCTCTGAGGGCAGCCGCACGCTTGGCAGCGGTACGGCGCGGATGTTGTGGCCCCTCTTTGTTACCTCCTCGACGAGCGGGTCGTAGATGGAGGCGGGCGTAAGGCCGCCTGGGACGATTAGGGTGAATGGCCTCAAAGACTTATTCATCATAGGCAGAAATAAATGAGTGTTCCTTGATGGAAAAAGACAGATGGATGCCTAGAGAATGAGGGGTCGTGTCAGAGTCGAATGTTTTTGATCTGTTGGTTTGTTTTGATCGTTCTCGGTTTCAGGGAAATGCAATCGGGGCTATGCCCGATTTGAACGAGACATGAATCCTTCCGCCCCCACTGCATTCTTTTTTGTCGGGATTGCCAGAATTTCTTCCCTCTAGGTCGCTGTACAACGCATTAATTATGTTATCCGCGCACATAACCCAAGTGCATCTTACGCCTTATTAAATCATGAGCATCGTGCTGCCTTGCTCCTTTTTGAGAGTCCACATATCGAAACAAAGACCTCCTTTCGGCAACCCTGTATGTGAATGAGCCTCGTCTATCGAGAGTGTTCAGTATCAGGCACCGAGCGTTTGAGGCAGGAAGACTTAGAAAGGACCACAAAATGGGTTTTGCCGTGCTCATGATGATAGCGCTTGTTCAGTACGGCTTCTAATGCTAGCTCCAAGTTCGAGTATCAGGTAGTCGTTCGAGCAATGCTTCCAGAGACAAAAGTAATTGAATGCTGTCGTGCGCCCGAGATGGCTGGAGATATTCCTGGCCAGGCAAACCGCCACTTGGCCGCGTCAGAGCTCTTTCGAGTCGAAAACAAACGGCGCGCCGTATCAGATCGAAAGCTCTCCCCCACAATACACAAAGGCTTGGACTCGGCCTCCTGCCATCAAAAGCAGGCGCGCCAGCGTCGGGTGCCCACAGCGACTTGCAAAGGTCATCGCTGCCAGCAACAGGCAGTACTTTGCTTACCTGACTTCCTCTCCCTTTTTTCAGCTTCTACGAACCCTTTATGAGAGTTTTCGCAGCCCTCCGTCCGCTACTTGCGATACTTTGGAGCCCGCTCCATCGCAGCATCAATCTTGCCCAACGCAGGCCTTGACATCCAAGCCGACCCAGGTTGGAAGTCTCAACAACCAACGTCACGATCAAGTCGCGATCGTGAAAGCCTTGACTTCTGACGATAATACCTGACAGCCATTGCTACTCGAATCAGCATGGCGCCAAGTGACTTGAACGCAGGCACCACCGACGGTGGCGGCGAGGCTACCCAGGCAAACCCGACCAAGTCTCTCGACTCTCTCGACTTCCCAAACACTCCCGACCCCTTTGACTCTCGTCTGAACGCCGTCGAAGCCATCAAGCTGCGTGATGAGGACAGTACGAGGGAAATTGGTGCAATCAACCAGACAGATGAGCTTAGCAAGGACAAGACGGACAAGGTAAGCTATGCCGTGTGTTGGCTCTGCTGTGCTTGGAGTGACAATCGTCCCAGAAGCCCCTCCCCTTTCTCGAAATGCCCCCCGAAGTCCGAAACAAAATCTACCGTGAATCTTTGGTTTCGCAAAGCACATTGCCACAGGACCTTGACGATTATGACTCAACTGCAACTCTCTCCCAGCCAGCCCTCACGCTTGTCAACAGACAGGTCCGAGCTGAGGCACTTCCCGTCTACTACGGAGAGAACTTCATCCTCCAAAAGTACGTCACCAATTTAAGAGAAAACCGGACTTGTTTTTCTCGGAAGATCGTCGATGCTTTCACTCCTGTTCCCAGCAGCTTGCCAGGTTCCAGCTCGCTGGGGCACATCACAAACCTTCACTTGGAGCTCTGGTATACCATGCCTAGATTCCCAATTCAAATTCAGATGGCAGTCCAGATGAGGAGTGGTGAATTAATTGCCGATGCGACTACGTCGTGGCCAGAATGGAGGAACATGGTGAAGGTTGGAACCACCGACTTGGACTGGACGGATGCAGACGCTGTTCGGGCTGCGTGCAACAAAGCTGCAGACGACCTTGTGGCCAATCTGGACGACGAGTTGTACCGAATCCTTATGGCGCGGATGAACGGATCCGCCCACCAAAATGCTTTAAATGCCGTGTGTGTGTTGGCATCGGCGTGTCCTCATCTGACGAGATCAGTCTTCATCAAAGACTGCACTGAGGTGGATTGGGATGACGAGTTTGACGATGACGGGGATTATGAGGAATCTAATGACTGGTGGAATGAGGATTCCGATGAGAGCGACTTTTGAGCAGATCTAGATCTGTAGATTTTGCCTCTACCATTTCAGTTCAGTCGCCCTCTCCTGTGCGAATGATGAAACCGTGGGGGGAGCTGAGCTCTAAATGCAATTGCAGTAGATTAGGGTGGAAAGACGCCCCTGCGAGTAATTCGCTTTCACCGTACATGGGATTACGCTGCTTTCAATCTCACTGTCCCTCTCAAAAACCCTGACAGAGCACAATTTGACACCTCATTGTAAATTGTCATGTCAATATTTTCTTTGGAATTGTGCGTTGCCAACCCAAACAAGGCTTTTATTCACTGCCTTCTTGCCTAGGCACGCGACGTCCTTCAGCTACTGCCTTCGATACCAAACAAACAAGCAGCCAACTTGCCCACTTCACTTTCCAATCAACCAAGTTCGTAACTGTACGGTCTTCTGGAAGTTTGATCAACCACAGCAAGATATTCCACCGCACCGTGCTCGCCTCTGACGAAGACAGCCACACGCCATCCGTTCAATACTACGCCATAGTCGTCGCAAGACCACGAAGCCATCGCTATGGCGCGATCCCGTAAGGGCAAGGTTCGAACCCTCACGATCCGCTTAGCTTTCATTTTACAATCAGCTTACCCATCCAACAAGAAAGGTTTCCTTTCCTAAGCCTGCCGCCGGAAATTCGCAACACTATCGTGAGGTTCTGCACAAGAAGGTGGCCATCAAGATCCTCGAACAGCCAGCCCTTCTTCTCACAAACAAGCAAATTCGGGACGAAGCGTTACTCATTCACTACAGTTGGTTCTAGAGATAATTCATCGTGGCCATTCATGCACAAACCGTCCAGGCAGTGCAGAAATTCGTGGACAACCAGAACGCGAGTATCATGGCACTGATCCGATGCGTGACCATCCGAATTTGCCACCGTATGTGCTCTCACCCACATCACAACACGAGACCTTCAAAAGAGGTGGTTCATGTCGAATCTTCACTGGGCCTTTCTAATGTTAACGTGAGATGAAAACAGGAAAGGCGGCATTGTTTGAGGGGGTGGCGAGGTGACCTGGCTTAGGGGGCTTCGCCGAAGGAGGACTAGTTACATGCTTCAGCTGTGTTCCGTAGCATTGGGGTTCGGGATCTGAGAATGGAGTGCCAACTGGTCTCGTATTCAAGGATGGACATCGCCCGGACCGAGCAACAAACAACAGACGTCTGGATTCCGGAATGCCATAGCAAAATGAAGATGTTTCCGCGTGTAGGAAAATTATAGTGCCAGGGATTGTGTGAGTACATTCGTTTAGGGGGCATCAAGAGACCGTATAGAATCACGCCAGGCAGTCGCAGCTCCGGAAAATTGGTTGATCTAGCATTGGGCTGAAAGTATGGTCTGAAAGATCATCTACATTGACCAAAGTGACCGGAGCTACAAGAACAAGCGATCTGTGAGAAGGCAATGGCGTGCCGTCAGAGGTGTATACAGACTTTCGAATATGATTACATCAGTATCAAAGTGGTAATTATTTACAAGGCCGTCACGCTAGATTCATATGCTCAAGTGCATGTACCGAAGCTCGACTGACACCCAGTACCGCAGTACACGCTCGTGCTTCCGCAGTAGCCATACTGGCTGCAGCAGTTACCAAAGGTGGACCCCTGACACGTCTGCGCGGTCGTCCCGCCACAGTTTCCATCAGTGCTGACCTTGTTATCGGTGCCGGTTGACTGGTACAGCTTGATGGAGTTAAACAGCCAGTACGCCTCGGAGAACGCAGCAGGCTGGCCCGCCACGTACGCTTTGCAGGTACTCGCGACGTTGCTGCAGTATGTCTCGGACGTCCACGTGTCGTCGTCGATCATGGAGCCGCAGAAGTCAGTGTTGATGATGATTGTCTGGGCCTGGAAGTTGTCGCCAAGGTTGCACCCGCCGTTAGACGTCTTGAAGTCCGACGACGGCGTGCCCCAGCCTTCTGGGTTGGGCGACCCGCTGGTCAGGTCCGCGGGGACGGAGGCCTTGGGCCACGACCAGATGCGGAGGCGGTCGTTCTGCAGGTATGAGGCGTACACGCCGCCTCCTGCAGCGTTGAAGGCGTCGCCATATGACTGTGAGTTGCCTGTTGAGCCGCAACCATCCCTAGACATCTATATCAGTAGGCGGTCACATTTACGAGAGAATAGGCTTCCTTACCAATTCGTCGCACCGTCGCTGCAGTCACCACCCAGGGCACAGTTCGATCTAGGGTCTGTGCCTCCAATGTTGGTGAACTGACAGGCGCTGCACGTGTGTAACGACACAATGTTCCTCTCTTGCAGGCCAGCAGCGGCACCTCCCTCGATGATGTCGATCTCGCCCATGGGGTTCTCTCCGAAGTTGTAGGACCAGAAAGAAGGCCAGACGCCGCATGCGTTGGCTGGCATGTGCGCAATGTCAGCCACCAAGAGGGTGCCAGGGCCATATGTGTCCTTGGACTCCAAGCGGATAGAAGCACGGCCTTGGGCCGAGGTTGACAAGGTGGACGTATAGTCTACGCCGAGATAGACTTGCCCATTGGACTGCACTTTTGTGAGACCCTTTGACGAGGCGGCTGAGGCTGACTGGTAGTCAACGAAGCCGTTGGTAGGGTCTCCTGACGGAATTCCTATACTATGGAAATAGGCTGTCTAAAACGCGACAATGTCGTTAGTTTAATTCCTACTCGATTTTGTTACAATCTCAGTATGACTTACATCCCTGAAGTCAAATTGGCCGAGGAAATTCGAGCCACTATATGTCCGTATCAGGTTGAAAGCAGCGGACGCTGGCAAGACCTCAAGGCTCAATGCCAACATAGTGGCGGCGAAATGAAGTTTGGAACCCATGGCTGCAAGAAGTCTTCACCGTTGTGCCGATGGTTGGAGGGCTGATCAGGCTAGTGTGACTGGAATCCCGAAAAAGAAGCGCTCACGACACTTGATCTTATAGATGAGAGGCTGCAATTGTCAGGGTTGAACCAGGCTATTATTACGAGCTTATTCCATCTTTCACCGGCCCACTCGGGACATTCCGTCCTGGTCTGGAGATCCGGGGAATAGTAAGGAGTGTCCAGCTGCTTCAGGCAGCCCGCTATTGAATCCTTCCTTCTAGAACTCGGCTGTCTTCGCAAAAAAGAAAAGTCTTCTGCTTACTCTTCAAATCCGAGGTCACGCCAAGCGAGAATCGATCCTCCCTACTGGATCGTCAATGGCAAAGGTGGGGGCCTCCCATATAGCGTAACCACCTTCAGTTCGCTCTGGCTTGGCTGGGCATAAGCCAAATGGAACTCGACCATGCCACATGCGGTTGCAGGGAAGACTTTCTATTCCACTACCCATCCTTCTACTCGGGAAGCGGGCAATTCCTAGGGGTTATAGCAAATTGCCAGCCTATAGAACAGGGCCTATTGTACGCTGCCTAAAAAAGAGTGGAAACCTCCGAAATGAGTCCTTGGCAATGGGGAGCGCCTGAGTGCATAACAATGATACCTGCTGCTCCACCACACCCTCGGGAGTCGGGCCACGTGCGATGATGGCTTTACCCATCAGTGAAAATGCCGGGGACGCTTAGCCCACCGGTGCCTACAGTCGGATTGTCATTATCGAATGTCTCATGTCAAGGGCAGTGGGAATGTCGCAGGTGTTCAGTCGAGCAACGTTGCTTACCTAGATGGCCTGTCGGCTCCTTGAGGAGCGAGTTCTTCACCGGTGTCGTGTTCTCGGCCGAGCGAACTATCCTCCTCGTCCGCACTTCTTCTATCCTCGCTCTCCTCGTCATACCAAGGGAATTTGAACAACACCTTCGTCTCCAAGTGCTGGTCGAATCTCCGGTACGCCTCAGGCGCCTGGTCAAGACCGAAGTACTCCTTGCTTACGATGAAGCCCGGACGTGCAACTCCGCTCTTCACCAACTCAAATAGTACTGGCGCAGTTTTGAGGATATCCGCAATCCCGCCCTTCATGGACAGTCCTTTCGACCAGAAAAGCGATATAGGAAATGTGATGTCTGGTGAAATGATGCCCCCTCGCGGCGCACCCTCACTGTTGGGCTGAGCAAGATAGACGCCAGCCACACCAATTCCGCCATGGTCAGAGGCCATCTTGACAGCCTCACTAAGCACAAAGCCTTGATCCGGCTTCAGCTTCTCGTCCACGCACTCGTACCCGACGCAGTCGCACACGCGCGTCACTCCGTCGGGCGCGAGCCGGAGGATCTGCTCCGATGGCAGGCCCCCCTTGGTGAAGTTGATCGGCACGGCGCCGATGGACTTTGCCTTTGCGAGGCGCGCCGGCACATGGTCGATGCTGTAGACCTTGCTCGCGCCGCGGAGCTTGGCGCTGTATGCGCAGAGGAGGCCGACGGGTCCTGCGCCGAAGATGGCTACGTCGTCACCTGGCTGGAAGCCTGAGAAGTTGAGAGCTTCCCATCCGGTGGCGAAGATGTCGGAAAGGAAGAGGAATTCCTTGTCAGGAATCTGAGGGTTGCCGACCTCCATGAGAGTTTCGTCTGCTATGGGAACACGGACACATTCGGCTGAGATTGGCATTAGTATCGTAAGTCAACAGAGTCAGGCGCTGAAAGGTGAGCGAAGGGTGAGTTTGGCTCGAACCTTGAGTTCCACCGAGATCTCCCCAATCTTTTCCGGCGCCGAACATGGCAGCGCCTCCCCCAATGGTTGGTTCGAGCTGCAAATGTCCGAGGGCTTGCCCTCCACTTATGACAACGCGATCTCCTTTTTGAATGCTCGCGACCGCAGATCCAGTCTCCACAACGATTCCCATACCTTCGTGACCTACCGTCCATGGGGTTTCCTCGCTGCCGAGTATTCCATGGTACATGTGGAGATCACTGCCGCAGATGGCGGCCGTGGTGATCCGGACGATGGCGTCTCGCTCGTCCAGAATTCTAGGCTTGGGGACCTCCTTTGTCACCATCTTGAAAGGCTTGCCTTCCCAAACAACTGCCTTCATATAGTTGGAGCCATGGTGACCAGGCCGCTTGTGTACGGGCATGATGGGCGGTAAGTCAAGCGCTGAAGTTTCGAGAGACAGAGATTTGTTTTCGGAACAATATCGTTTTGGTGAACTCAGATTGAAAGAAACTGCATCGTACTCCAGTGGAGAGCAGGCAAATCCAGCGGGTAAATTTCCTTGGGATTGCCTCTATTTATGCACGAACATTCTCTTACAAAAGGGCGCTTCTGAAGCCAATGATGCTAGACAGGTTCGAGCCTTGACATAGAAAGAGTCAGTTCACGTGCGCTGCGTTTCCGTTGTGAATGCCAGCCTGACCAGATGATGGCGTCCACAAGTTGTAAGCTGAGAAGAGCTGTAAGGCAGTAGACTGCTCACAATGGACTCGAAGTGAGTGGCGAATCATCAGGTGAGATCAGTGTTTGTGGAATATAGTCGGAAATTGTCCAATCGCGCTCAGACCATCATGTTCAACACCCAGGACTTACTAAGGACATCAGCCAAGGCATACGCCTCGTCTTATGACTTGAGGGAGCCATCTTCAAACTATTGCTTTGAGGCGGCCGTCAATGTGATGACTTGATACTTAAGTCAGCTCACTATCATACATCTCAAAAGCAAATAGCCTATCTCTTTGCCAAATACGACATAGGAATTCGCACATATCTGTCAGATCAAATCGGCCCTTTAATGAGGGCGGTAGGCATCTGAATGCCCAGACAAGAAAGGCCCCAGATCAAGAAAGCGGAATTAGTGGGCTTGGCACCTCGCTGCGTTTGGGCAGGTCACAGGTCAAATATTCCATAATGGTTTCTAAAACATCTTATCTGATTACTCCTAGATTTTTATTCGGTTATGCATGTTGTCAACAATTTATTTGTTTTTAAACATCTATGTTCTCTCTCTTGGAATAGCTTTCTGTATCTCTGCAGAGACAATTTAGCACATCCAAGACCACTTCAATTGGACCCAAAGTCGATACATAACCTTCATGGAAAGACCTCGCTATGATTGGTCGGGAAAAGCACACAAAGAGATTGAACTAGAGCAATGCAGGCAAAAGAGGAGACTAATAAGCACTTGCAAGTGATCGCAATGAACACAACTCAGTGTCTTTTGCATCGATTTCGGAACTTTAAGGGACAGTATTCGATTTTTACAAGAAATGAGCCAAAGCTACCAAGCAGATGTCTCCCTCGAACCTTGAAGTTGCCGTCTGTATTCCAACGCAATATGTGTGCAGTTGAAAGCCACAGGCCTAAGCCTAAGGAGCATCGCACATAGCGTCGCACGGAGATAGAGTCCGAGCTAGCGAAGCTTGGTAATCCATGACGCGGTGGTACCCACCGGAGGACCGGACGGTTGAATGTTTCAGGCCGAGCCTGTATCACTGCACTATCTAGTCAGACTTGGAGTGGCTTTTCGCACATTGTCCGGTCACTAATCAGATCTCACCACGGCTACCTATAGGACAGTCTCGGACCCGAACGGTGATCGAGGTGGTATCGCTGTCCAACCATAAATATACTAGCAGCACTGGCTGCTGCTTTTCAATGGGAACAACCCCTCCATTTCAAACATCCCCACTTGAATCATCGCCATGTCCGTGCACCTAGGGAAAGATGCCCGCTGGGAATCCAGCTTCCTCGCTTTCATGTACCGGCAGTTCTTCTACCGGCCCAAACCGATAACAGCAGACCTGTCAGGGCAGACAGCGATTATTACCGGCGCAAATGTGGGCCTGGGCTTCGAAGCGGGCCGCCAGCTCCTGGGACTGGGGCTTTCCCGCCTGATCCTCGCCTGTCGATCCCAGGTCAAGGGCGATGCGGCGGCTGCCACGCTGCGCAAGGAGCACCCGTCCGCCAAGATCGAGGTCTGGCTGCTGGACATGAGCTCTTACGCCTCCATCAAAGAATTTGTCAAGAGGTGTGCTGGGGACGAGCTGCAGCGGCTGGACATAGCCATCCTCAACGCCGGCGTACAGAATACAGAGCTCATCAAGAGTGAGCAGACGGGGTACGAGACCACGTTCCAGGTGAACTACGTGTCGACGGCGCTGCTCTCTATTTTGTTGCTCCCGGTCTTGTGGGAGAAGAGAGCGTCGGGCCGGCCGGCGAGGCTCAGTATCATCGGCTCGGACACGCAGTACTGGGCGAGAGTGGATCCCGCTGGTGGGCCGATCTTGCCACGAATCGCCGCACCGGCCAAGTTTGAAAGCATGAACCAGTATGCGACAACCAAGCTCCTCCTCATGGGATTTGTCATGAAGCTGGCCGAAAGTATTGACCCGGAGGTGGTGATCGTGAATGTTGTGAATCCGGGTTTGACGGCTAGTACCGATATATCCAAGGGCACCCCGCCGTCGCTGGCTTTCCGGACTTTTCTGATGCTCACGGGGCGGAGCTTGGAGTGGGGTGCGGATACTTATGTTGAAGGGGTCGTTGTGAAGGGCAAGGAGAGCCATGGGTCCTTTGTCAGCGACTGGACCATCAAGCCGTTCCCTACAATATACTACACGGAGGAAGGTGTTGAGATGAAGGATCGACTTTGGGAGGAGACCATGGAGGAGCTTAACTTTGTGGGGGCGTCCGGTATTGTCTCCAAGCTGGCAAATGCAAAGCTCTGATCCAGTTTACTATGTGTTGAGAGCATGCCTTTGGAACATGAGAGGCAAAACGCGAAGCACGGCCATGAGCGTGCAGTCGAAGGCGTTGACACCAGAGCATCATTAATCACAGGCATTACCAGTCTGATAATATGCCTTGAGATTGTTTGCGATAACCAGAGTGGCGATTTCTATTTGAATTTCAAACCCTCTAGGCATATGCAATGAGCCAGGAAGCTGGGCGAAGGCATTCATAGTAGTGTAGTCATTAGCACTGACATTTGGAAGTCCTGCGAGCCACTCGACTTCTACTCTCTGTTCCTTCTGCTTTCTTTCCTGTATACTAGGGGAGTTATGTGCTACTCTTGGTCAGGTTGAGGCCAGAAGTAATTGCGTCAGAATTTACGGTTCAAGGCCCTGTCAACGCGGTCATACAAATTCTCTATGTCAGTGAAGATCTAGGAAACCAACTTGGGCTATAGTGACTTCCCTGTAATGCCTGTGACACGGTCCACGCTGCCGGTTTTGTGATTAGCTACATCAGCCGTGCCACACTGGCAGCCTCGTAGATCCCAATAGGTACCTGGTTGGCGAGCCTTACGGTACCTTTCAACTGCCGGATAATAATTAGGCAGTCGTGTGTACTATAGGCCCTGACTAAGCACGCAGTACAGTAATAGCGAGCTGGGCGCCTTTATGCGTGCTGGCTACTATAGCTATGATGCCTGATTGTTTGCTGGGGTTATACTCAAGGTCAGTATAATTTCCTAGGATACTTACAAGGAGGACTATAGTTAATTACTTAAGGTAGCCATACTAATTATGATACCTGTATATGGCTGCACCTACATAGTAATTGGTATGGATTAAAGGTTGTCTTTAAGCTCCTCTACCGAGTCAGAGCAGTCAACAGACGGTAATAAACCTTAGACTCAATTTGTACTTGAGCCTTAGGCCCCGGGAAGTTCTGTGCAACTGGTATAGAAGAAAGAGTGTTGAGACCAATCATGACGCTATACTTATTATGCGGTGTTGGGAATGCCTAGCATTATCTATATATGACCAGTTCCCACGGGAAGAACAATAAGTAGCTATGTTCACGCTACTTGTGATTACTTATTAAATACACACGATACGAAATATAGTGGGAAACGCGGTGTGTCTATACCTATCTTCTGCACTCTTCCAGCCCCGGTGAGACAGTGTACGCCTTTCCACATGAATCAAAACTTTAGTCAGTGCAGTGCGCGAGGGTGAGCCCAGAGAGCTGCTTAGCAAGAAGCTCCTAAAGCTGGCTGATCGGGCGTCGGCGGGCAAGCCAGCCGGCAGACCCTGTGAGCAGGATGAGCGGCTCGACGAGCTGTAGAAGAGTCTGGAAAGAGAGATTAAATTGGTTTGGTTAATAGGGACGTGGGAGTTGGGGCATTTCATCTAAATTTTCGGGATAAAAGTTTGGAATGATGGTATTCAGGAGGGACTGGATGTGGACTACTTACTGGCTGCTGACCTTGTTCCATGTTTCCAATGATCTCCTTCTCACCTTCTCTCATAGATATCGGCATTTTCCTTCCTCGCATCTTGAGAGTCCCTTCCGGAACCGCAGAGTGTTACTTCTGTTCCGCGCGGCGCAATGTATTGTCGTAGCTAGTCGCCATGACGGGAATTCTGCTCCTATCTCGAGGCGTGTGACCAAAGCCCCTAATATCCTCCGTGTCGTGGGTTCTGGAGGTTGTGCTTTGAGAAGGAGCAGCGAGGGGCCTCTTTACTTCTTGTACAGTCAAGAAGACGTGCCACCCATTCGAGACGTCGCGAGGTGAGGAAAATGCTATCAGTCAGTCCTACCTACCTAGCTATCTGTTACCTATAGAAGTCACACCGGGAAGCAAGACGTAAATAACTCCATGCTCAGAGGTCGAAGTGCCATCAAGCGCGCTGCATAAACGTATAGATTTTGCAGACGACGCCTGAAGTTACTGTCTTGCGTGCAAAGATGAGACAGGTCATGGCCAGGAGACTGTCTGCCTTTCAAGTCGCAACTGGTCTTGTCTCCGCTGCCCAATTGAGCCGTGTAAATGGCGTGAAGACTGGGTAAGTCCTTGCCTCTGCCGATTTGGAATCAGCCTCGAGCTGCTGGACGCTTCTTGCTTGTTCAAAAAGGTGACGTGTATTGTCGGGAACGGAAGCCGCATCTCTGTCTGTGGGAAATAATAACAAGGCAAACTGGTCCTCGTCGAACCGCCACTTTTTCCTTCATCCATCAACATCTTCCGGACATTCTCAACACCATCACCATCATCGCCAACATCACCAACATCATAACCAAGTCAGCCCTCTTCATTCATGCTCTGCACATCACCCACCATTTCCATCCCCCTCTTGAGATACTTGTCTGTTTTTTCTTGACATCAGTTGGGCATCTACACCGCGCATGGCGAGCTGCCAGCAATCTCAGTGTTTTGCTGTCCTTCATCATCGTCAAAATTGGAAGAGCCGACACATTGACACCACGCCACTGGAGCAACGAATTCAACTTCTGCTGGAACCACCCAAAGCAGATGTGATTCTTTTCTTCATGTCGACGCGGCAACTCCTGGACTGCTGATGCAACCAGGTGGGTCCTCTGTTATGAAGAAATACCATCAAACCTGAGCTTCGGCAAAGATGAGATTGATCTTGAAGGCAAATAGGAAGACCGACAATCTGACAAGATCCACTCACGGCAGCGTCAGCGTAAAGCGGCTGACCTTTTTATTTTGTGTCCCACAGGTCCGGGATACCACTACCTTTTTATGTTGTGTCGGAAAACCCCTAGCACCAGACTACCAAGGTAGTTCGCACCCTAGCTCGACCTCGAACCGGCGGGATCTCCCCATGGCGGCTCGACCGCTCCGGCACCGTCGTGCGAGCTTGGGGATTCTTTTGGGGCGAGTTTGTGCTGGGCTTGGTGGATCTGAGGCGTTGGTGTTGCTACATGGAATCGAGAAATGTGATGAGAGTTGACTCTGCAATTTGATCCTACTGTACCCACTTGTGAATGCCACTGCCTGCTCGCCGACTCACCACCTCAAGCCCGGGTCCCTCTCCACGGATGTTTGGTGGCTAGCTTCCATGAAGGCACCTTGGGATTATCCCACCTTCCTGCCCCGCCCTCTGGTCAGCCGCCAGGGCAAATCTCCCATGCGTGCCCCAGGTTTCCCATCCAATTGGGCTAGTGCAGCTATCGTTGATCTTTGATATAGTCTCTCTTAGTCACGTAGACAGGCCACCCGTGAGGAACAACAGTGAAATAAGCTGTATTAGAAACATTAGTTTATGCCTATACGTTTTAAGTTTGAGACTTGCACCAACCTTTGTACTCCCACTCCTCCTTTGGCTTCACCTGCCGAAAATCATAGTCCCTCACCAAGGTTGCCTGGGGAACGCCTGTCAGTATCTTCTATTGCGTTGACCGCATGAAACGGGCAGAACTTACTGCCATCTTGGACATTTGAATTCGTGCGAGATGTTGTCCTGGACACGAGGCCCAGCCAGCCCCCCATGGACAGAAGAACCTCTCCAAATTCGCCGCATTCGGGCCGAACCAACGATCCGGGTTGAACTCAGCAGCATCCGGCCCCCAGAGATCCTTGGATGTCTGAAGCACGTATGGATTACATGAGAGCACGGTCCCTTCGGAAAAGGAAATATCGCCAAACTTGACATTGCCTTTAGGGACGACACGTGGCAAGCCCACTAGAAACATGTAAGCCATACAGTGAACCATGGAAATCAGTGGCGTCAGTTGCCTACTTGGTACGGGAGCGAAGATTCGCAGAGCCTCCTTGATATTTGCTTGCAGGAATGGGAGTCTCGCAGCATCATCATAAGTAATGATCTCGTCCTGGCAGCGACCATCCTTCTGTGCAGTGTCAATCTCGTCTCTGATGCGCCGCCACGCATTGGAGTGGCGAATGAGATGGTATACGAAGCTCCTATTGAAGTCAAGTCAGTCATCAGCGAAATATCACCGATGTGGTATTTGAGACGTACTGCATGGCACAAGAAACAGTATCTGAGCCGGCACCAAGATTTGAGATGGCAGCAGCAACCACCATGTCGTCGTTCCAAATCTTGGACTCGCCGTTCTTTTCTAGAGAGCGGAACCAATGAGCAGCAATGTCGAACCGCGCATCTGGGTTCTTCTTCCGTTCTGCCAGAGCGCTCTTGGCCTTTTCTCCCATGTACCCAAGGGGCAAGACTTCCAGCCAAGTCGTCAGGGGGTTGCAGAAGATGTAACTGATGTAGCGAATATAGCCGAACAAGACGAAAAACAACTCCATGGCTTCATTCATCGCGATCGCTCCTCCAATATCTTCACCTTTGTCCGTAAACCCGAAAGACTTGGAAAAGGTGACCTCGCCGGTGATATCGTAAGCTGCGTACGAGAAAAAGTCGCCCAGCTTCAGGGGAGTCTTTTCTTCCGATGATCTGTCCAGCCAAGAGAAGAGCTTAACGAGCACCTCATCCATGTAGGGCTCCGAGCGGATGACATGCTTGGCTTCGTACCCTTGCCTGAAATTCGTGTTCAGTCTGAGCTTGTCTTTCGGGTCTCTCATTCCGAGCGGCGCGGTCGTCCTGTAGTCGGGCAGCACAAAGATCTTGTACCATTTACTCTGCACATGTCAGTATACGGCCCTCGCTCATACCTAGGTCTGCTCATCCCTAAAGGACTAACCTTATGTAATGGCGCAATAAATAGCGACTTCACGGCGTTCTCATGGCATACGCTAACTTCGTCGTGTGCGATTCGCACGAATGGGCCATACTTCTCATGTGCTTTCGCAAGGACCACCTGTTGGTCGCCTCTTATGATGTAGCGCAAGTGCCAGAGACGGGAGAAGGAAGCCAGAAAAGGCCCGGGGATATGACTAAGTGGGGAGAAGTAGCGCCGCCGGATAATTGTCACGAAGACCAGAGTCAAGAACAATACTAGAAGCTGAACCGTGATGGACTGGTGGCTCCATGTTGCAGGGTCCTGTACCGTAATTTGTCCGCTCGAGTTGCTCGGCAAGTGTTCGAATGCCGTGGGCCCAAACTTGGGGTTAGTGGTCTGGTGCAGCTGGCCCATTTCGAAGCGGAACGATGATCTGTGTGATGGAGGGGAAAGAAAGTGAGTGAGAAAAGATATTCACATGTCGATATGACGCTTGTGTATCAGAGAAAGGCGACAGTCTGCTCTTTATTTCGTGCTCTCGGGTGCTATTACAGTGGACCACCGTCCATGTGGTACATCCGCTCTTATCAAACCTTCCTCCATTCAGTCAGAAGCATGGCTCATCAAGGGTGGTAAGCGGATATGTCGGGCATGTCTTTCGTCCTTACATGTCATAGTCTTTGGAAAATGCTGGAAATATGCAAGCATCCAAAGTGACTAGTCCAATCAGCATCTACATGCCCATGTTGGTCCCACAGCCGAGACGTTACACCGCAGAGGGGACGGTCGACCATTATTGACAATGTGGGGGAGCACACTGAATGTGATGAGATTTCCTTGTTTGTGATCAAGGCAGGAAGATATGGCCAGGACTTTGCTGTCGCTTAATGTGGAACCCGTATCTGTCCAGCGGTAGGTTCCGCTCATGTAGGCCTTGCGGTCTCATTTGATGAAGCTTGACCTGGCTCCGCCATTGTACATATCGCGCAGGTATCCTTCTGTGTCGAAGTGCCATATTTTGTGGCTGCATCCGCAGATGGGCAGAGATAGTCCGGAGGATCCGCATGCCAGCATGAGCCCTCCGTTGCAGCTGGGAATAGTCTTTATTCAAATGCCTCGGACGTCACGTGACTTCAAAGGCTGGCGCCGAGAGAATCAATGGATAAAGGAGTGACTGATCAATTTATCTGGGAGTATGCTGTTTATTTCCGCTGAGGTCCAGGTATGGCTTGGAATTTGCGCCATCGAGTCCGATGACCTGATCTGCATCTTAGCTGAGTGACCATGTCGTTCGTTTTGCGCCCAAAAGGCTCAGGTCTCATCCGCTATACTGGTGCTATGGACGGGCAGCTTTGGCCTGAGAACGGAGATGTATTGAGGGAGTGGGAGATTGTGTAAGGTAGGCAGAGAGCAGTGGCTTCAAGAAATTTAATCTGTTCTATCTACAACGATCGGTGTACTTCGGATTTTATAAAACGATGTATTTGACGATCATGAGATATATAGAAGCTCACGGTCCTCGGTATTGCGGTAGCCGTGGAATTTGTGCCGGAGATTAACCCGTACGTCAAATTGAATAGTATCGTGCCAAGGAAGCCTTTCGAGATGAATTCAAATTCTTTTTGCAAGTATGAGAAGTCATACGTAACCTACTTCAGAGCCAGAGCGAGATGGTTCTCGCCGGGTCTTGTAAATTGCTCACCTGTATCCATGAAATCCGAAGATTCCGTGCGCAAGCGGCGACTCAGATGCTCCGCAATATAGTGCGAGTATGTTCAGCCTCATGGTGTCGGGCTCGGTTAGTCGGGTTCGTAGAATTGGCCGAGCGACATTTCAAGAAACAAAGTGAGCTAAGAGAATGGGAACAATGCAAGACCTTGCATGGACAGGTGATGGCGTATGTTTATCTGAAGGTTCTGGTGCTAATTATATGTTCGGCCGAACTTTATTCGCGAACCTCAACCTTGGCACGACAGCCCGGGCCCCACGCCCTGCCGGGCTGTCGGTATTTATTAGGGGAGCCCCAGGCCGTCACAATCTCCCTGAAACAGTCAGATGAATCGACATAGGACGCATAAGGCTGATAGCTCTGGTTCGATTAACGGGCGCGAGTCAGATTCTAGGCGCGACGAGCGCTTCGCCCCTCTTGGCCGCGCTCTATGCATGACTGGGAATAGCCCCAGGGTCGCCATTTGCAGATAATCTGTGTAGATCGGGTGAGGCTGATAGACGATCATCCAGATGTACCGGTTATAAAACAACCAAGTTGTTCGCTGCCACTGCCGAGTAGCGATGATGGACAAGGCTTGCGTTTCGTTCTTTCATTCAGTCACGAGGTTCGAGACTACACTTTCATTCTTTTTCTATTCTTGTCTCGCAAGATGAGACTTTCCATTCTTTTAGGAGCGTGCGTTGCCGCAGCTCCCTCACTTGCGCAGAGCGGCTGGAACAATACTTCCATTCGGCCTGGTGGATCTCGGGCACCATCATTACAACCAAGCTCGGCACCCATACTGACCCCAGCGTCGTCACGCCCAACTACACGCACCGGATCATCGCCACCATCGTCCACCTCGGCACCGCCAACCACTGTCACGGTCAGCAATGGAGACACCGTCGATGTTGCACCAGGCGTCGTGGTGTTCGGAGGTCCGGGCGGTGGATTCTTCACTGTCAACGGCGGCGCTGCCATCCCAATCGCAGCAGGGGCAACAGTCACGGCCAACCAAGGCAGCGAGGACCCTGCGCCAACATCAGAGCCGCCTACTTCGGAACCACCCACGTCAGAACCGCCAACCTCAACACAGCCTACATCATCTCAGCCCCCGACTGGTACTCCCAAGCCATACATGATATTCCCTGCAGACGGCGCGGACACGGCAGCCTTCCTCACCACGCTCCAGGATCTGGTCAAGCCGGAGGTGCCCCAGGTGGTTGACATACTCGACACCGGGAGTAACTCCAACACTACGCTTATGTGGGTCGCGAACCTGACCGACACCCAGCTCAAGGAGGTTCAGGGCAACAGTGCCATCGACGGCACCATGGAGAATGCGAACCTCACAGCTACCGCACCGGCCGAAGAGGCCGAGGGACAGACCGTCACCCCACCCAAGCAAAAGCGGCGCAGCTTGTACGACATTGCCAGGAGGGCTGTCATTAATGTTGACACGGATGACTTTGACCTGATCCAGCTATCGACGGCTGAGGGTAGCCAGCCAGGCACCACTTATGACTACGATGAGACTGCTGGCACTGGCATTTCTGTCTACGTTATCGAGAGTGATATTCTTATGGACCATGACGAGTTCACAGGTGGTGGTCGGACGACTCGCAAGATTACCGTACCGGATATGACTGGTGGAGGACTCCGCGGCGAGCGAGCGGAATTCCACGGCACATGCGCTGCGTCGAAGGCAGTCGGAAACACAGCGGTATGTACTATCAAAAACTGCCAAGGGGCATAGAGCATGTCCCAAGCACAGCAACAAGACAGCAATTGATACTGACTGGGTTGCTATTATCAGGGATCGGCACCAAAGGCTGACTTCGTAGCCGTCGACATGACGAATGACGACGTCGCCACGCTGATAGCAGCATTCGCGATGATCGGCCAGGACGTGGCACAGAAGGGCCTGAAGGGCAAGGCCGTCATTTCGTGCAGCTTGACGGCCAGTGAGGACTCCATCACTGAGATGGGCATCACACGGCTCAGGCGGGTCCTCGGCGTCCTGGTCAGCCTGGACGTGCCGATCATTCTATCAGCTGGCAACTATGGCGGTGACATTAACACGTACCCGCCCATGCTTGCGGATGAGTTGCCACTCATCACAGTCGGTGCTGTGGATGACAAGGGCGAGATCGCATCTTGGTCCCAGGGTGGTTCGCTTTTGACGACGGCTGCCGGTGGTGTGGGTATTGTCTGTGCTACTAATGAAGCACCGGATGCGTATCGGATCCAGCAGGGCACTTCTTTCGGTAAGTTTATAAACTCGATACCCTCGGATCCGACAGGCTTTGTTCATGGCCGTTTATTCTTTTCACCGAGTTCAAAATGCTGACTCTCGTTGACAGCTGCACCACTCGTGGCCGGCATGGTAGCTTACTGGCTCGGCCACCCAGACTACACCGAAGCATTCCCAGCCTCACAGGTAGCCCAAGCCGCCAAAGACTCCGTGACCTCGCTGCACTGGGCGCGCGTCGAGGGCGGCTACAATGTAGCGTACAACGGCGCCCACGAGTGTGTCGACGATTCAGCTAGCGAAAGTGAGGGCAGCACCACGCCCACACGTCGCCGGGTCATGCTGGAGGCCCGCCAGGCCGCTGGCAACGCCACGCTGGGCCTGGGCGGCATCCTCGCTGCTTCGTGCCCGCTGCCTCCGTCCAGCTCAAGCTCGTCCTCGGTCATCACCGTTGTGCCGACTACGTTCTCGACTGTCACCTCCACTGCGTCTGCCACTTCGACGGCGGCAGCGGAGACGAGTGCTCCTGCCATTGAGCCGATGTACTGCTACAGCTTTGACCCTGCTTGCTACGTAAGTCACCTCTGTCCATTCCGCACCCCGTTCTGAAACTCAAGCATATCTCGACCTTTTTTGCTGACTATTGTGCCTTGGTCCAGGGATGGTGCTGTCCAGATGAGCCTGGTGGAACCTGCAGCTCCGAGTTCCCGGGCAAGCAAGGCTGCAGATGCGGCGCTGGCGGCGCGACGAACGTAGTCCCGACTGATGCGCAGTGCCCAATGCCTGCTTAAAGGTGCCTTTGTGTGCAGAACTCGGCTGATTTGCAAGTCGTTGGAAACTTTCCCATGCTGAGACTTGACTCTTCTTCCTATATCCTGGAATAAGGATGTATGTGTATATATTTTCAAATTTTGAACGAGACCTGACGATTGTTCTATGATTTCATCTGTCAGGGGCATAGCAATAGTACCAAGAAAATTGGCATTGCAAGACTCTGGTGCAACCCAGAGTCAAAATGTCCGCAGCGTACACCAGCGGTAATTGTTAAGATCCAAAAGGGCTAGTATCAATTTGGTGACCTGATTTTGCAGTGACTTTGCCATTTCAATCCTATTGATATGCTGTATAAGCACGCAACTAGGGCTCTTCCAATTCGGGACTAAACCGACATAACCGCATTCCAACCTTGTCTTGAACCTCCGAAAGCCGCCTAGAGACTAGGCACAGTCAACTCTAACAAGCTACACCCAACACAAGGACAGAGAGCAGCTCAACCTCACCATCCCCTACCCCTGCTCACACAACCAGATTCAAATCGGGAAGAGCTTGTATCTGAGGCCCAACCGTCTCAGATCGCGACCGCGGGACTTCCTCGTATCTCCCAGGCTAACAACGTCATCCCGACTGTCTCACGTCAATGGCAGACTCAGCGCAACAACCAGCGCCGGCGGCGGCGGAAAACATGACCGAGGAGGAGGTCATCAACAACATGGGCATAGCCTCGCCACTCGACCTGTCAGACATGCCCTCAGGCCCAGCCGCAACCAACAGCGAGGAAGCCCTCGTCCACTCCCTCGTGGCAGCAGCACGCGCAACCATCGCCAAAGTCGACCCCTACAACCAAAAGACATGTGCGTGACTTGATCCCCCCCCCCCCCCCGCGACCCTGGGCCAGAATTTCTCTCTCCCTCCCCCCTGGCTGGACAAACCCAGCTGACAAAACGACAACAACAAGACCAGGTCGGCGCCGCGGCCCTCAGCGCGGACGGCCACACCATCTTCACGGGCGTCAACGTGACGCACTTCAACGGCGGGCCCTGCGCGGAGCTGGTGGTGCTCGGCACGGCGGCGGCGGCCGGGTCGGGCGAGCCGGGCAGGCTGACGCACATGGTCGCCGTGCGGCACGACGGCGTCTCGGTGCTGAGCCCGTGCGGGCGGTGCCGCCAGGTCATGCTCGACCTGCACCCGGGGATCAAGGTGATTGTCGACTCGCGGCCGCCTGGCGCGGCTGCGGCGGGTGGTGGTGGGGATGGTGAGTCCGGGTCGGAGGAGGGAGGAGGTCTGGGTAGCTTGCGGGTTGTGGGGATAGAGGAGCTGCTGCCGTTTGCTTACCGCAAGTCGGACTGGAGCGGTGCTCCGTCCAGGTAGGGGGGTGTGTTCTGGTGCTGTCGGTATGGCGTTGGATATTTGTCGCGGTTTCTCGTAATTACCCCTCGCTGAGCAAATCTCTTTCCTTACCCTGTTTTCTGCGTAGAATTTGCGATTGAAGGAGAGAGCTAGACCAGAGTTGAGATGGAATATTAGACACTTCAAGAGACATCGAGACTATTGATAGAAGGGGTCCAGCGTTGGGATATAATGCGCATGAGAAAGTTGCCACCATGTTTCTTCCACCTGGAGAGCACTCGATGGAACAGTTTTTGTCACCACAGATTTTAAACACAATGTGGTGTCACTAGAAGGAATAAAGTAGACTGCTTTAGCTATCAAAACTGGGCTCCACTGCATATGTAATACATACTGAACTGGTTCCACGGGGCCCAAAACCACTTTCAATACCACTATTAACACCATTACCAACACCCTCACAATCTCCTTCCATCATCCCTCTTCAGTAAAACCTCCACCCAGCATCAGACCACCCCTCACTTGGGCGGATCAGTCAGCGGCACATACCGCACACCAAACAGCCTCTTCCTCGTGACGTTCCCCTCCCCGTCCTTATCAACAGCCCAGATGTGCTGGCCCCCATACCCATCCTCATCATCAACGGGGATGAACATCCTCCCCGGCGCCCGCAGCTGCGCGACAAGCTCATCATGCACCTCAACAGCACTCGCGCCGACATGGATCGCGTCCCACCCGGCGTGCTCCTCCCCGGGCTCAACCCACCCCTTCCGCCCGTCCCCGACCCGGAACCGCACCCGCCCGCTGGCCAGCAGGCCGCGGCCCTCCTCGGACCGGGACATGTTGCGCTCGCCGAGGTCCCGCAGCGCGGAGATGTGCTCCACGCCCACGACGGTCCCCTCCTCCCCGGCCAGCTCCGCGAGTAGGTGCGTCAGGTACCCGGACCCGGAGCCGATGTCCAGGATGCGCCGCGGGGGCCGCGGGCCCGAGCTCGCCCCCTCCGCCGGCGGCGCCGTGAGGCTGGTCAGGAGGTGCTCGGCGGCCGTGGCGTGCATGTGGGGCGCGGAGATGGTGGCGCCGTGGCCGATTGATTGGGGTGAGTCGTTGTAGGGGGATGAGGGGGCGTAGTGGGCGCGGTCGACCTTGGGACGTTGTTAGTGGGGGCCAAGGGGGAGGGGGGCCGCTCGTCAAGGGAGGAGGAGGGGCGCCGGGAGGGGGGTTGATGAGGAGTTAGTTGTCTACATACCTTGAGGAAGGCCGCCTTCACCGTGTCGGTCTTGATCATGCCGTTGCGGTGGAGGTTCTCGACCAGTTCGGCGTTGGAGGTGCCGGAGCTGCGCCACGCCATGCTGAAGTTTGTGATGTTTCTGCTCCGGTTGCTGATGGCTAGTGGATGCTGTTGCTGTCTTCGTATAGCGGTGCTGGCGATGAGGAGGCGGGCGAATGGCCTCGTAGCCGAGGAGAGTGCAGCCACTGTTGACTCTAAATAAGACCGAGATGTGGTATGAGGCACTTCAGTCGGCCAAGTCAGCCGGGAGTGATGGATGTACTCAAGGTGTGGGCGAGATAGTAGCAGTGAAATGCTCAGAGTGACATGAGTGTGAGTTTGTGCGGATGAAGAGGGTCCAAGTCGCCGCCTGTTCATGCAGTGTCTGTTGTCTGTCCAGTGAGGATTCAATATCGACAGCAGTTCGTCCTATCTCATCAAGGTTGTCCCTCTTCCCGCACAGGAACAGTAACCCATACCAAAAGAAGCTGGGGAGGCAAAATCAAAATCAAAAGCAGCAACAACCCGGCGTTGGTGTTTGGTGCTGGTGACGTCGAATGATGCACCCGAGCTGTAAGACAGCGGGAGATCGTCACCACCAACTAGACTTCGAAGGTAGTTCCCCACCTTTTTTCCCTTCCCTCACCTAGTGTAGACCTAAACCCGTCTCCCCGCAGTGTCCGGCGGCCGGGCGTTTATCACAATAAGCCCCGTAAATGTCCGGCATTCCTATCTAAATCCGTATCCATGGGGCCGGAGAAATTGCCATGAGCACGGCCTTTTTTTTTTTATTGATCCTTTATTACTGCAGCATCCGCTGCGATGGATTCTATCTTGGTTCTGCAGGGCCAACTTCAACATGTGAGATCGAAGAGCCGGTTTATCCGTCGAGTCAGTGCAAAATCATGTCTCTGCACAACACAGCTCACACGACAGACGGCAGGAAACCAAACCATAGACTGTAGGATCCGAGGACGCGAGATGAGATACTATTCCAAATCTAAGGAGAACCCAGCCTCGAAACAAAAAGTGCTGCAGCGTGACGGCGTGGTATGGTATGTGATATGCGCACTAGTAGAAATCCATCCCCAGAGGGCGACTGGAGAGCACATCTTTGCCCAGTCCAAATCTCTCCACCCTGATTATCAACAAAAGAAGAATGGCTCGCTTGTCATGCTTCCGCTTCCACCTCCAGAATAACACCTGCTGTGTTTGCTCGTATCTCGCTTTTGTTGCGTGTAAACAATGTCCCCTCTCAGACAACACGCTCCGAACTCTCGCCCTCGGCAATAATGGCCACACCCAGGCCCCGGTCGGGGCTCTGCAGCACGAGCTGCTCGTGCCTCCTGGCCCTCAGGTAGTCACTCACAGATCTTATGAGGATGAACCAGCCGACGATCATCAGAATATACGCAACCCACTCCGAGCTTGCCACGTCGGAAATGCCACCTGAACCTCCACCACCACTGCCGTCTGCCACGCTGCTTGGGTCGAAATCATGCGAGTTGGGGTCCGGTGGGGCCGCGTAGCCGCTTCCACCATCGCCGCCTGCACCACCGTCGCCGCCCATGCCGCCTGCCCCTGACCCGCTCGAGCCTTTCATGTAGAAACCGTATTGGATGAGGGTGATTCCCAGGCCGGCCCGGGACCCGTTCTTGGCCGCGTGGGTCGAGTGCAGCAGGTAGGTGAGCAGGAAGCCCACCAGCTGGAAGGACATGGAGATCATGCCGTTCCACACGAAAGAGAAGACGGAGCCGACGGGCATGCCGTCAATGTAGACATCGTCGATGCCGCCCAGGCCGGGGGCGAGGATGGTTGTTTCCCAGTAGGGCGGTGCTGAGTCGGCCGCGGCTTGTTCGTAGGTCTGTGAGACGCAAACAAGGACATGTTAGCAAACTGCTGCAGGGTGACACAGGGGGTTTGACGATTGATGGACGGATGCTAAACGTACCGGAGGCTGCTCCTCCTTCTCTGTGCCCCCTCGCTCGGGCTTGGCAGTCAAGTTGGAGAAGACGCCCTCATTCTGGATGCCGCTGCCGAAGATGCGGCTGGAGCTGGTCGCTGTCGCTGATGGTTGCGATCGTGGGGGCTGTGGGGGTGGCGTGCTCGCACTGGAGCTGACTGGAGAGTAGGGTGCTGGGTGTCGAGCGCTGCTGCTGGTGGGCTGAATGGGATCGGAGTTCTGCCTCACGAGACGCTGGCGGTCATCGGGCTCGTCATCGCTGTCGGACTCGTCGGCGTCAAAAGCGTCGGCGAGGGTCGGGTCTTGGACTTGGCGATTTCGGGGAGCGGCGGATGATGCCCTGGAGTGAAATGACGGAGGAGGAGAGTTTGGCAGGGGCGAGCGAGATGTCCTGGATGCCGCGATGGGGGAGGGTGCGTCTTCCTCGTCTTGGGCGTTAACCTGTAAATCACGCGAGTGTCAGTGCACGTGTCGAAGGATGGAGTTGGTCGATGATGATAGTGCTGTTGTTGGTGTTGTTGTTGTCGTAGTCGTCATTCGTAGTTTTGGCTTCGTTGATTACTTACCCGTTCATATCGACCCGACATGTTGCCGGTCGATCAATTGAAGTGGAGTAAGAAAGGAGATGATAAGAGTAGGTTGAAGTTTGTTGATGAATGTGTCGGTCGGTGGGTGTGTCACGAATGCGTGTCTCAGGTCGCCACGGATCTGTGGATGCTCGGGCAAGACAAATGGCGCGATTCTGGATTGTTCTGTCGGGAATGGACGGCTGGGTTGGTTGGATCAGGCAGACGATGCGAGAAACGTCAGACGCCGGGCGCAGTGGATGATGCAGGCATGCAGATAGATAGATGGTGGTAGGCAGGAGAAAAGCAAGTCGAGTTGGTCGCCGCGAGACAAGAAAACAAAAAAAGAGTAAAGGGAACAAGGGGAAAAAAGGAGGGAATTTAGGGAAAGATCGTCGTCGTCGTCAACAATTACTGTCGGATGGAGTTGGGGTGGATGATTGGAATTGGAATGAGAATGGGAATGGGAATGAAAGGTCCTGGCAACGCATGAAAAGGAGGGAGAGACAAACAGACAGAGAGAGAGGCGCAGACAGACAGAGAAGGCAATAGATGGACCCCCAGCCAGTGTCAGTGTCAGTGTCAGGGTCAGGCTGGACTCGGGGTAGGGAAGGATGATCAATCAGGGGGCCCTGGCCCTGCGTACGAGGCCTTGTGATGCTGTGCCCTCAGTCGCAGTCGCTCCTCAGTCCCTCAGTCCCTCAGTACCCAGAAATGGGGCCAGCCGTTGCGGGTGACTTCCGTTGTGTGCTAGCACTGAACTGCTGACCAACAAAAGAGACCGTTCCCAAGCAGTAGTCAAGCCGCCTGCAAGTCAAGTTTGAGGGGGCGCTACAGGGGCCTTGCTCATGCGCCGTCGCCGTAGCCGTGGCCTTACTGCTTGCTGTACGCCTAGCACTTCGACCTGCAAACCTGCTCAGCCACACACACAACAGCCAACCTGAAAGGGCCTCGCGTCCCCCTTCCCACACGCCCACACACCCAGACACCTCCCCCCATACAAGTGATACCCTGTGCCAAGAGCCGTGTCCCCCCTCTGCTATGCCCAAAGCAGGCAGTTCCCGGCGGCCACAAGCCGAGCCAATGACATCCCCAGCGCATTCAACCCGCGCCCAGATTTTCGGGTGCTGTTTTTGGTCGGGTCCTTTTCATTGACGTCGTCGAGGCTGGCTAACAAAATAATTCGACATCTTCGTTCGACTCCAGCATTCAATGGCCGCAACAACATAGCCCATTCTGACACTCTCCACAACCCGTCAAAATGGCAAGCAAAGAGGCAAGCATCCCTCCCATCTAATCCCATTCAATCCAACCCGACCAAGCCAAACATCATCATCAACACCACACACAAGAATTGAAGGAAAAAGACTAACACCATCCCACCCAGGCCCTCCGGCGCACCTACACAGCCGCCCTCAAGCACTGGCCGAAAGACGCCCTCCGCCCAGAGTGCCAGCTGCAGGACGTCCTGTCGAGGCGCCTCGCCGAGTCCAACAGGTTCCCCGGCCCCGACAACAGCGCCGACCCGGCCAAGCAGGTCAACGCCCTCGTCTCCCTCCTCGGCAACCGCTACCTGGCCAAGTACCCGACGGCGCCCGCCCCCGAGTCCGCCACCGGCGGGATGATGAGCCCGCGCAGCAACCCCACCTACTACCAGGACCTGATCCGGGACCTCGAGGTGGCGCCTACGCGGTCGTGGGTGCAGAGGTTTGGGCTGAAGATGAAGGGGATGTTCCGGTGGCAGTGAGGGGGATGGTTGTTCGAGAAGAGTTGAATCGATGGTGTTTGGGGGGGAGGGGGGGTGGTGATCGACACGATACTCAGGCTTGATGGGCGAAGCACCGGTCTCCCGGCTCCCGCCGGAATGCCCTGCTGGACGTGGCCTCGATGAGCAGCCCGGGTAATGCTCCAGCACATGGAAAGGGATATGTCATGCTGAGAAATGGAGCCCGTCACGGACCAGTCCTGGATGGGGCGAGAAGAGCAACCGGATGAGGAACTGCGGCCACATGATGGTGAAAGACTGTATACCTCCGGACATGGAGGCTTGGGAGGAACACGTCTCTGGTGTTCAATGGCATCCGTTGCCACTTCCTGTGTATGCATGAGCATGTACTCTACTGTACAACAGACAGTACCACATCTATAAGAATCTTCCAACTCCCGTGCTATCTTTTGCACTGTCCGTCCCTGTCCCGTCCCGCCACGCTCACCCCTCAAATATACTTCCTCTCCGGATCGACTTGATCAAACAACTCCATGCTCTTCTCATACATGGTAAACACAATCGCCCCGCTCATGACCAACCTCGCCAGCCGCGGCAACACCCCGCTCCAGAAGGTCAGGACCCCCTCCTGGCGGAAGATCATGCCCGCGCACCGCAGGCTGTTCCCGTAGTCGCGCCGCGCCTCGAGGCTCTGCATGCGCGTCTTGACCGTGTCCAGCGGCTGCGTCACCAGCACCGTGACCAGGCCCGCCACGGCGCCGATGCCGAACGTCGCGGGCGTCGACAGCTTCTCCCCCGGCGCCGTGTACGACTGCGCCGCCTGCTTCAGGAAGTTGTAGCTGCCGAACCGCACCGCGCTGTTGGCCGCCTGCCGCGCCGTCGTCGGCACGAACCCCGCGAAGAAGCCCGCTATGCCGCGCTCGCGCGCGATGATGGGCACCGCGTGCAGGAAGCCGCGCATGCGGGGGTTGGCGCGCTTGCGGTCGTCGATGCTGTGTGTGGTGGCTGTGCGTCAGTTGGGGAAGATGCCTCGGTGTTGCTGTGGACCAGAGGCCAAGGAGCGAGGAAGGTGGTGCAGGGTGGACATACAGCTGCGTCTTGATGCTCTCCGTCGGCGTGACAGCCAGCAGACTCTCGGTCACTCCGGCCGCGAAACCAGCCAAGGCCGCCCGCGGGCCCGAGACCTTGCCCTCCGCGTCGGCGAGCAGCCGCTTGTACTGGTCGAAGGCGACGAATCCTAGACGCCTGTCATCAGCAACACGTCCATAACCCAGACAGAGTCGGACCATCCGTAGACGTCAGATGAGATGAATAAGCAGCACGTACGGATACCAGCCTTCGCCGAGTTGCCGATAATCAGCGTCGTGCAACCGGCGTACCACTGCGGCCCGAATGGTGGCCAGGGCAGCTTCTGACCCTCGGCCAGCCGGCGGTTGAGCTGTGTTCTTGTCTTGGCGACTATAAAGCAGCAGCAATATCACATCCCATCAGCCTTTCTCCCATCTAACAGTACATTGCCAGCTGCGTGTCACGTCTACCTCGCCCACGCAGAACCAGTCCGGATCGGTAGGAGAAGACGGGGCGGCGTGGGGATCAAAAGGTTCACAGCTGAAGGGAGGGGCACGGCGTACACTCTGCAGGATATGTGATTGCTATCGAAACCAGTTAGTCTTAGATCCACTCTATGTGTGATCCAAGCCGGAAGATGGGGTTCCAGGGCAGCAGGCAGGACGCACAAATCTCGATGCCACCAGCCAAGCTCCCCGCCAGGATCGACCGCAGCGGGCTGGGCGGCGGCAGCTTCTTCTCCCCAGTGGCAGCGGCGGCACCAGCGTCCGCCTTGGCCACCGGCGCCGTGGCCGCAGCTACCGAAGCCATCGCAGGATTCCCTCTTATCTACCGACTACGTATTGCCGTGGGGCGCGAGCTCTTGTCCACGAGGCAGTCGCGTCAGCCGTGGCTGTGCGGGCAGCAGATCGTCAGGGTCGAGACTCGCGGCTGGGCTGCGAAGCCTGTTGCTGGGCGATGGACCCTGTGTGACCTGGAGAAGAGAAGCACACGTGTCGGCCAGCTCGAATCTGCCCGCGGCTTTTGTAGGAGATCGAGGTCGGGCTCGGGGGTTGGCGGTGCGGTCTTTCACGGTCGCAGAGCACGCAGGTGCAGAGGGGGGAGAGAGAGAGCAATGCGCAGAAAAAAAGAAGGTTTCCAACGTCATCCTTGGACCGAGCTCGAGCTCGTGCCCACCGATAGCGGGGACGCCCTGCGCGCGTCTCTCGGCCGAGGTGGAGATTGCCGGCGTCGGTGCCGAGTGTCACACCCCCAAGCGGAGCATCGGGGCTCGATTGCCTTTACAGCTCTTGACCTCCTCCGACTTACTTCATTCAGCTTTTTATTCCTTTCCTGGGAAATGCTTGGCGCAGTTCTCAGTAAATGCCAGATCTAAAAGGGATCACTGTTGTTATGGGTCCCATGGAGACGCTGGATAATCGTTCACTCAGGCCAAATGCGTACAGTCACGCTCGCCAGCGAAACCAACCATATGCAGACCGTAGTATCTTCCCCACATAGTCACAGTCACAGGTAATATCACAAGTAATAGTCGATAATTATCACAAAAGCACCAGACCGACTCTCTCATATTCGTACTGGAATTTCCTGGAAGACTACCTCAAAAAAGAAGAAGAGATCCATCCAAAAAAAGAATCAAGTCCAAGTACCAACCCCAGCATGGAAAGAGTTTATTTCCCAGCTATTCATATCGATGCCACCCGGCAGAGAAGAAGAGCAAGAGGCAGACGAGAAGACACAACAGGCCAACAAAACGGAAGAGTCCAACGACAGCAAGCAGAGAGAGTCCGGGCTGTTCCAACCCCGGCCCTTTAAGTCCACCAAATCAAGAACGCCAACATGCCATGAATGTGGTGGAGGTTAACCAAAGCAGGCAGACCAACTTGATTAAAGAGGGCCAACGAGACAAAACCAGAGCCGACGACAGGTAGGCAGTAGTACTAGACACTTTTCATGTTCTATGTGTGGAAGCGTACGTGAACCAGGCCAACCAAGAAAAAAGTGGAAATCAAGGAAGACATCGTTGTAGGATGTCAGATATCATTGCCGCCCAGGTGGTCAAGCCAGAATACCCGCCATCTCCAAGAAATAACCAACGTCATTCGTTGTCTCGCCCCGGTGCAGCATAGTACACTTCTGCTCTCAGTCCGGTTGGTAGATAGATATCGACAGAATTAGCGACAGATAGAGTTGGGTGGGTGTGTGTGTGTGTTGTGTAAGTGAGGAAATCGTAGTTGTGTTTGTGTCTGGGCTGTATGTGCCCCCCAGCCGAAAGAGAGAAGTAAGAAGAAAGAAAGCCTTGAGAAACGCCCAGACCGTCCCAGACCGTCCGGCCACCCATCCGTTCCTTGGTGTATCGTATCGTTCTTTTTTTCCAATCTTCGTGCCAAATTTTCGAAATCCTTTTGTTTTCGCCAGTCAAGTCTCCTTTCTGGTTCGAAACCAGTATCCTCAGCCACCTTCTCTTCACCCGGTTTTATGAAACTTCCCTATGGGGCCAAGGCGAGCATGTTGTACAGAAATCTGACCACATGTCCTGCCTGGGAGGTCCCTGACTTCGTCACGGCCAAACCCCAAGCCATGAAAACACAGCGGAATGGTGTGGGCTATGGGTACCTCGTGAGCTTCCAAATTCCTTGGGCTATGTAATTCATGCCTCATTTGATTCGTGAACCCGGCATCGATATCGTGAGCCACACACATAGCGTCAGGCCGAAGAGAATCGGAAGCTCCGGAGACGGACATCTCAGCCAAATCGTGACCAGTTCCCCGTCATATCGTGTCTCGTCAAGCCACGAGGCGTCGTGGCATCGCCATTTGGTGAGCACCCGCGTCAGAGACAGCTTGTTCAGCGAGTCTCGACGGCAGAGCTCTTGTTGCCAGCGGCTGTCTTGCCGGTGGCCGCGGCAGCATAGCTCCAGCCACCGCCTCCGCCCAGACCGAAACCCCCAGACATGCGTTTCCTCGCCTTCTGCCCGTCATCATCGTCCTCCATGCTGAAAACGAAACTCGGGTCTTCCTCGTCAATCGGCGTCGTGAATCTGCCGTTAGCACTCGATCCGATCGAACCGCTGCTGATGTGCCTCTCGAGTGCCCTCTGGTCCCTCTCAGTCCTGCCGTTTGAGGACCCAATTACACCCGCGGTGGGGTGTCCTACGCCGCTCGGCGCCCTCGTGTTGACCGCGCTGCCGGGGTGAAGGTGCGGACTGGACGACAAGCTCGTGGTGCTTTGGTCGTTGATCCTCGTGTTCTGGATCTGCTGCGTCAAGGCTGAAAGACTGTCGGTGCCGCTGGCGGTCCGGCTTCCGGCCAGACTCGGTCTGCTGCTGTTGCCATTCAGTCCTCCAATCATATCGATTCCATTGGCGAGGCTTGAATTGCGCAGTGGGCTGCCAACATGGCCAAACGCACTGGCGCTCTTCAAACTTCTGCCGAGCGCAGACTGTCCGCCATCTTCCTCCTTCTGTCGCTGGAACAGGGGCCCCCATCGGCTCGGACTAGACGCGCCGATCGGACTGCCATACTTCGAGGCCGAGTTCTCGCCAGAATGCTGCTCGGAGCCGTCGATCACCCTAACGCTACCCCTCCGCGCCTTCTCTGCAGGCGTGAGCAGGTCGTTGGCCAGCTCACCAGGCACGTAGTCTTCCTCCAGGAACAGAAAATTATCCTCCCAGTCACGGTCAACTTTGGGCACGCTGGCGCTCAAGTGCCTGGGCTTCGCGTATTTACTCGAGCTGCTGTGCATGGCCCGCCTGCCATAGAGCTCCTCGCCAATCGGCTGCATCGGCGGGCTGCTGCCCATGGCCTCGGCGTCTCCACCGAGGTGGCTAGGCGACAGGTGCTCGTTCGATCCAAAGGCGGAGGTGTGCAGCATCTTCAGAGTCTCGGATGTCCGGCTATCCTTGGCGTTGCTGAGTGAAGGGGTCGGAGACTCGAGTCCGAACTTGTTAGGCACGGACGCGGGCCAGGGGCCGTATCGCGCGGCGTGGGAGATGCCGTTGCTGTCGAAGGACGCGGGCAGCGGTGCGTCGAGGACGGACAGACCTTTGTTTGCTGCAATGGGAGACAGACCGAAACCTGTGCGAATCGCATCCTCTCCCCCATGTGGTGAGCCGTAGGGTGAGGCCTGGCCGCTGTACTGAGTGTCGATGGTAGGTAAACCATTCTCCATGCTCGTCTGTCTACCCAGTCCCTGGCCATACCGGTCATCTGATGTCGCAACGGTGTAGGTTGTGTATGGAGGGGCAGCTTCGGCGCGCATGAAGGATGTGGTGAGGGCGGAGTTGGAGGCTTGGTGTCCGTACGCCATGGGGTTTAGGCGGCTGCCAAAGTTGATGGGGGTCACGGTGACGCCATTCTTGCCGTAATTGACACGCCTCCCATCGGGGAGGACGTGGATGTTTGCGCACTTGGGACCAAATTTGCAGTTGCCCTGTGATTAGCATGTCAGTGTCTTGTCGTGCGCTGCAAGAAGAGCCACCGCCCTCTGGAGAGTTGCATTGGGCGTATGCTTTTTCAATTGACTCGGAAAACAATGTGATCTAACCTTTGCGAAGTATTTGCAGACGTTCTCGGCCGAGGCTCCAAGATCGTGACTGAAGGGGCACGCGGCGCCGGCTTGACATGCACCCTGGCGGAAGAATTTGCAGGGCACGTGTGAGGTGTCTATGACAGAGGATATCGAGTCAGCCGAAGTCAATTGGGGTCAGGGTAAAAATCTGCAAGCAATTGGGGCCGAGATCGCACGGAATGTCGAGTTTTGAGCGCGGGTTGTGTCTGGGTAGGTAGAGGAGAGGGCAGAAGAGCCAGGGTGATCAAAGGGACGTTGCATCGAGCAGATAGGGCTGGCAGTATTGGAGCAGCGATAGAATAACATCAGACTGAAAGACCCTGTCTGATAATGCGGAGAAGAAATAGGAAATGCGTGACAGGACGACAGCAAAGCAGAGGCAATTGCAGAATAGAGAATTGGCACTGACTTGGAGGACTTCTTGGGCCGTCAAATCCAGGTTGTGAGGCACCACTTCCACCCCCACCAGGACCAGGGCCACCAGCGCCTCGAGAAGGTCCTGGGCCACCGGCGATCGCGTTTATCGAAGGCATCGCGGTTGGGGTCGAGGCATGCGAGCCGTTGAGGGCGTGGCTGTGGGTGGTGTTGCTGCTGCTCCCGCCGTTGTTGTGGTTGTTGTTGCTAGTTGGAATGCTAAGGCTGCCGGAGCGGCGTCGATGATGGTCGGGCAGGTTTGGCATGCGCCTCAGCCTGTGCTGCGGCGAATGAGGAGAAGCGCCGGCAGAGGGAGGAGGGTGGGAGAGGGAATGCGAGTGGTGGCCGTGGCCGTGGGCGAGGGAGAGGGAGAGACCGTTTGGGCGGGAGGACGAGGTCGGCGAGGGGTTGTGGTTCGAGGTCGAGGTCGAGGTCGAGTTTGAGTTGGAGATGGAGCTCAAGGGCAAGGCAGGGGTGGAGAGGGAGGGCGAGCCCAGGTTCAGGTTATTGAGGTTAAGGCCGCTGAGGTTGTTCAGGCCCAGATGCAGGTTCGGATTGGAGCGCGAGTGCGAGGAGCCTGCGGTGGAATAGTGGGTATTGACGGCCTGGACGGCGTTGAGGTGCTGCAGATCGCGGGGCAGATTGTCCTGGGACGAGAGAGGCGAGGGTCTCAATGTCAAGGAACCAGAGCCAGAGCCAGAGCCTGAGCCAAAGCCTGAGCCGTGGCTATTGGTGGTATTGGTGGTGGTGGTATTGGTGCTGCCGTTGGTCGTGGTAATAGGTGGCAGGGTCAACGTATGGGCATGTGAGTGGGCGAATGCATGTGCTGCTGCTGCTGATGCTGCTGCTGATGCGTGCGTAACGGTAGTAGGTGTATGGGCGTGGGCGTGGGCATGGGAGTGGGAGTGGCCAAGGCCATGGGTGTGGTGGTGTGTCGACATGGGGGAGTGCCCCGCGCTCGACAGCATTGTGGGCGGCTGGCTGTTTTTTTTCTTCGCTTGGTGGGCCTGGGCCTAGCCTCGAGAGCCTGCAGGCCTCTTCTGCACCGGGGGGGGGCGGTGGGTAATGCTGGGTTTGGGATGGGTTTGGTATGGTATGGGTATGGGTATGGGTATGGGATGGGATCGGGTCTGCCCCTGCTAAACAGACGACGCTTAGGCGGTGAATGGGCGGATCGGAGTGAGGGGCCAGGGGGTCCTGTATCCTGTATGGCCCTGCAGGCGACTGAGATGCAGACCCAAGACTGCAGAGTGAGGTGAGGGGTCAGGGTCAGTCAGTGGGCCTGGTTTGGCTTCCTCTCCTTCTTACCCCTTCCCTTTCCTTATCGCTCGCCCTCGCGTTCAGCTCAGACGGACTGATAACGGTCGGATCAGGCGGATACAGCTGGCTTAGACGGGGGGAGGGACTGGTGGATCCTGTGGTGATGTGATTGATTGATTGAATTCGAGGATGATCGATCCGGCCACACACCCAACAAAGACGGCAACCTCGCCCAATATGTCAACCCAGACACTGCATCCAGAACCAAGATGCGAGTAAAGGTTAATAAAAACAAAAATAGGATAGATGGGAGAGGCTGATCGATCAACTGCAAATCAGCCAATTTTCTCCACCCTGCAACAGGTAACTGCCGAGTAGCCTCGAAGGCAAGGATCCTCGTCTCGTATCGTGGCCAGTGGTTGTGGTTGTGGTCCAGCTCGGGGAATCGACCAAGTGGAGAAGACCAAGATGGCGATATCTCTTCTCCCTCTCACGCTCTCCCAATCTCTCTCTTTCTCTATCTCTCTCTCAGTAGTGCTGCTTCTTTCTCCTCTCCGTTGGGTCCTGTTGCACCAATTCGGGTTGGTTGGCGTTGCAGGATGAGCTGAGCAGCAGATCGGCGTCCAGAAGGGGGCAAATGGTGACCTCGAAATCCAGATAGGGAGGGAGATGGTTGGCTGTTCCGAATATGTGTTTCCCCTTCTTTTGTTTTTTTGCCGTTATTATGTTTTGCTGCTTTGGTTTAGTATGGTTTTCCCGGGAGGAATTCCACTGTGCTTCTTTTTCTTCTTCTGCCTTGGCTGCCTCTGGGTGGTCTTTGTTTCTTTTTCTCTCTCTTCCTTTTTTTGGGATCCCTTTCCCCTTCTGAGAATTCCGCGACTCTCGCTCGTCTCACCAATGTCGAGTCCAGCTTTCCCAGCTCGGACCAGCGGCGTGCCGACAGCTTGGATCTGGGGGGTGGAAATGGCCGTCAGTTATAGTGGAGACCAGGGGGAGGGGGATTGGCCGTGGCCGTCTTGGTTCGGCGGGAGACGCACGGCTCCTCCTTGGTGTCGGGTCTGGCGGTTCGTCACCATGGAACCGTTGGCAGAATAATAAAGTTTCCCGACTGACAGGCTGCCTTTTTGGGGTAAAGAATATAAATAAAAAAGGAAACACTTACTTACACACAGCTAGGCCACGCGATCACTAAGAGCCCAACAGCTGACTGCAGGAACTCCTCAAGAGGTAGCAGGATGGGTGAACAGGTGATCGTGGGTGAGGTGAGTCTGAGTGCACTGGGTGAAGTGAGGTTCAATGATATCAACCGACTCGATGGGTCCCAGCCGGCAAAACACGGATGAAAGAGTGCAGTTCCACCTTGAAGTCCAGGACCAGAGATGTCGGTGTCGTAAGGGTGGGCGATCTGCAGCTTATTTAGGGGGATGCGGATGCGATGCTCTTGGTCTGCCACCCTGCATGCGTGCATACGCAGTGCGCCGCCTCTTCTTGTTGCTGCTACTGTACTTTGCTCCTCCAAACCCCGGCTTCACACACTTTCTTGCCTCTCTTGCCCCCCCTTTTTTTAAACCCAACCCTTCCACACCCTACTGATTCACACTTGCACCTCCCTCCCACTCGACTGTCCGGGGGGTCTTCAAGGGGTGCGGCTTCAAACGGTTCCTGTCAAATTATCTTGCCTGCCTGCCAGCCAGCCTGCCTGTCTGTGGCTTCTGTCCGTCCCGCTCGGGAGTTGTGAGAGTGTGTGTGAGTGTGAGTGTGAGTGTGTGTGTGCGTGCGTGTGTGTGATCAAGTGCAATTATCTGCAAGATCCCAGGGACTTAGCGTAACAGAGTGCCCGGGACGCGACAGGGTGATCGTTGCTCTTGGACCGTGATCCAGGGAAGGTGATGGATGAATGGGTGATAGATGGCAACACTCATGTAAGAGAAGAATCTCCCGGCAGGCAACGAGGAGGGCCGAGAAATGGGATAGATCGAGTGTCAGTGTCAATGTCGGGAAGAGGTAGGGCGCATGGAAAGCTGCTTGACTCGTCCGGTCCCTTGTGAATATAAACCTTTCCGACAAATAGCTCCCAGGATCTCTGTGTCTGTGTCTGTGTCTGTCTTTGTACCTTTCTCTCTGCGTTTAGTTCTGGGGCTGGTGGTCTTTGATCCCAAGCAGAACCGCGCGGCGGAGCGCGGCCTGCTGCTGCTCATCAGTCAGTCAGGGAACCTGGCCGGTCCGCGAACAGGGTGTTGGCTGTGGTGGAGATGGTTGATGGAGGTGGTGTGTGGGGGTCTCGCACGGTAAGTGTCTCGTGCATGTGGATGGGGAGTGTACATGATTTGTTTCCTTGTCCAGATCTCGAGCAACTTGGGCAGCTGACGACCCGCCCTGGGCGAGGCGTACTGCCATGTACCCGCTACGAAGTATACATAATCATTTACCCGTCATAGACATCTAATGCTGTCCCTCAGTGACCTCGCTGCCGTCCACACGAGAAGACAGTGCCGGGATGGGTCGGCGTGACCACGGAATCTCGAGACATTGCAAGACAGAACAAAACCGGTGGCGGTGACAATACTCAGATCAGGCACATGGGTACCTACAGTACATCCAAAGGGGCCAGGCTGCTGTCGGTTGGTTGGCTTACACGACGCCAATACGAGCCCTGGAGTGCCCTGTAGGACCTCCAAGTTGATTCTCCGCAGGCCCCAAGGCTGTTTGGCAACCAGTCTGGGCCACAGTCCTGAAGTTGAGATGCCCAGCTTGTTCCTACTGCATGGTAGGAGTGGTGTCAGTGTCAAGTCCGTGAGCCGTACGCCTCGTCATGGCCCAGGGTCATTGCCTGCTATAATACGTGTGTGTACGATCTACGGTCTTCTTCGGTAACCTCACCAAGGCGTCGCTCAAGAAGACCATGGGTCGATCAATGATGCTGCTAGTGGGGAGTGGAGAGCGGACGGCGGGCCTTGATGATAGATATGCGCCAGCATCTCTTGGCCAGCCAGGCCCTGTCCAGTCCCAGCCCAGGGTTCCCTGGTCACTCACATTTCCTCATCGGGACAGCTGCAGGTTGGTGAGGCAGGTTGGCGACCAAGGGGTTCTCGGCCGGGCAGGCAGAGGCAGATTGTGTGTACATTGTACAGTAATTTGCCTCCTCTTTCTCCTCTCAACCGCCGTTCCCCCAACCTCCAACGCATCATATGTAAATTGCTAATAACAAGGCCCTTGTGAGGCTTACGCTGGTGAATCCTATATGAGTAAGATGCATTTTTTGTCATCTGTCTAGTGATTACCAGGCGTTCTAGGGCTGCCGCTAGAGGCCTTCGATTCCGGTGCCAGCGAGGAGCCTTCGATTCCGATGCCAACAAGGCGGGAAGGGGGGAGAGACAGAGAGAGAGGGCGGTGTGTGTATGTTTGGTCTAGGTCTACGTGATCAGGTCTTGTTGAAGTCAATTAGTTCCGTGGAATTGACAGGCGGGAATTCCAATGTGTTGGGTCTGTGGCGGTCGTAGTTGGGGCTTGGTCTCAACTCGTTCCCGCGTGTCTTCGATCTGCAGACAGACATACATGCATGCATGCAGGCGCATATAGGCGCGGCACACAAGGACACAGAAAGCATGCAGAGAGATGCAGCTGCACTAGGCATGTTACTGTATCACCTCTGGATCTGGCAGTCCGCTGTTGTGCCAGTGTCCCTTGTCCCTCTAGAGCATCCAGAGCCCAGCCAGGCTCCTGTTTGACAACAGCTTGGAACACATGGCCACATAGCACCAACGCACACTCTCGTCCAACTGACTGATACATACACACGCTGACACGAACGGCAATCAATCGGTAGACTTCCGAAGTGGGCCTTACACTAGGTGCAATTCTCGGCTTGACACATGCCCCCATTTACCCCAACTCGAGGTTATCGTCCACCATCCACGGCTCATCGAATATGCCGCCAAGAAGAAGTTCATTCAGGATTCCCAGGCTGGCAAGGACGGGATTCACCAACAATCCGGGGTAAAAGGCGCCCTAAGTTTCTGGTCTCGTTTACGTTTTGTCACAGAGCTGCACGCACTCCGCGCCGGTAAAAATAATCGCTGGGCATGCTGGGCACCAAGCAGCAAACGTGGGGGTGAAGTTGTGGTGGTACATCGTCCAAAGGGAAAAAAAACAAGGGCGCCATGCAACATCCCGAATGGTAGACTCGATTCGGGAAAAAGCAAAGAGATAGGATACTCTCGGCTTGGAAACTATGACTCGGGACGATGTGACTTAGAGTTCATCCACTGCCTGCCCAGAGACAAGCCGTCGCGATATCAATAACAGCGATGCTAAGGCGCTCTTGACGATGCCTCCTCGGTGGGGGCTTGTTGATATCGTCGCGAGATCCGATCTGCAGAACCGCTGGCCCGCTGCACTCTTCATCCCGTGCAGCATTGAGGCGCGAGGACTGAAACTGCAGGCTGCATGTCTTTCGCTGCTCGTCCGTCTCATCAGTCCAACCAGCGCGAGGTTGGACGGCAGCAGAGAAGCCGCGTCTGTCGTCACGAAGGAGCTGCAGGCCGCGTACAGGTGTCGGTGACAAGACACACTCGGCCGAGGGGCGGAGAGCGGGAATAACGACTGCTGATCCTCTCTTTCTGGCCTCCAGAGTGTCCCCTCATTTTCTCTCCCATCCTGACCCTGTCGTTCGATAATCGACGTGGGATTAACCTCCCAAATAGCTATC